CTGAGCCCTGAATCAGAGTTACTTTTCCACTTCTGCTCTCATCTAGAGCGGGGTTTCTTATTTGTAAGAACAGCTTCTAGTCTGTCACTCCTTTCCTGTGCCACCTGAGATGCCCCCAGCCATTTGAAGACAGCTCCTGTGGGTCTCTGTCCCACTCGAAAGTGGCAAGGACAGCATTTACGTGGCTGTGTCTTCACAAGACTGGCAGCACGTGCACATGCACAGCCCATGACCCACCCTGAGTTTATCTGGCTCCTAACGCAGCCACGCAATGCTGCATAGCCATCGTCTTTCAACACAGCTGGCCGCAAGCCAAAGATAAACATTTACGGCAGATACAGTAGGGAAGAAGTGAAGTAATTTTTATTAGAAAAACTGAGCCTCCTTAGACAGATCACTTTCCTGTGAGACACAGCCTCCGAGATCTGAAAGCAAGGAAAATGCTCTGATCTCCCTGATGGGTCCCTGGGTGATATACACTTGCCAAACTTTAGGCAACCATTTCACCCAATTAGATGAAAAATAATAAATTATAATATCCCTGCCAAGGCATAGCTAATCTGAAGGCTGTCTTGAAAATTAAAAACACTGCTTTGACTTGACAGATGTGAGCATCTAATCGCGTTGTGATTCTTAACCCTACTTGAGCTGGCTTCTGAAAGTTCTTCTGTTTTTACCAATTAAACTTTCCCAGCTCACCTTTTCTCAACTTTGATCGTTTCATTAACATTCTCCTAGGTACCCTGAGCAGCCAGAGCTAATTTATAGCATTCTGTGATTTCTGGCAAGCACTGAATCCATTAATGCTAGCCTGAGCAATCAAGGGTGGCAAAAACTGGACAGCACTGTGTTACGCCAAGTGACTGCTCAGCCAGGTAGAAGTTCCCAGAACAGCAAATTACTGGCTCCACTGCTTACCCTCCAAACACACTTACTTAGGTCACTGAACCTGGCAGCAAGAAAACAAGCCTCTACCAAAATGCTGTCTGTAAGGGTGGCTCTCTTAACACATCTGTTCTTCTGGAAGCCATAAATTTGATAAAGTTCAGGATTTCCCTTGTTAGCCCAGGCATTTCAGTGAGCTGGGCCAACCATACTTTTTGCTTGCACTAGTACTAGAAGAAGCACCGAAAAAAGAAAAAAAAAGAAAGAAAAAAAAATGAAACCAAAAAAACCCAACCCTGCATTCACGAGAGCCTCTTTTTCTTCTTCTGCCAATATCCCAACATGTGAATGCAGCCTCCCTATCCCCCACTGGCCAGAAAAATGCTGCTTTTACGCAGCGAGAAATAGGGCAGATGGCTTCACCTTGCAGATGCCTCTTGTCTGGTAGGCAGCTGTCGACAGGCCGTGTCTCTAATCTATGAGTGGAGGACAGGAGGTAAAAAGTCTTAGAGAAATTAACTTTATGCTGATTGCCTTAATGACTCTGATTCAGTTACCACGAGTCTCCTGCAATCGTGTACATAATCTGTCCAATCTCAGTGCAATCTCACACTGTCCTATCTCTGCTGCCAACACATGGCCTGAGTCTTCACTGTTGTCATTTCAAAGCTCATACAATATTTTATTTCCTCTATGAAGTGTGAGCCAAACAAGGGAAGCCCAAACTTTTGCATGGTGAAGCAGTAAGTTTTCCATGGACATGTGAGCTTTGCACCAGTGCTTGAGTTCACCTTTTGTAGGATGCTGCACGAGGCTTTCCTCAGAAAACACAGTGCAAGGAGTTTAACCAAGGTTCTGACAAGCGTGTGCTAGATTAGGGATTGCTGTTATGGCATTGCAAGCTCCTGAGGAAGACAAACACCAGGGCGTTCACAGGTTCCGTTTCAAATTCCCTTTATCCCAGCTCAAGAATTTTCTCATGGCCATTTGTGGGGACAGAATATAAGGTTGCTTTGAGGAAATTAAATTAATCATCTATGTCCGCTAAGAATCAGTGTGAGAGCACTTTGACGTGCACAGGCTGGAGAAGGACCGTAAGCTTTTGGACACTCTTGCTTTCACCAATCTCATACATTTGATGAGTGTCATTTCCAGGCACAGGCAGACCACACTCTCCACCCTCAACTTACATCCATCAGCCCTGTGCTGATACCACAAAGAAAGGGCCCTGGTGGGACCAGCTCGTGGGCTTGTCCTCTGTGCTCACTGCAAGGGCTTTGGGCAGAAGGCAGTTCTGCTGGAGAGCAGCTGGAGGATGGAAAGCAAAAGTGATGCCTACTGACGCAGGATCCAGACACACAAACTCGCTCCTCTTTCTGCTGCCTCTTTCCATTTCTGCACAGATGCAAACAGCATGCTTGGAATTGCCATCTTGGCACAGGTGAACTCGATAGTTACCCAACTTGGAATATTTTATAAAGCACTTCAGAACAGGGAAGTTTTTTGACCAAAACTTAACAAGAAACCAACACATCTCAATGCTGTTTAAGCTGCAGTTTCTAAGGAAAGAAGTTTCAGTTTTAAAAAGCTTCCAAGCAGCTCTGCTGGGTGCCTTCCAGCAGCGCTGAGCAGAGGGGAAGGCTCACCACCCTCGGCCTGCTGGCCGCACTGTGCCTAAGGCAGCCCCGGTGCCGCCAGCCCTCTTGGTGCCCAGGGCTCAGCGCGGTGCCCACCAGGCCCCCAGGGCCCTTCCTGCAGAGCTGCTTCCCAGCTGGGTGCCCCAGCGTGTCCCGGGGCCTGGGGCTGCTCCTCCCCGGGGGCAGCACTCTGCACCTCTCCTGCCTGGGCTCCCCCAGGCTCCTGCCAGCCCAGCTCTGTCCCTGTCCCTGTCCCTCGGGGTGGCCTGCATGGCCCTCTGCTCGCTCCTCCTGGCTGGGTCCCCTCTGCTGCATCAGCAATGAAGATGCTAAACAGCTAATTCCAGTGCTCCATACTGATGATTCACCAAATCATGACCTTCAGGACTTTTTGTTGCAGTGATTACTCCACTAAGATGCTCAAAAATACCTTATGGATTCACACAGCATTGTAATTGTTCTGGAACAAGATAACTGCTGGAAAAGGAACAACGTAGGTTATTTTGTAGCATGTTTTTTCTTCATGCAAAAGCATCACTTTTGCAGATAATTACACTCTGCTGGCAGAACAAATTTCAGTGAACAGTTGATAAAATTCATTATTAATGAGCTTTGGCTACCACAATGCTGATTCTGTTCAAAATACGCTTGCATTCCACTCTCGCTTTTCTAAATACTAACGAGTCTGCCACTAATAGAATCAAATGCCATTTAGACATATATAGCCTAAGGGGGAAGCACGTTCTTCAGCTGTTTAGTCTCTGTCCCAGTCTGTTTTCAAGGATATGTAGAATTTGGCCTTCTGGGCACAAAATAGGAAGAACTTTCTCCTCTATTTCAGCTTATCTAAAATGCCATCTGGAGAGCAAGACAAATTTATGACAGGTGATACCCAAAGCATAAAATGGATGGTGGTCCCTATGTGAACTGTCTGTCTTCTCTGACATCAGTAGTTTGTCTCCCTCCCATGACTTGTCCCTCCTGGAGGAAATACCTACAGACCTTTGCCGTGGCTTGTCTGGAGACAAGCCCTGTCCCAGCCATGTAGCAGTGTGAGCTAAGAGAATGAGGAAGGCTTTGAGTTCTTCATGTAACAGGGGAGAGTAATTTTGAAGAACCTTCACCATAAAAGCCTTGATGGATGCCCACAGAAACACCAAGGTAACGACCTAAGGAAGGGAAGCTCAGGGGTGCAGGAAACAACGTAGGAAAGAAATGGCACCTTGTGGGCCATCTTCACTGTCAGCAGCAGGGAAAGACCATCATCTCTCCTCTTTCTACTGTGGGGATGAGGGGAGAGCATTGGATAATGTCTACCTGGACTTCTGTAAGATTGTTGACTCCATCCCCTGTAAGATCCTCATAGACAAGCTGAGGAGGTAGACGGTGTCATGGGCTGAAAACTGGCTGGAGAAGCAAGCCCAGAGGGTGGTGATCAGCAGCACAAAACACTAATTGAGAGCAAGTTACTAGCAGTCCTGTTCAACATCTTCATTAATGATCTGGTTGAAATTATCTGAGAGAACATCACAAGAATGAAAGGTAACTTCAGGAGTAGACTGTCATGATTCGTTAAAAGACAGGTGAAAAGAATAATCACACCAGTTAACACCTGATTTAAAAAAAAGGTGTGGGGGGATTCAAAGTGGAGGAAAGGTGTGATCAAAATCATCTGTGAGATTGTCTCAGATAGAAAAGCATGAAGAAGAATTATGCATTGTCCAAGGCTGTTAAATGACCACAAAGTCCTGACTTGAGAGAAGTTGCCCGTAGATAACGACATCAGTGATAAAAATTAGTTAGAAACACGGACAAAAGGGGTTTCACGGATTCTATTTACATCTCTTGAGAGAAGACATGAGGGGGAAAAAAAAGATCTATGCATGGAAAGACTAATAAGAAAAATAACTTCCCCCATATATCAAATACAGAAAACTCCAACAATATTTCATACCACCCACCATCCAGTGTGCTAGGAATACCAGCAACGTGTTACATCTTGGATTGTACTGGGTAGACAAGCAAGATTGTGTGGTGTGCTGACACCAACAGATGCCCAGAGGTTCTCACTGCCACTCCTCAACAGGACGGGGAGAAAAGAAGATGAAAAAGTTCATGGGCTGAGACAAACACAGGGAGACCTCCCCCCAGGTACTGTTACAGGTAAAACAGACTTGACTCGGGGAAAATTAACTTAATTTCCAATTAAAATAGATTTGGATAGTGAGAAACAAAGACAAAAAAAATAAAACGCCACCTTCTCCCAACTCCTATTGCCCAAACCCAACTCACTCCTTCATTCCCAACTCCTCAACCTCTTCCCCATCCACAAGTGCAGCCCCCCATCACCAACATCTTGGCACCTACACCTGGTACAAATTGCTTGTCACAAACTGATCAGTAGGTGAGTTGTCTGTATTCAAAGAGAAGCTGTTGGGCTAAAAAAACCTACCTTCTTCTGAGAAGTAATAAAGGATATTAAGTGTTATTCCAGCAGTTAAAACCAGTTAAAACCGGGTAACTGTTTTTTGGGTGTCCTGGAGATACTGGTTGAGAAGGTCTTTGTTTTCCACTTGGGGTTTTAACACTGAAAACATTAAGGGCCTGGCTGATGTTACAGACCCGTTCAGATTAGGCAACTGAGATGACCTTCAGTTACATTTCTGTTAGACAGATACACTGAAAAATGAGCTGTGAGATTTGTCTTCCCCTTGTTGTACCCTAATGAGAGCATAAACAAAATTGATTATTACGGAGTCTTTACTCAGCTAGGTTAATGACTACTGATAAAAACAACAGAAAGAACAACGGTATTTCTAGGATCCTTTCCAGCTGCAAAGATGTTAAAGAACGTTTTCACCAACAATGAACATTTCTTCCTAATCAAGTTCCCTGTGATATTGTTATTGAATGATATTGCAAGAAGATAAAGAAGCATTACTCAAGCTGAAGGACAGCTGTTTCTCTTGTTAAGTGGAGCTCCTTCAAATAAAATACATTTTAGAGACGTGAGATGCTGGTCAAAAGGACTTGTATCATACCCCAACATGGGAGAGAAGCACAGCGGAGAATCAAATCTGAGCTGCCTGTCACAGTAGAGGAGAACTATGGCTATCCTTGCCTGGTAAGAGCATAAAACATAAACATAAACCAACAGCAGGAGAAGCAACCTCCAGTTCTTAAACCCACTAAGTGGGACCTCTACCTGTTCCTGGTAAAGGAGGGACTGGCCTTTTAAACCTGCTAAAATGGCACTGATTCACCAAACACGCTACAAGTTTGCACTTGAAGGGAGGGCTGCAGGATGGGCAGCAGCCATCTGTGGTAGGCTTCAACCACGCAGCCTGCCAAGGGCTGTGATTAACGCTGTCCAGACAGAGCTTCTGCCTGCTGTCAGCAGCACTGCGTGTTGCACAGCCTGCCCAGGGCACTAACAACAGATGTCTCTAGCAGTTCAAAAGCTTGCACGAAGCTCTGAGTTTACATTTCAATTTCTGTGGCGTAAGCACTACCGCAGGAAGAGACTGCTAAAAATATTTCGTAAGTCCTCTTCCCTGTGTTCTAACAAGCAACCTAAAAACGTCCGCTTGGCAGCTTCTCGACACTGGAAGGAACCTCAGCAGACTTACGACCAGATAGGACACTGAGGAAAACACACAGAAAAGCAGAGACATGGCTAGAGCTGAGCTGCCAACTCGAAGCAAGGGTCTGACACGAGCTGGATCCTCCCTCACAGACAGCTCACAGCAGAGCTCCCTGCTATTTTGGTAAGATTACAAAGCTTTTGCCTGTAATTTTCAATCTACGGTTTGGGGTTTCTTGCAGTTATTCCTATGAGTTACCATAGATCCCATTGGCATTCTCTTCCCTGTTGCTTAAATATAGGCAGCATACTGAGAACCTCTCATGAGACAGCTTTTTAATTATACTGGAAAGCGCTGTATTTGTTGGCACAGCTTGAAGTCCAGCCAGGGTCCATGACGTGTTCAAGCCAATATCACGCCAGTGATGGTCAGAACTGAGATTCATCTGTGCTCTCCACTTGGACTTTTCTGGTGAGGATCTCACAACCCAAATGAAGAAATTAAAATGAAAACAAAGGAAAACCCGACCACAGAATAGGAAGTAAATAGCCCACGAGTACGGCAATGGCTCATGCATATTTGAAATACCAGCTGGCTCCAGGATCTGAGCTGTGCGAACAGGTCTCAGCAAAACCTTCAGGGAACGTGCTGGGTTGTACTATTTCAGAGCAGTCATCACTCCTCGCAAACAAACATTCCTATGACAAAGCCTCTGTGAAAACACCAATAACTGTCAAGTTTGAAAGAAAGCAGCAGGAAAGCCATGGGCAAGCTGGGGCTGATGTAAAAGTTGAGAGTTCCTGGAATGCACTTTGCTCCTCTGCAATGTAATTACCTTACAGTGCAATTGGTTATTGCTGCTAGCTAATACTAAATAAGGAGGGTATTTAACATAGTGTAAAGCTTGAATTTGAGAAGCAGAATCAGGGCTTTAAACAATCATTGGACAAGTGCAAAAAAATCTCTAGCTACATGTGTTACAGAAGGTCATTCTTCAGGTAGATGCACAGGTAGCCAAGTTAACCTCATCCCACCTAGGTCCCCAGCCAACAACACAATTTTGATGCTATTTTGGAAGGACGCACAGCGTGCCACTGTATGCTGGCTAGCTGAAAGGAAGTTTTGCTCCTGCCAAGCGATGTCGCTCAGAAACTGGGTGCAAACCACACCAAAATCCTGGTTGCTGTCTGCCAGAACACCCACAAATCACACAAAACACCTTCCCACCCTTTGCAAGATATCACACTAGAAGACAACCGTAGAAGATAAAGGTCTCAATATTGAATGAAACGAAGGAAAATCAAACATCTCCAACAATCTGTGGGAAAAATACAGCTGTACATGGACAGGGATTAGGCACATTGTTCAGATGGTTTTACTCAGAGTGTTTTTCCTAGTTAGCAAAGAAGGATTGTGGGCCCTGAGTTGATTGTGTTCAAGTGCTCTTTGGGGATCCATACCTTAAGCACGCAGCTCCCACTGGCATTTATTACAGCCTACACAGAGTGACAAGAGTATAAAGCCTTTGTCCTGCTTGCCAAGTTCCTCTTGGAAAAACTGCAGTGCAAATGCAGCCTTAAAGACAGGCACCGCAGCTTTATAAAGCAAGGGGTGTTTTTTTAAGCAATCTTAAAAAAAAAAAAAAAAAAAAAAAGGCTGATCTCAGGCAGATTTTACAACCTCTTCATTCATGTGGAAGAAGACCCAGCAAATCATAGATGATTTCAAGATTCCTCATAGGCTGCTCTGCATTCAAGTCCTGCAGAATACAAGTTCCCATAATTGCTGCTGCAAAGAGGGCTTTCAAAATCCTGTCCAAGTGGATTTTGTCACCTCGGCTCTAAACTGGCAGGCAGCAAGCTGACTCTGATTTTAGAACTGCCAGTCGAGTTTGAACTGCAGAATGTTATTTATTTATTTATTTTTTATTGTCACTTACTGGAAATTCAGCATTCAGTCACATAACTCAAAATAGAGAGTTTAAGTATGATACAAAGTGGTTTGCTTTAAGGAAGCTGATGTGGAACTGGGACTGTGAGTGCAACAGGATATTTGACAGTCACTCCTCAACACCATTTCCAGATAAGAGTAATGACAGGTTTTACAGCTTGTTAGAGCTTGGCCTGACTTGTCCTTCAGAGTCAGGTAGGAGCCAGGAATATCAGCATAGGACGGTACCAGTTTTGTCCATAGGAATTGCTACCACCATTACAGCATTACTGGCTTGCATTCAGAAGTCCTAACAATTCTTATTTTATGTAGAGGGAAACAAGTTTGGCTTCGGTAAATTGTAACTGGTACATAACTGGGTGGTAAAACAGTGTTTTTGTCACATAATGGTTTTAATTCCTCTAGTGCTCAGGCCAGGGCATACAGCTCCCAGCAGAGACAAAGGCATTGGTTCCTAACTTCTGGAAGAGCTACCTCTTTCCTTGCACAGCAGGTGAGAGATCAGGGCAGACCCTTTCCTCACTCATATTGGCCTTATAAGCAGATGGCTGAAAAGAAAGAGCAATGACTCAGATTTGGTGGGTTTGCTTACTTATTTAAGGATGCAACTGATTCATGCTACATGATAAAAATTTATCTTGGGGCAGAAAAAGCTGAAGGTTGTTGAAGACAATATGTATACTTGGTAGTTGTAGTGATAATTTTGTGCTGAATCCTTGTCCCAGCTATTCACTGAAGTCACACCATTTACAGCCATTGTCCCTAACTCTTGGGGTTGAATGATAAACACTATATAAAGATGGTTAATGCTATGAAGAATTTGGAGAACATTACTGAGGGAAACATCCAGGGGCTCCTTATGCCACGTTTTGGGGAAACAAGGGAAGCCTGAAAGGCCTGGTTCAGGTGGAGGGATCTGCTCCCGCTAGAAGAAAATGCTGGGATGCAGCTTCTGATTCTAAAAATGCCTGAGCGTTTTATTCTGAGCCTACACTTTTTTTTTTTTCTAGCCTACCTGATAAAAACAGCCAGTTGGGCTGTCAGAAGGGGAATTTCTTGCCAGAGCTATTGACAGCTGGGGTACAGGTCTCATACTGAACCAGTGCTGGGCATCCTCATGCTATGGTCCCACTGACTTGGCCACAGTACTTCTAGTAGTACACAGCATGTTCAGTGCTTTGTGTTTTCCTTCCCCCATCAGCAACGGAGCATTGCACACGTGGTGAACGAGTTCTAGGAAAACAGCATGAAAAATAAATGACAACAATGCTGAAGATGACTTTCCAGGGCCTGAACTGGACCACGAAGCTTTAGTCTTGGCAGACACAGGAACCAAAGATGCTTCCCCAGAGAGGTGGTAGCAGTTGGAAGTGGCCTGTTTGAGGTATTTCCTCTCCAGAATTAGGCTGTCACTACTGATATGCCAAGCAGGTTTGTATTTGTGGCTTCTGCTGACTCCTCAGACTTTACCTAAAAACTTTTCTATGATATCCAAAGCCACTTCTCACACCCACGCATGGCTAAGGTCAGCCACTCCTGCTGGAGGGTACAGACACCTTATGCACAGCCCAGCTGCTCCTGTGTACACAGCAACCCCTTTTTCAGGTCACAGCCTGATGCATAAATATTGGAGGAAGTGATTCCAGAGAGCAGTCCTGGTTGGCAAGGCAGTAGTAAATGCTACCATTCACACTGTTACAGCAAAAGCCCAATCATTCATGATTAAGGAAGGATGAGTGGAAGAGAAGCTCTTTTTCTCCTCTTCTGACTTGAGCAGTCAATTTCCACTTTCCTGCAGAGAACATTCAGATTTTAGCTCTGATGAATTTCCATAAGAACATTGCTCATCAGAAAAAAAAAAAGAAAAAAAAAAAGAAAAAAAACAGAAGGAAGGTAAACAGGCTCTCTGCTCCACGTACCCAACTGTTCAACAAGCCCAATTTGCTGTGATGTGGCACAGGGACATTTAGCAGAGATGATGAACCAGGCCCAGCCTTTTCTTTTCTGGAGCAAGATCCCAGCTGCTTCAGCTGAAGAAACACCTCTTAGAGTGGAGGCCCATAAGCAGCTGTTACTGCTGTAGTATCTGCCAGGAAAGAAGGGAAGTGGGAGGACCACAGACTCGAGTTTGCTTCGGATTCACTACCCTGGCTGAACGAGAAGCAGCCTATTTTTACCAGCATGGAGAACATTCCTGCCCACCTCACAGCAAAGTCAACCCTGCTACAAATTTCTCTTGCAGTCTACCCCAATTGCTGCCTTCAGTCACTGGGTGAGGCAAGGAAGTACAAATTCTGCAGTGACTTCGGGTTAAGTGCTAAAATCATGAATGCAGTTATGCAAATGCCAAAGTAACACGTATTTGAAGTGACAACCCATTAAGCTGTTTTAATTCTCAGCATCATAAAGGATTTAATAAACATTGCAATGCAAGACCAGAATGAACAGGGAAATACAGATTTTAAATAATTTCCAATATAACTATGCCCTCACCTAGGACAGTTATCAATGGAAACACGAGGAAAGGTCAGGATGGACTTAGAAATTAAAGCCCCAAGAAGAAATTTGTGAGCCCATGGTCCCTTGGCCAGACAAGCTTCTTACACCTCAGACCATGTTCCCTACCACTATAGCAGCTCCGCTGTCTCTGTCCAGTACCCAGGAGGTTCTGGATGCTGCGAGTGAAATTGTATAACACGTTGCCTGGATCAGTGAAGCAACAGTATTTTTTCATCCTTCACTTTACTCAAATTGCAAGTTTGGCACCTGAAATCGAACTCAGCAACAGTCAGCATTTCCTGAGATATGCATTTCACATCCAGCAGAATTAAAGCAGCATATAGGCAAGAAAAGAGCATGAAGTGCAGCTGCGCTACCGACTCGTTCTTAGCATCACAGTGAACTTGCAATGTGTGCTCTTGCAGAAGCTTGGAAACGGTTTCAGATGAGTCTGTGAAGAGGAAAGTGGGCTACAACAATTACCAAATTCTTTAAGAATTTTGAGGACATTCTCAAAATTTTCTCTTCTTTTTTCCGTCCTCATAAGATCTCAGCAGGTACCATCCATAGTGCACTTGGCTTCTGTACTGCTCTTTTGTCTCTCTCTGACCCCTGATGATGATACGTCCTAGAGATCTTTGCTCTCAAGTGCTTTCCAGCCTATTCATCAGGGCGAGACAACAATCCGACATTACATGGTTGATTGTGATTGCATGGCACTTAGCAGTTTTCCATGCCCAGGAGGTTTCAGTTTAATCCCTAGAGGTGTTCAAGACCGGGCTGGACAAGGCCCCGGGGCAACCTGATCTAGTGGATGGGGGTTGGAAATAGATGGTCTTTAAGGTCCCTTCCAACCTGAGCCATTCTGTGATTCTATGATAATGCTGACACCAGGAGCCTCATTTCTACATTTCATCATTTCTACATTTTCATATTTTCTACAGCACTGCTACTCAAGACTAAACCCAGGACTGCTTAAAAATCCACCTCCTAGTCCTTTGAGAATGCATTCCATACAACTTTATTGTCTTGGGAGATATAACCCTGGGAATGACCTTCCTCTAGGAATACAGTGCTGATTTTATGTGCAGCTCTTGGAGGCGATATAGGGCTGCAAAGCTAGCTGCCTCATTCTCTAGCAGCAAAAGCAGGAAAACTACCTAGTCCCATACTTCTCAGAACACTGCCTCAGGTACACCAGGCCACAACAAAGTGTCTCATGCCAGAAAGGAAAAAGTGAAGGTATCTGATGTTGCTATATTGTGTGGTTTCTAGACAGTAGTGTCCTTCTAATCAATGATAGCTGAAGAATCACAGAATCACAGAATTTCTAGGTTGGAAGAGACCTCAAGATCATCGAGTCCAACCTCTGACCTAACGCTAACAGTCCCCACTAAACCATATCCCTAAGCTCTACATCTAAACGTCTTTTAAAGACTTCCAGGGATGGTGACTCCACCACCTCCCTGGGCAGCCTGTTCCAGTGCCTAACAACCCTTTCAGTAAAGAACTCAAGAGCAAAAGGGTAGAAGAAAATCTTCTGGGTATTAGAGAGACATATTTATACCTATATACCTATATGTGTATATTAACACACACACTTAATCTCCAGGTGTCCCTCTCAGCTGCAATTTCTTGGAGACACCATCTTTGTGGTGCAATTCAAGTAGCTTTTGCTATAAGCTTGCACAGTAGGAGGTAACCACTCGTTAGGACACACTGGCTGCAGAAAGCCAATGCATGTGTCTGCAGTTCTGAAAGCAAGTCATTTGATGGGAACGAAGAGACTGGTTCTTTGAACTAACTCCTCGTCAACAAGACTTGTACAAGTATTTTGTACTGTAAGTATTTGGACCTGATCAACAGTGCTGCATACTCAACTAGGGAAAAACAAACAAAAAAACAGAAGGCCCTTGAGGGCAGAGTTATGTCATTCCAAAACCTGAATCTATTAATCTAACAGCAGATTCTATGAATACCCACAAAATAGCCTCCAGGCTCTGAAATCTTCCCTCTCCAAGTTGATGGCAGGTGTACACAGATTGATCTCTTATTGAGACTGCAACAACACCACTTGCAGCATTAGCTGCTATTTGAACAACTCACACCAACTTTCTGCTTTACTGAAGTAAGAATTAGCCAGGAAAAAGCAAAACAAGACCTGAACCCCGAGGTTCCAGAAAGCAGTAGGCAGCCCAGGAGACCCAATGTCCCTGAAACACCAAAATTTCTGCTCTGCTCAGGTGTTTGATAGACAGCAGTGAAGGCAAGAGCAAATATCAATGCATAAAATGACGTACCTCCTTTGTTTCCTGAGCCTCCTAAACTGAGAAAGGACAGCTTTGCAGATGGTAAATCCCAGTATCAGCTGATGAATCAATCCACTGGTAGTGAAGGGCATATTTTAGACTACATGGTGCAGTAAAACAAACATGAGGTTGCCTTAAGGGATCTACTTGCCTTCTGGGAAACTGTTCTTGAGCTTTCTTCTACAGTACATCATTCACACCCACACAGCTCCTCTCAATTTCAGTCTTCCGGATTCAAACAGAATTGCAATCCCATGATAGGCTAATAACACCAATTCATTAATCATTTTGAGCCCTTTCCCTAGGGCAATCCAACCTTGCCTACAGCTGCCAAGTATCAGGCTCGTTTAATCTCTAACCTAGTTTCAGAACTGCCTCGTCTCCCTGCCTTTCAGCTTGCATTTTACTTGCACATTTGAACTGGCTGTCCCTAATCAGTGAAGACCAGGATGAGGGGAGGGGAAAAAAAAAAAAGGGAGACAGACTTTTATTATTGTTTTTGTTAAACTTAGTGTCTTGGAACCAGATGGTGTCTGACTTGTCTAATTCTACTCTAAAAGTAGGCTCAAAAGAATGAGTAACCACAAACCGGGCAGAGCTCTGTGCCAGCAAGTATATAGGTCTCTCTGATAACTGCAAAGCATTTGTTTACTGTATGAAGCAGTATCTCCATACAACAGCATGTTCTGTAGTTGCATTATATGGGATTATATAGACCCAGCCACGCAGAGCACCCTTTAGCAATTCACATTCTATGATTCTGTGACTTGGTGCCCTGGCATCGAGTACCCCAGACAAAGAGATAAAACTCCAGAGTTTTAAAATCCAGGGCCAAGTCTTTCAGTTTCTCTGGGAGCTCAGACGTGCCTATTGAGGTCACACTCCACTCCTACAAGCCAGGCTCTGGGACACAATGGTCTCTTAAACCCCTGCAGGGCCAGGCCGAAAGCCCTGCAGTATAAACAGAGCATGGATACGAATACAAAACAGATGGAGTTTCCTGAATCACTGGCAGCATTCACATTCAAACCATGGCTGACTGCAGCCTACCAGTATGTCCCAGTGGAACTCCAATCCTCTGCTCCAAGCTGCTGTTCTCCAGCAGAGAGAATGCAGATGTCACTGCAAATGTCAACTAATGACAGGCAAGAGCACCACGCTGAATGTCTGTGCTTTTGTTCACAGTGGGACCGTGCAACATTTTCAGTAAATAGTAAGTTCTCCTAAAAATAGGGTTTTTAGGAAAACTAGATCATTGGCAACTTTTAGCAGAGTTGTTTCAGCCAGAGAAGGATGAGAAATTCAGAAGTGTCAGAACATAGTCTGTTATACAATCACAGATATCAATGAAATAGGCATTTCACTATGAAATAGTCATAATGATTAGTTATTTGAAAGAATATTCAGTAATGTATTGGGGCAGAAAGCCAAGGTCCAGTATTTTAGCCAGAGGCTTTTTCTCCACTGTCTTGCAGTGAACCTACTAAATCTGTGACACTCTTCAAACTACAGGTTTAACAACAACAGCACCCAAGAATCCCTTGAATGTATTCACACCTGCCTCCTGGAAATCCTCTCATCTTCCTACTTTACTGACCACATAGGGTTAAAAATAGATCCCCCTTGGCTAGCTCACAGTGGTTATGCTCACATGCTGAAAAGAGGTCACTGCCTTGCTCCAATGGCAGGAGGTAAATGGCACCACTTTATTGACTCTGCATGGTCTCTGGAACTGGAGTCACCTCCCCATTCACTTCTGGTCTTTCCCCATATACCCAGGTACATTTTCAGGCTTTGACACATAAGCTTTCTGGAAAATAAACCCTTGTTCTGGTTCACTGAACACATTGCACATCTACAGATCCCTTTGAAAGATGCAGGCTTGGAACACTGCTCTTGTGACAGTCTTTCTCGATGCAATAACCTCATCTATTTGGAACATTTTCTCTCTGATAGGAAAGAGGGTGTGAGGTCTGGGTTATTTTTTGATACTGCCTGTTCCAACCAGAAAATTCACCATCAGGACTGGTAAATCTTTTAAAAAACATTTAGGAGCTCAAGATGCTGAAATGATAAAAGGTTTGCAATTCACCAGTTTTTAGCTATCTTGGAAAACCAATCCATTCAAAAAACTTACTATCAATTTTATCATTTCATACATTCAGTGCTTCTTCCCCTCAAAATACTCTGGAAGACCATTGCACTGTGCAGGAATGGTATAAAATATTCCTTAGTGGCCCCTGCACTAGAAACCAGAGGTGTTTTTTTTATTTATTTATTTTTTCCTATTTTTGCTCCTCTTCACAAAATACCTAGCAAATGCTCTTGATGGCATTTTCTCACTGTTGTACAAAACTGCCTTCAGTATTCAAATACCATGGACAATTAAAACCCTTCAAAACACATAAAGAAAGAAAAAAAGAGCTGGTACTGAGGCTTCCACTGCCCCAGCCTACTAACCCACAGGTGTCAAGTAGCCCTTTTTAAAAAGAAATACACTTGTAAGGCCCCAAGAGAACCATTCACTGCAGCCTCAGAGGTTGTCTACAACCACCACCTCTGCACTAGATGCACTTCTGAAGTGCTGTCCACTCACTTTGTAATTTTGTCCATGCCAGTTTTTGAGCTGTGACTCTCCTTCACCTTGTACATGTATCATGACTATTTTACTTCTCTAGTATTCTCCTTAGGGAGAACTATCTCCCTCATTACGGAGATATTTCTATACTCCAGGTGTACTCCCAAGAAAATTTCAGTCAAGATGCTTGCTGTGGATGCAAGGACTCCTGCTTAAATTCCAGGTTCAGATGTTTCTGACTGCCAATTCTCTGCTCAGTGCCTATTTTCAATTAGATTTTTTTTTTTTCTCCCCATTTAAATCAACAGCCTCCAATTTGGGAGGCACTTTTTCCCCCCCTCCATTACTTATTCCAGACCTGGAGGCTCAGCTAGCAGCAGCACCTACCCTCCTGCCTAGAACAAGATTCAGTGTCCAAAAGCACATAAGATCCTCTTTAAACTTACATTAATCATTGCCTGTAATCCCTGGGATCCTGCCAGACTCTGCGGTTTTCCGGGTGGTCTCCTGCTTCAACCCCAAGTCTCTGAGCTAGCTAATGCCCTGAACCGGTTTGGTCTCTGGAGGCCAACAAAAAATCCCAGTTTCCATCTTACTCTCTGTTTGTTCCAGTTCAGCCTCCCCGTGACTTAATCTGCAGTGAACGTCCAGATGAATTCCAGGAGCTTAAATTCCTTGAAAGAATAAGGCCCATGTTTCAGGCCTCCTTTCCAGCACCGGTTTCCAACAGTGGCCTAACAGTGGTTTTGTAACGCAGATGGTCACAAAGAACAGGCCACTCCCACCAAAGATTCAGAATTAAAGCTCAGTGAGGAAAGCAGTAACAAAGTCAGGGCTGGAGTTTTACGTTCTGTGAAGATCGCTGGTGGTAAGTTCTTGTTTCACCAAGAAAGTGACACAGACACAGCATGAAGAAAACTTGAACAGGTTTTCCAGAACATCACAGTTCTGGAAAGAGAAGAGCCAGCCCAGGCCAGGTCAGCAAAGTGCCTCCTTCCCTGAGAGTCCTCTTGGGCCTTGCCTGATGCCATCAGCCAGTGAGGCATAGTGAGAACATTGTAAAGGAGAAGCTCACTCCTTCATGCCACAGGAAAAAATGAGAACAGCTCTCCTTAGCCAAGATCCAGCTGGGAGACCTTCTTGGGCCTTCACGTAGCAGCTCGTCCTGCCTGAGCCCCCCAAATCCCCTCAGCAACTGGGCACAGAAGCTCCTTCAGAAAAACTGGTCTGAGGTTCAAGAATCTACCGGTTGCTGGAGATCTCTGCTTCCTGCAGAGGACAGCAAGGCCTGAATGCATCACGAGACAGACACGACAGGCTGCCAGGACCAAGCATTTGTACTGGAGCCACCAGAAAACAGAAAACACAGAGGCAGCTGCCAAACATGAGGTAGCAGCAATTTCCTTCCAGGTTGGGTAAGCATTAACTGGTGCACCTGAGCTTTAAAAGCCATCAGGGTTGCCCTTGTTGATGTTAATCAGCTGCAGGGAATAAGCTGAGATCTTGAACTAGAGAGCCTAGAGGTAGGAGCAGGGGTGAGGAGAGGTGGGTGAGCAGCTCAGTGGTGTCACAGCAGCAATACGAATAGCTCCAGGTCAGGAGTAAATACATAGAAATGCCTTTACTTAGGCCTAAGCAGAAAGCAGGCCCTTATGCCTCCTTTTTTATTTTGTTTTTCAGTACAGACCACGCTCTACCCGGTTGGAGAAACCTCCACCTAGCTGTGCAAGAAAAACTTCAAGTCCCACTGCCCTATATTGAACTTGTTGCTCTGGAAACTACAGCTCTAAAATTAACCCTCATCCACAACCACCGTTTCAGTAGCTCCCCTCTTACCAAAGGTATCTTATAGACCTCAGCCTGATGCAAGGGATGGATGGGAAATCTGATTAAAAGCCATTTTACCAAAAAGCATCAGCTATCATGCAGGAAAGGGAAGCATTTACTCTCCTTGGAGATAAAAACAAGCAAAACAACCTTTGTGCCTGGAGCAGAAGTTAAACTCAGGGCTCCCACATGTAAAACAAACCCTCTAGACATGCCAGGATTTTTTCATTTGTAGTCTCTCCTCTTCTTCCTCCTCCCCCATTCTCTTCACCATCTAAACAAACAGGTCCTCCTTCCCCAAAAGTCATTTTATGGCACAGCAGGACAGAAACCACAAAGAAATGAAAAAAGAAAAAAAAAAAAACCTCGAGAATTTGAAAACTCAGACCCTTTCTCCCCTGTGTCAGCCTTGCATTTATTCAATTCTGACACCTAGTGGGCACCACTACCAGCAGGGCAGTGGAAGTGGCCTGCTGTGCTCACCAACAGCCTTATCAGTAATGCTGATGCCCATCAGCTGCTGGCTGATGCTGCCGTGAGGGATGTGCTCCATCCTTAGCACAGCTGTGCTTCTTTAGGCCCTCCCAGGCCTCTGTGCTGAATTTGCACTTGCAGACGCATTGAGAGCTGCACGTTCTGCAGGTAGAGTCGAGGCTGGAAAAGGCTCGAGCGCTGATCCCAACGTCTCACTGCCCTGAGTCAGGAAACAGGCTTGGCGATTAAGGCCTATCCTTCATTTCAGAGGGATCATCCAGGGGTCAGTCTGTTTTGTCACCCACCTGAGATTAAGTTGCTGACAGTGAAGCGTGTGCCAGGAAATCTCCACATTCTTTCAGGATGAGCAGTAAGCTGCTTTTGAACAAGGGCTTGGTTCCATTCAGCTTTTGCTCGAGATGATCTCTGCCCTCGGGAAATTTTCTAGACTAGTTTCACGCAGCACTGAACCCCCACGGTTGCTGGTAATTCTATCCATTCCCAGCCAGCTGAAATGAACAAATTTGCTGTGGGGCTACCACAGCACCAGCATGCTTTCCATAATGGCAGAAACCAAACTAGTGTAAGGCACAACATGCACTCTGTGCAGCTATAATCACCAAGAATCTGTGGTGTGATGGCAAAGAGAGGGTCTAGGACATGAAATGCTGTGCCACCTGGGAGTGCAAATCCCACTGTGTTTCCCCAAGTGTTGATAGAAGGGCAGGTAAACCTGGGAACCGAGAACAGGTTTTTTTGCAGCACCGTATGGTGTTACCCTTCATCAATACCACACCATGGGGATTCCTGCTTAGACACTGCCAGCATAAGAACTATTGGGGTGTACACACACAGAAAAAAAAAATAAATAAAAGAGAGAAAATGCACGTTGAAGGAGTGATTCTAACGTGAGTGCAGCTTTTATTAGCTTTTCAGAGAAGGTAAAAATTCAATAGGTTTCCTCCTCCCACAGGGGCAAACTGTGATGCTGAAGGTCTGCATAGGACATGCTTGTTCACTGTTGTATGCAGGAACAGATACCGTGACGCTGTCCCAGCCACAGCAGGGAGCTTTGGTTGTTCCTACTCATTCCTCAAATTATTGCACTATTCTCAGACCACATGCTAAGCCTTTTCTTCTGACTTCAGGCACTCCAAGCAAGTTAATCAATAAAGCAACTTAAAATGTAACTTTGAGGGGAGAAAAGTCCGAATCATCACAAACCCTCGCTTCTTTCCTTGTCCTACAATTACTGCTGCTCTGCATCGAAAGGGTGACCACATTTTCACCTTTTGGTGAGGCAAGGCTCAGACAAACTACCACAAAGTCTCTGCATGGAGCAAGCTCCAGTCCGATTGCTCCAGTGTCCCTTTACAGTATAGGAGAAAGGCAGTGTCTTACCTTACTTACTTTCAAAGCTAGCAAACTCCCGCGTAACACCCTGGCTCTCACTTAGCAAAGTTACTGTAATGAACAGCTTGGAGAGAGGGGCCACGGAGAGCCAGCCGCACAGATGGACAGTATGTCAAAACATTTCGTGGTGCGGGGGTGCAAAAAGGGCTCGATGATAAACTTCTCCATTTAAGCTGTCTCCCTCCAAGGTAGGCATCTTTGGAGTATGTCAGTGCACTTGGAGGTGAGGAGCTGACAGCAGTGAGGATGGGACTGAATACGAACAGAACCAGGATCCCAGTATGATTTCATGCCTCAGTCCCACTGAGGAGATATTTGCTCTTGGACACGGTTATGGTATTCCAGACCAGACTCTCAGACATGGGACTTGGAAGGAAACACCCATAGCAACTATCATTAGTGTGTTGGAGTAACAAGTGCTTGAGCCAGTGATCTGAGACCACGAAAGACTTCAGTAATTCAGACAAAAAATTACTCCGCAGCCCCAGAGAAACATCTGCACAGCAGATGTCACATCAGCTTCTCGATGTGAAGGTATTTGCATACATACAGCAGGGACCTTCAAGTACCTGTAATCCATTTTGTTGGGAAAGAAGCATCAAACCATTCACTTCAGCAAACACTGCAGAGAAGTGCACGTAGCATATACAGTGGCCCTTGTATGCTGTTTTTTGTATGTGCTAGCTCTTTCGTTGCTGTTATTATTACATCAGGCAGCAGGGAGATGTGACAGCCCATGCTACCATGATGCTCACCTGCAGGTCTTGACCCTGTTCCCAAGGGGCATGGCTGCAAATTCCTGCCTTCCGAGACGTTTTTGCTCATGGGACGTCCATGTTATCAATGCTAAGAGACCAGAAGACCTTTTCCACTGATTTAGCACAAGGGTTGCTTCTGGAGGTCAGAGGCAACCCCACTGTACTGTCAGTGTTTCCATTGAGTGATGGACAGATCCCCTGCCACTGACCTTTTGTCCTCAGAGGGCAGATAATGATGTTGAAGGTAGCTTCCTGAAATAAATTGGTGCTCCCCTCTTGTTTGCTTACAGATGGTCATTTCTCCAAACCCACTGTACCTTAAAGAGCAATGGTCAGGCTCTGTTCATCATTCTGGCATCCACTGGCCAGCCCTTAGCTCAAAGACAAGTTTTCTACTGCCAGGTCTCGAAAGACCCACTGTCAAACCCTGTGGTCTCTTCTGTCTCTTTGTCCAGGCATACAGTGCCATGACATAAGGATGTTGTAGCAAGCACACTCCCCTCCTCTTCCCCAATGCATTGGCCCGCCACTGCTCTCAGGCAGCAAAATACAGAGATTGTTTTTAGGCCAGGAAAACTGTCTGCTGGGAGCAGTGAAAAACAGGAGTGAAATAGGGAAAAGTACAAGCACAGCTGAAGCTGGCTCGTGTATTAATCCACCCATCCCCTCCAGGCAACAAAGAACAGCTCTGACTTAGAAGAGCAGCTCAGGAAGTCCTTCCCACCCATGCCTTTGCCTGATGGGAAGACATATATGACTGTTGCCATCCCAGAAAATTCACCTATTATTCTGATCCAGATTTGCACAGAGCCAGTACGAGCACTGCAGAAAACACCTAGCTGGAACTCCAGAGGCCTGCCTCCCATTAATTGCATCTTTCAAGCTACCAGAACAAATGGTCTAATCAACCCTATGCTTATACCAGGCAATTCAAAAGCATTAAGCCCTGACAAGGCCTGTAATTATAAAAAGGAACAGAGTCACAGGACTCTGCCGGAAGGGAGCATTTTAAACAAGAGCTGAGCTCAGTGGTCTATGTTGGTGGCTTAGGGAGCTTGATCATGGGAAGCAGAGTGCACCTGCAGCACCTAGGGAGGTTTGGGTTGCATGGCAGGAAGAATTTCTTCATGGAGAGGGAGCTCAGGCATCAGAAAGGGCTGCCCAGGGAGGTGGCAGAGTCCCCGTCCCTGGAGACGTTTAAGAGAGGTGTGGATGTGGTACTGAGGGACACAACTTGGTAGTGAGACTAGGTAGGTTAACAGCCAAACCAAAACACACACACCACACACAAAGAAAACACAAATAAACCCAGAAAAGACAAAGCTATTTTGGCTATATCTAGCCCTTAAAGCTCGATGCCTGATGGGCTAAAACTCATGCCTTTGGGATTTGTAGCAGGACACCTTGTCCATAGCTGTTGCACCCTGGAGAAAAAGGAATTAAGTGCCTTTATTAGTATGAATGAATCAATAATTAGCTACAAGCATTACAGAAAATTACAAGCAACTGGCGATACAGAACACAGAGATAGAACAGTGATCCTTTAATAGCATTGTTATGAGATGACAACATGTAGTAGACACAGTTACATGAGGTGGCAGAGACTGTCCTCCCACCGAGCTGTAACACACCAGAATGCTATCAGCTGACCGGTGTACCCATACAGCATCTTACGAACTCATCCGACGACCATTTGACTTTAAAGTGATTGTAAGGAAAGACTCACTTCATTACAGAATAGATTTTCCTGAAAAACAAAAGGAAATTTGTGTCAGGTTTGTTCTTCAACATGCTGGATCTTTGAGGCTTGGTTCATCATATTCTCCAATCTCCTTAAAAAAAAAAAAAAAAAAAAAAAAAGGGGGGGGGCGGGAAATGTCATAGCTTGTAGTTTGTCTCAACAGAACTAAGCAAACGTACCCAGCCCAAGAAAAATATATTTAACTTCACAGAATTGCTTATTAATTTCTGTAGCATCAGAACCATATCACAAGGAATCTGTACAGAGAAATCTGCATATGCAAAACACCACATGTGCAAAAATGTCGTGTTAATTGCTAATTAGTGGGGGGAAAAAAGAAAGAACCAAACTGCTAGAAAAAAAGTAGAGACAGTAGAATAAGCAACATATTGCTTATACAATACAAACCAGCTCATACTGGCGAGTCTCTGAAGCAGAGGTGGTTGAGGTTATAAGCAGATATACGGTCTCCTGAGAAATGCAGTTGAATTAAGAGCTACAACATGCACAAATTTGAGATCAGTTTTTCAAGAAAACACATGACTGCCTCTACAGCAGGTCTGTAGCCTACACTGTGTTTTCATCAAGTTTGTCACCATGGCAATGTGAAAATTCTACTGTAAATCAGTTTTGTTTGTAAAATTTTAGGGATGGATTTGGGCCAGAAAGGAATGCCCACAGGTGGTAACGACAATCTCAGCGACCCCCTGAGAGTGGCTTGAGCAGGAGCAGGGCTGGGGCAGGACCCAGGTAGAGCTGGGGGAACGAGGAAGATTTGAAGCCTGGAGCATAGGACATGGAGCTGAGCTGGGTTTGCTCAGCCTGGAGATGAAGCTGCAAGAAGACAGACCTTAGTGCTGTCTGCTAGCTGGTGGGAGGATTTAGAGAAGGACAGGCATTTCTCAGGGGTGTGCTTAGGTAGGATGAGAAAAAACAGGAGCAAGTTGGAACATGGGAAATTCCAGCTCAGTATAAGAAAAATCTTCCCCCAAGAGAGCTCCAGCACTGAACTAGGAGCCCAGAGAGGATGAGGGATCCTTGAATATCCTGGGACATTCAAACTTCAGCTATGCAGCCACATGTAACTGGCTCTGCTCTGAGCAGGAGCTGGACTTCCAGAGGGCTTTTCCAGCTTGCCAAATTCTTTGACAAGCTCATTTCCAGTGCTTGCAAGATGCAGTATTTCACAAGGATAGCAGACAGCTGAAGGCCCTTTTTGTTCCTCCACTGCAGTCCTGTTGGTTTTCTTTAGCAATTAAGTTAAGGGACTTGCAATCAGGCCTTAAAGACACTGTAAAGTCTAAGGAATCCTCCAAGCTCTGCATCCTCCAGAAGCAGGAACAATTTCATCAGTGCAGCTGTGTGTCTAATCCTTGAAAACAGATCTAAAGGAGGTGAGCAAAGGGCAAGACAAAAATCACTGCCACTTTGAACAGCAACAATAGACTGTCACAGCGATTCTTTCTGCCGTTAGATGTCTGCCTCATCCCTGCACTGTGATCTGACCTAAGCATCAAAAAAGGTCCTGCCCAGATCTGTATCAGTTTCAGTCCTTCGCCTCTGAACACACGAGGGCATGCTTCTTCTCTGTTATAGCATGTCACGAATGCCAGGTGACTCTTATAGCTCAGCTATCACAGACTCCAAGGCAAGAGGAATATAATGGTAGCCTGTCATTTCTTCCTTGCTACTAACGAGGTAAATTGCTCTAGCTCTCACTCAGAGCTGATCTGGATGTGGAGCTCATGCATTACGCAGCAGATCCCATTCTGCAGGAATGTTCCTTCCTTCTGATGCGTCACTTTTTTCCCCTCAGAAAGCAACAGGCTGCTTTCTGAGAACTAGATAAACTGGGGTCGATGAGAGGAAAAGGACAGAAAAAAGTCTAATACAAGCCACGACAATTAAAAGAAAAAAAAAAAAAAGAAGAAAGGAAAATCAGGCAGCTTCTTACTGAGAACACTGGGGATAAAAGCTCTTCTTTCTGTGCCCCAGGAGGGTTATGCACGCTGCCCCACTGTTACTTTCCTGGATGAAGGACAAATGAGCATCCAAGTCCACTTGGATCATGGATTTCTTGGGTAGGAGCAGAAGAGGCCCAACATTAGCAGTTACTCTTTCATTGAAAAAAATATAGTCAAGAATAACAACCTATTGACTTCAGCTTCTGCAAGGCTGCTAATCAGCTAGTAACAACTGCCATCATCACATCCCAGCCAGCAGCAAGCTGTGCCAGGTGAGAATTCAGCCAGAGGGTCATTTTATGGAAATACAGAAAAAGCAAGCAGGAAGTCACAGCCCTCTGGCTTTATGCAGAAGGATTCTGATTATCTATTAAAAAACAAAACAAACACATTCCCTGTGTGATTAATGACAGCAAGAGAAAAATCAGTCTTTACAACCTACACATATATTGCAAGCAAAAACAAGAGCTGTCTTCTTTATTTTCCTATTTGCAGCAGTGAAGCACTGCTGGTGACCCCAGACAAGGCATAGGTCAGACTCCACCCTGCACTTAAGGCAACTGCCTTAGGTGGTTGATTTTGGAAAGCAGAGTGCTGGGGCCCTTTTCTTTCTGGAGTTCAAGGTATTAGGTGAGTTGAGCCATTTTTTAGGCTCCTCTTTGTGATTCAGAGCTGCAAACACCATTAAGCGGATTCCAGCTCAATGGAAACTGGAATTCCACACACCCCTGCACACTCAAAAAGCTTTTCATCACAGGGTGTGCAAAGCAGCCTTCTTTCAGAGCAGGCTATCAATGGGGGACAGGCTGCATTACTAACATGCCATTTGCTGACACTGTGGCAACTGACACAGCTTCGACAGGCTCTGCACATACCTCGCAGCCAGGCTAAGGAAGGACCTTAACACTTGTTGCAGGCTAAGGATCAGCTGTCTGTACAGCAGCTGGCTCTCCTGCTGTCCCCTGCTCGTGTGCCTGAGTTATCTGTTGGAAAGGCCAGTCCACAGCTAGGACGTGTAATATTCACAATCTCCCCAGTTCCGGAGATGCACCAGGAAATAAATCCAGAAAAATCTGATTAGCACTTGTCAATGAAGTAAGCTCATTAGTCATTGATGTGGTTCTTTCATATGCAACTTGGTAACTCCTGCAGGCATCAGCAGACCAGTGGGTCTGAAGACTGCAGACCTGAAAGAGTTCTTTATGTAACAATTGCATTGATTTCTTCCTCTTGAATATTTAGCACATTCTAATTAAAATAGAGAGAGAGACAGAAAGCACCAATGAGATCATTTAGCCTAGCTTTTTGCATAGACTGGGGAAGGATTCAGGCACAGGATTCTCCTGAAATAATTCCTGTTGCCAAAAAGAAGAGAAGAGCTAGTCCATAAAATGAAAAATCCAGCATGGAAAATTCTTTCAACAATTCGCCTTTGTGATTTTTGCAGCAGTTACACATTCTGTTGCATAAAAAAAAATAAAAATAATCACATTTGTTACCTGAATGTGTCTAGCTTTTCCTGTCAACAACAGGTCCTTTGAATAAAAGATAAAAGTCTTCTATTACTAAATTGCCGTTTCCCCAGCCTCCTCCTAAATATTCCCTCAGCTGAGCATATGTCAGCTGAGCTACTGCCATTGCAAAACACAGCAGATATTTCCCATAACCCAGCAAATGCCTTCATCACAGAAGGGCTTGTAATAATGCCAGCCAGGATCACACAGTTGCCAAAACACAGGAGTTAAAAAAAAAAAAAAAAAAAAAAAAGTCATGAATGACCCTCCTTCTCCTGAAGCACACGGAATAATTTGGGTACAAGTGGCTCCAAATTTAACCTGCATATAAAACCCTCTAATTCTAGGTACACATGAAATAGAGAAATAAGCACAGCTCCAGACTTTGCAGCTTTTTATTATAAAAATAAAGAAAACTAGGAGATCTTCAAACCTGCTTAAGTATATGCCTCTGAACTGTTGTTGGGCCAAACAACTAGAACTCTGGCTGGAAACACAGCTCCACAATTGACACTGGCAACCTATCTTCAGGTTAGAACAGAAATATTAACAGAAAGTATTAAAACTGGAGCTGCACAGGGCTTCAAGAACTGTCAGTTTATGCCCATTTGTTTCATGGTCTCTTTCAAGATGGTTTCACAACTTGCTTCTGATTTAGAAATTCGTTAGGCATTAGGTCCAGGAACAAAAATATTTGTGATCACTGCTTACTGGGGGTGGCTCCTCTTGAGTGAGGAAGAATTAACTTAAGACAGCTGGCATTTTGCAAATGCAAAGAAAACGATGTCAGCCCATTTTGAGAACACAGACCACCTTCCCAACAACTTTTCTGCAAGATTAGCTGAGGAAGGTATGACTCGAATTCATCCAGCCAGACTAAGACTGTTTGCTTCTCAGAAACCAATGATAGGCACACATTGACAAAATTTGTCCCAGAACAGAATTTGGAACATGAAAGTCAATTTTATGCTACTCTTCAGTAAGCCTCAGTCTTTCCACACTGTCTCCTTGGATTAAAGCTACCAGAAGGGCACAGAATGCACACCAGAATGCCACTGCATATGCTAGGGACATTCAAAGGCAGTTAGAAAAGTTAGGAGATTCCTGTGAGAGGCACAAGAACAGCATATCACCTTTACTGGCTCATGGATAAACTAAGCTAACATATGGATTTAATGAAAGCATTTATAGGAAGACCTGACCTAGCAGAATGACTGCATTTTCCTTTCATGTCTGTTTTCTATGAGAGTAGGGGCATGTCTCCTTCAGCACATATAGATTAGCCACAGATATGTTTATGAGTAACATGTGTTAGTTTTGGTGAGTCATCACTGCTAAATAGCATCTAAAACTTTCCCGTTGCAAATGCAGTGGGCCTGAACTGAGCTCCACACACATTCAGCATTCAGTTCTGTCCCTCTGCAGGGAGGAAGGCCTGCTAACAATATGTACCCAAGCAAGTGTGTGAAGCCTTTTTAATCACACATAGTGCTAAGTAGTTCAGTAGGATACGTTTTGTGAGCTCCAGGGAATTGTGAGTGCCTTTAACTAACCTCCAAACACCTCCCTCACAGCTTCCCTGCAACAAACACTTGCCCTAGACAAGCTTCTTTGTTCTCTCAGATACCTTATTGCTGCATTTACTTTATGTTTGCTGAACCTCATGGCCTCTTGCTTTAGATTAAGCAGGAAGACGTGGCCTTTCCTGAAAGCATAAATAGATAGAACAAGCTGTGGGCTGGAGGATAGCACTGGCACAAAGATGGCAGGTGACTTGCTGGAGCCCACAGTACAGGACTCTAAAAACTCATCTGTGTCCCTGTGAGTACACAGACAGGGCACACTCCAGGTCCTTTGGTCAAATGATGCACCCCTGCAACCAGGCTGGGAAAAGGACAAAGCATCCACATGAAACATGGCTCTGCCAGTCAGAACAGGCAGAGACAAAAAGACATCATAATAGCTGAAAGCTTGAGCCCCACACCAAATTCAGGCCAGCAGATTGACTTTGTTGCACAGCGTTCAGGCTACCTTCACAACCAGAACGCTGGGGTTTGCTAGAGGAGAGTGAGCAACAGCCAGGTACAACAACAAGAGAAAACCAAAAACATCTGCTGCCTCAACAACTGGTCAGAGCCCTGCTCTGTGAGCCCTCACAGAGGCATGAGGGATGGCCACCCCAAAACACAGCTCCTTCCTGTGAGACCAGTGAGGACATTCAGAGCTCTGGGTGCTTTTGATGACATGTAACAGGGTAACTCCCATAAGAGTGCCACGGCACTAACAGCTTTCGTTCCCGAAACAGGCAGTTCAGACCTGAATGGATCTTAATCCACAAAGACTACAAACCTGCACATTTAACCCAGTCTCACTGAATAAAACGTCTCTTTTTAACCACTCTCAGAACCGTATAAAAGGGAGAATCGAGGGAGCAGAATTATAATCCCTTAGCTTTTTGCACCAGTTAATTTCACCATACAGTTGAGTTACTCTTGCTTTCCAGGCAGAATCAGGCAATTTATGAAAGTGCTTCCTGTATTTGTCCTTTGAGCTGTAGGAGTTGCATGTTTTGCCTCACATTTAAGCAACACTGTGCTGTTTGTGTCACTGCATTTCCCCATAAGCAAGCCTTATATATGCCTAGGGTACTGTGGATTTTAAGATGCTTGCATCCAAGAAGCACCTTCCCAAAGAGGTCCTTTATCCTGAGCAGCCACTTTATACCACTCTGGTCTGAAACCTGCAAACTTAGTGTGCATAGAAGCTACACTTTGAACTGTACTCACCTAAACTGTATTATTCAATCTTGCCAGAGCTGATACGGTTGGGTTTATGCCAGTCTCCATGGATGCTGCCTCTTCCTCTTGAAGAGAAGGCTTCAGAAACAAATATACAAAGAACATTGAGACATAAATGGGTGTTACGTGCTGTCAGACGTGTGTTACATGCATTCATTCTGCACAACATTATAAGAACCTCGATGCATGGATCTGGCAATTCAGAAAAGGACTTCATAGTGTTTATAAACCACAGAATTACCCTATTTTGCAGCCTAATGCCCTCGCTGCATTCTCACTGAGAAAACCCGTACACAGTAAAAAAAAGATGGGACGTGATTTGAGCAAACTACTAGTCTTCAATATTTTCTTCTCCCTCCATTGGATGACCTTCAGATGGCCAATCAAATGATCCAAAAGGCAAACCAACATGTGCCAGGAATGTCCAGCATGGCAGAAATGGCTTACCTTCTCCGCGACTGCTGCCCCACTTGCCACGGTTCATTATCCGCATAAACATCATCTGCAAATTAAATAAATTTATTTTGAAAGCTCAGTCAAGAAGTCAGGCTCACCTTCATTTCTTCGGGTACTATGTGATCACTGAAGTTATTCCAGACTTCATTATAAATTTATCTGAAAACGAGGTTACTGCTGATACTACTGCAAAGCAGTTACACTGCTATGGAAGTCTTGTGCAGGGCAAACTCTCAGGTCAACATCTTCGGTACGTTAATACTTTACCTGACTTTACTGTAGTGCTGGTACAGACAAGAAAGCAGAACTTGGACAGCTGCATTAGTTTGTTGCACTCCCACATGGCTTTGACTTATTTATCCCAAATTACTCTTTTAAAGGCTATGATCTTCTTTCGTAGGTTCCTGTCCCAGTAATATGATCCCAGCCTCAAAGAATCACAATTCCTCTCCTATCCAAATACCCATGGCACTACAGGTGCTACACTAACATCATTCACAAGGAGCCAAGCTGAGATCCCTTGAACTGAGTTACAACCTCCAGAGCAAGAGCTGCAGCCCTCTGCAGAAATGCTTTCTTTTTGATGTGTAGTAATTCTCTTTAGCATTTATTCCATACTAAGTTTGTAGGAAATGTATTCCCCAGCACGAATATTGGCAGCAGAACAGAATTTTAAGAGATGGTTAAAGGAAGAACTCTGCTTGTAAAAGCAAGTGTTTATACTCAGTGCCCAATTAAACAAGAGTTATGCTTAACCCACAGAGGACAGACCGAACATCCAAGACTACCTTACAGATTCCAGTATTTCACAGTCTTTTTGCTCTGCAAATCAAGAATTCCTGTGGTATATTCACTAGGCTTACTCTGAGCAGAGGTTCTGAACAACATTTGGCAATTCAAATCAAGAGGACACAACACAGAATCCTTTGGTACTTGAAGCTTCCAAAAATAAAAGCTGTCCATATCCTCTGGCACCTTGCTTGTGAAACTAGTTTCATTCCCTGAACATAATTCTCAAGCGCAATACCCACTGCAGATATGAGTTGTAAGTGCAGGCATCCAATTTCAAGTGTCGGTTCATGGAAAAAATGGCATTGTCTGAAAACAGCTAGCAGGAATTCACAAGTTGGGTCAGCATTTAATCACACCATATAAACCAAATTAGAGCTTAAAAATAAAGATGAATGGAACATAAATCTCAGCAGAGCAAACCCTCTTCACCTATCCTATGATTACATGCTCAGCTGAGGGATATGATAACAGAGCCAGGATCATCGATATTTGTTTCTGTCTCTCAGATGTGCCAATCACTGTTCTCCAGGCACAGACATGCTATATTTCAGTGGAGAATGAGTGTCAGATTTGGTGGATGTGCCAGACTGTCACAGAGATTCACACTCTCCCCAGGCATCCATCAAGCAAGGTCAAACCTCTCATATGATGGGAAGCGAAGCATTATAGGAGACAGCTGGATTTCAAATCACATACGGTTTCCTGACAAAAACCTCCAACTGCCCCTAAATAGATGCCAGGAGCTTCCACAGCACAGAAAGCACAAAACAAGGAGGTGATTAGAAGTCTGAGTAAGGACAGAAAAAGGACACCCATGTGCCACCATTGGGATGGAGAGGCCTCTGGCCACATGGCCGTGCACAGAAAAAACACCCCAGACTTCAGTGACTGTTGCATTTAGGGTGGAGGAAGTGGGGCACAGTGATGTGATGAATCATGGGCAAAATCCATGTCCCCTTGTGCCTCAGTTTCTCCACTAACAACATGGGAACACTGTGAAGTGAGATGATACATAAAAACCCCTGAATTGCCATTCACAGTTTCAGAGGATCAAAGCCAGTTGTAAAGCCTACCTTCACACTTATATACCCGACCTCTCCTTGAAAGAGAATGAGCAGAATTTTTATGCTCCCCAAGCAGCAAAAAACAGTTCCTTACCTCCTCGCTGCTCATCGATTCAGAGCTGGACGTGCCCTGATGGCACTGCACAGTGACATTCCCAATCAGCTCACCAGAGACTTCCACAACACTTCTGCAGAAAGCAGTTCGCTGCAACAGATAAAAATAGAGCATCTCTGGTGGAGCAAAGCTACAGCACAAACTATCTCATGGGATTTTCACTTGGGGAAGGAAATTTTTACAGGCAGTTATTAATCAAATTCCAAAACGACAAAACTCAAGGAAGACTCTACACCTCATGAATATTTGGAGCAGCCTGCAGCCAGGCCATTTTATTCTGGTGGCATATGACTGCACATGAGTTATTGCTCCACAATTGCATACTAGCTGTATGAAGCCTTGAACCTGCTAGCATTAGCAAAAAATAAAAAAAAAAGATCCAAAACCTTTTCACGGTTCTAGCATCGCAAATCACAAACAGGAGAGTTATTCAGGAATATGGTGATAGCAGCTCCAGCTCTAGAGGTTGAGCTACCTTTAAAGAATTCGTCTCTACTATTTGACAGAAGCTCCAGCTGAGCCTGCACCCAAATTTGGAAGACAAACATCCTCACATTATCTTTCATTCTATATTGTACCAACAAGAAGAGAAACGGGGTGTGTCTTCTCAACCACCAAATTGTCAAGACTAAGGTGGAGATTTCTCTCTTTACACTCAATCTGTAATTAATATGTTCAGTACATACATCAAGATGAATCTATTTGTTCACTCAAAAAATCAGGTCAATCTAATTAGACGCCCTCTGATTGGGATGACTTGTGGGATGGGGTCTTACTTCACAGCAGCCAGCTCTTGTGATTTCAAAGAAAACTTGGCAACTTTCATCATTTCTGTGTTGTTTCAACTACATGCACACAAGCTGCTTAGCTCAAGAGCAGTGATACCCAAAGAGACCTTTGCCTCTCTCTGTAGGATGTAAACTACCTCCTGACATAGTATCACAACTCACAATCTACTAGAAAAGGCTTTGCACCATCTGTTCCACTGCCTTCCCAGAATCCCTCCTCTTCCCTAAACTCTGTGCCCAGGAAGGACAAACTTGGCAGTCGCAGAGGAAAATGAGACAAGAAGAACTCAGAAGAGCAAAAGAACTATGCTTAGTCTCTCTAGGAGTCTAATACCGTACATAGTATAGCAATATTGGGCACAGGGACACAAGCTACCCCACATGTTCTGTAAGATTTGTGCTAGCAGTCAGCACACAACCACTCAGAAGCTGGCGATGGAAGCCATATTTCATCAAAAACATCTGGGCACAGATTCAAAGATGATGTATTTGCACCAAAGCTGGTCATCTAAGAATCAATGTCCAGCAGGAGCTATATCAAAAGCCTGATCTGCCTTTATTTCAGGTTGAAAAGGGAGATGAAAACTAAAAATAAATTAAAAATTAAAAAATAGCACCATTGGCACAAGGTGGGAATCACCACTAGGCAGGAAACTAAGTCTTTACATGGTACTTTCACAGCCTCATCAAAGAGCACTCAAAGCCAACAGTAATGCATCTGTTGACTTCAAGGACACTTAGGTGGGGACAAGTGAGCCCTGTTTTCTTTTGAAAACTATACAAAATTCTCACTACGTTCGAAAATGAACACACTTACTGTCAAGGCTTAGTAGAGAAAAAGCATTTGGTCTGAATTTAGGCTTCAGCCATGCCCTTGGCACTCAGTTAGAGCTGAAAATCAGCAGAGCTCTTCCTTCTTGGATATATCACCTCTGCTGTGAAAGTACTGATAATGCTGCTTTCCCCTTAGACTTCCTGGAAACACTGGCTCCAAGAGCAGGGAGGTAAGGCTGCCAAAATCCTTCCTCATTCCTACTGTGCAGTCAACACATCATCCTCACCTCACATACAGCTCCTGGCCTTACTACTTACTGCAGCACAAAGCTGCGTCTGTGAGGGTGCCCCACATCATCCTGTACAGATAGCCAGTTCTGTTCTTGTCTCCTGCTTTCCTGACTTCTTACCTAGATGTGTGCAGGTCAAACATCAGTTTTTCTACCCCTTAACTTGGAAAAGAAGGATTCGGCCCCAAAGCACACAGACACTTTCACTACATGCTGTTCCAAGGCACACATGCTCTCTTGTTAGCTCAGAGCAGCTCTTCTATTCCCCACTGGCCAGGAAGATTTCCCAACACTGCCCCTTCCCACGTGATACCCCATCTGTTCAGCAGGTTGTATTTGTTTGTGTTTGTTTTTGTTCTGAGAGGGCCAACCACTCTTCAGCACCAGGAGTGTTTCAACATGTCCTGAGAACATCCTGCACCGAGGGGAGTTTCTCATTCGCACCAGATGCACTTACCGCAAAGGGCCCTATTTTGAAGTCACACGTGAACGGGTCTCTTCCTGAAGCTTTTGTGCACACAGTTTCACGAATGCTGAGCTGCAGCTCTAGTCTATAATCATTGCTGTTCCACATATCAACCTGGTAAAAGAAAGGTCAAGACAACTAGTGCCTTCACTTCTTTGTCAAGCAGAAGCTGGATATAAGGGCGTTATGGGTCAGCATCTAATTTAGAGCAGATTACGGTGTGTGACAAAGTGTATTTGCATGTGCTCAGGAATTACTCTCTTAGGCAGATTTGGTAAATGTAACACAGAAGAGCTTTTCACAGAGCTTTCACTAAAAATCCCACAGCCCGTTACAGGAGTCACTGTAACTGTAAACAGCAGATGAACGTAGATAGCACCAGCCCTACATGCTGCTGCCCACCAATGCCACTGCAGCCCAGCACTTCTGCTGCTCCTCCTTCTTTTGTGGGAACCAGGGGATAACCTGATTAGATATCGAGACTGCTGGGAAGTCTATTGCAAATACATGGCTTGGAAAGCAGAATACACAACTGCAAATGGTTGAGTTACTGTACCTTGTACAGACACTCCTTATCAGCTCAGTGTGCCCTAATGGGCAATGTGCATGCCACACTGCAAGCCTTAGAATTTGGTTGCTTTTGTTGACACGCCAGGTTTTTCTTTTCTCCTTCTCACAGCCTAATCAATGTTTTAGCTCAAGACAGGACAATCAATCAATCAAGCAAACAACAACAAATCCACAGTGCTTTCAGCAATTTCTTTTGAGAACGTTTTTTTTCCAAACTAGATCACTATAAAAGTTATCTCACCATTCACTTTTGCAGAGGACTTGATACACACCACCTATAGAAGCAGAATGATTCTGAGGATGTCTAAGCACATGGGCATGCCATCTTTAAATCAGGAAGATCTAACTCCTTAACTCTGCTCCAGTACAATAGATTTAAACCAGGTGTTCTGGTGTGTGGAGACAGGTGATGTAAATGAAGATTGGCGAAAGAATCCTGGATGTGTTTCTGGTGCTGTTTAATTAGCAGTGCAGACATTCAGCTGAGACCCTCAGATGTCAATTAGATGTAAAGCAGATTGCTTTATGCCCAAAGCAAAGCAAAGCTGTCAGCTGGAGGTATTTGAAAACATCAGCTCTTTTCTGAATGAATTTTTGAATAAAATTTTACAAGACATCTCTCGAAGGCTTCTACTCAAGAGGTAGACAATTTGAACTCCAAAAATATTTTTAATTAAAACCCAACATACAAACAATATTTAAAGCCATAAGTTTGAGCAATGCCCCTGGACCACCCTCTTCCAAGAAATATTAGAAAAGTCCAACTAAATCTGGGTTTCCAAGATCAGGTGAAAAATGGTTTTCCAACAAAGCAAAGCAAATTTAAAGTAAAGGACCTCAGCTGTCGGCACACTTACATTTCGAACGTGGCTCCTGAAAATTCCATACAGGTTTGGCCCCCATGACTGAGAATTGATTTTTGCGATGGATGCATTGAGGGCCTCTTCTGTGATGGGGAGTTCATAATCGTACACTGGAAACCCTGAGACAGACACACACATCCATTAGGAGTTCGGTGTCACCTCGTGATTTTCCTGCCTGAACCATATGAAAAAGGACACGATAGCACTCTGAGCAACTTACCTGAACACAAGGAAATGCTCAGCGTGAGGACAAAAATTAAGATCCTCATAGTGTGCCTTTCAAAATCCTCTGGTCTTTTCCCTCTCCAAGCAAGGGTTTCCACTGCATGTTCCTGTCTTTATATAAATGCAGCCTTGATGCTATACCTGACCTTCCTGTGTCCAAGCTCTGCTACAAACATTGCACTTTAAACAGAATTGATCCAAGAGTAAATATTTGCTGTCAGCTTTTCTCCATTTAGCAGTAGTTCTCTGATAAGAGATGGACTGCTGTGCTTTTTCCTTAGCACCGTGATTAAAAAGAACCACTGGATTCCTGATGCCTCCATGGCCAAAGGCAGAGTCGAGTTATTTTGTTCGCTTTTAGCCACTCGTTTTTGATTTAAGGCTGGTTGAGTCAATGCTTTCCTGATCACCTTACCAGCACCTTTGTGTCCCAGCCACAACTGAAAGCACTTAGAAGCTGGAAGTCCCCGATTCCCCAGGACCAGAATGGGAATTTACCCACATGGACTTGTGTGAGACCACGGCACACTGGGCCAAAGCATTGAACTGAGCCTCTCTGACACAAGGCCCATGGTAGACCCTTGGGACACCCAGGTCCATTTGTCCTGTAAGCTCCTGGGACCTTTGCTGTTGAGCTGTGCCCGAGGAACTCTCTCATGGCTCTGACTCTTTGCCAAGCCTGAGACCAGCTAACCAAACAAGTAAGAGTCCGTGACCATTTGGTTTCCCCTGTCACATCCTCCTGATGCTCAGGCCTCAGTTCCAGTGCAGAAATTAATGGGATTTTTGAAAAATGAAGACCTTATTTCAGTACTGAAAACATCATCAAGAAGTACAGGGACAAGGAAGACGTGGCACTTTAGCTCTTAGCTATCTGAAGCCAGACTGTACCTGGGCAAGGTGTTCTCTATCCCCTCTCCAGCACAAGGCATTCAGCATTTGCTAACTTGCTTTCCAAATGCAGGCAACACATCGTGTGACTCTGCCACAACTACCCCATCTGCAGCACGTATCAGAGAAGCACCTGGGTTTTAAGTGCTAAAGGCTGTCCATGAGAGTTGGGGAAGGAGGAGAGGAAACTGCTGCCTTCAAACAAGTTCACCCATTGCTGTCTGTTCACAAGGCAGAGATGTGTCTAACCATATTCATTTTGAAGATCCCGCGTGTGAAATTCCTCCATTAACCTTCAAATTCCAGTTCCACTTACATTATATGGTACTGAGCCGTTGTCAGAACTTCCCAAATGACAAGCACTCAGGAAAGACATGGGAGCACACAAAGTCCTGGGACTCAGATTTTATAAAGGAGAGGATAAAGTCATTTCTGGTTCTTAAGCCTTAGGATTATGATAGCCTAACAATACTCAGCAATGGCAACATCATGCCTCCTTGCCATTTCTCATTGCTACATCCGTAACTTGTGCCAGAAGGATAGCTACAGATTCGCATCCATGGAAAAAACCTCTACATTCTTGCAATCAGAAGGGAAAGACACCCCCATCTTTATTCGAAGTAAGTCTCTTCCTTAGCAATGGTGAAGGAACAAGCAGCCTGCTCAGCCTGGGCTTTGCACTCCAAAAGAGACAAATAAAGATGTTGCAGAGCTAAGTCAAGTCAAGTAATCAGAAGAATTCCCCTTGTCCCTGGCTTTGAGCAGGGACATCTTCCAGATGAGACAAATACACAGCCAAGCACCTCAGGGCAGGAGGGAGGGAGCTGGACCCAACTTAATTTACACAGCAAACAGTTAGGCACCATTTAAGAAAAGAGAAAATTATAGAGTTTAATAGCTTCTGTTATGTGGCTATTTTCAGACCACTCTCACTCCCAGTAATCAAGTCAGCTGTTCCCAGACTACTGGGAGAAGAATAATTTATCTTTGTGAGTGAAATTTTAATTATTTCAAGATACATTTTCATTAAAAATGTAAATTGTGCAGCAATGGCATAGTCCAAACACCATCCCAGGCACTGAGGAACAATTTCTGATCACATTTTCCGAGCAGATTAAAGTAAATGACGTCCCTTTAGACAGATGAAAACCCAAATAAATTCAAAACAACAGTTGATTTTTTTTTCTCTTCCTAGGTCTGGCATTGGCAAATCCAAAGGCTCTCTACAAGTTCTCTGTGGGTAACTTCTTCCTCGCAGATGCAGAAGCCTAGTTGTTGTATTGGTTTTCATTGATAGAGATAGGAAAAAAGCTTCCCGATTTTGCTCAGACTAACAAAGACTTTGAGATCTGATCCATTGTTCATTGACGCCAACAGAGACTCAGCTGCGATTCCCTTTGGATCCTGTCTTCATGTCCCTTGAGAAACTAGCCCTTGACCACCTGGGGCATCTGGGATGGAGAACAAGTCTTGGTTCTTCCCATTTCTCTACCTGCTGTCATAAGATGACACCCTGTGCCACGCTGGCTGCATTTCTCAGTGCCACGTAGAGCTTTCTGCTAAAGCACTAGCAAGACTCTTAAAGATTTGATAGTCAACAGGGGAGTAGAGTGAAAACAAATGAATATAGTCACACCTCAGCTTCCCACGCCTACACTTGTAAGGATGAAAACAGATGGATTTCATAGATCTGGACTTTATACCATCCAGCTTCATATTCTACAAGATTTGCTGATGCTCCAGAGAACCCACGTAGTTCTGTGTCAACACTGAAAACTACAGAACTGATGTCTTAGCAGTAATTTTACAAAGATTAAAGGCAACATTTCAGTGTGTACAGGCAGCGCCAAGCCCCTTTGTCACTGCACTTCTGAGGTGCACCATACATGCTGGTCTGAGAGATACAACCTAAACCTACAGTTTCCACTGCTGTTGCTGTGGACTTTGAGAGTGAAGCAATAGAAAGCACACATTACAGCAAACAAAACCTCAACAATGCATACCGGATGGTTATTCAGAAACATCATAGGCTGCAGCAGAACCTCAGAGATCTCTCTTCATTCCTTTGAGCCTTTGAAACTTTAAATATTTATATTTCCTGTTTCTGCTAAGTCAGCAGTAACAGTTCTTATGGGGTCACTGGCATAACTTTGTAGTTGATGCAAGACAAATATTACCTGCAGACTCAAAGAGTGTTACCTGAAAAGCCAAAGAGAGAGATGTCTTTTTTTTCTTTCTTTTTTTTTTTTTTTTTTAACATTTTGCTGACCATGCTGATAATTTTCAAGGTTTTCTCCCTCTTCCAAACATTGTATGCATAGGGCACATTGTCAGCTAGTTCTGCTCTTATATCCTTTTGCATTTTTAGTTACAGTTAGTTGCAACCACTGGTCAAAACAAGGCCTGGTAAAATTTGAAATCCTAGGTGAAAGCAGGCAAAACATTCACCTCCCTCTTCAGAAGCCATTTTCTGTACAGTGCAGCCACCTGTGTCATATATTCTCCGTCGTGAGTCTCAGGATGTCATTTACTGGAAGTGGCTTGCACTGCACTTTCTGGTATTCAGACATGTTACCAGCATTTCTTTTTAATGGTATTTCAACCCTATCCCTCAGAATCAGTGTAATTCGGCACACAAAGGGTTGTATCTGGCAGTCAGTCATGAGAAGGTGCTCATTCAGAGGAACATGAGTCATGGATTTTTAGCTTGAATTAATAATAATAATAATAATAATAATAATAATAATAATAATAATAATAAAATATATATTTTTATCATTTGAGAAAAGTAGTATATATTTTTTTTAAATTTCCTACAGGGGTTAAGATCCATAACCAGAAAAATCAGAAATCTAAACTTCAAGGATCCTTAAACAATAAAGCTGATGTTCTCATCTCTGATCTTTGGAGCCTCTGGCCAGATACACCAGGTTTTAGACATTAGTGAGAAAGTCACTGGAGGTGAGATGAAGCTTATATTTTGAGATCAGCATATATTTTAAATAATGACTTCAGTCATGAGTAGCAAAACCAGGAATTTGCTAGCCACGCTGCTCCAGGCACTGTTTTGTCTCATGCTCTGCACAGCGTCAGTCTGCCATTTGGATTCAAAAGTCTGAGGGCACACGTGGAAGCTCAAAACTCAAAATAGGTGGGGTGAAAAGATGGAGGTGAATTGGACCACTTCTTCCCCAAACTGAGCGCAAGACCAGGATTCTACACAAGTTCTCAGCTGCTATGCAAGCACTGCAGCATCAACAGAGGCTTAAACCTCCAGTTTAGCCTTCTGTAACCATAACACCAAAAGCTCAGCCACAAGTTCAGCATCTTAATTGCCACTCTAGGCCCTGAAATTGGTGCCTGGTCCTAACATTAGATAATCCATAGGCAGTAGAACAGGCACTGGCAGAGCCAGAGGCTTACTCTTCTGCTGAAGAAAGCCACCTATGAAGGCATGATTGTCATAATGAGCTCCTCCTGGCACATCTCAGCACAGAATAAGCCCAGGAGAAGTTCTAAGAAACAAACAAAACCCAACCAAACAAAACAAATTAAAACCAAAACAAAAAGCACTTGCAGGCAGCTCTTGTGCTCATTGAGACACTCCTAGAAACAGCTGTGTTCACATCAAGAGGCAGAGGTGCTGATTGTAGGAGTTACTAACCTGAGACAAAATCCCTGGAGCAGAACCTGCTCATGCTCTTCGGCCTAGCAATAACTTTTTCTTCTTCAGTACTACTGCATGAGCAGAGAGCAAGGGAGGAGAGGGAGTACAGACACATTAGAGCTGACCACCAGCACCACCAGGTGAGGGACTTTTCTGCTCACACTGATTTATAGATATCCCATAGGAGCAGACTGAAAAATAATCACCCTAATAATGCCATGTAAATAACTATCCATTGTTTTAATTCCTTTGATGCCTTATGAGAGACAGTTGCTTTATAACTGTGATCTGCTCATACTGCTCAAAGGAGAAGGCTGATGCAGGACATTTCCTCAGGAAAGAATCTTGCATGATAAGATGTGGAAGACAACCATCAGGTCAAGGGACACCCAGCAGGAACAGTACATTCTGAAGGACATCTGAATAAACATCTTTGTGCTTGATGTGTAGGTACCCAAGCAAGCTTAAATCACATGTCTCAATTTCAAGGACAGTTCAGTCTTGACCAGCCATCCACCTGTGGATGGAAGCTTGCTAGGAAGTTTTGCTGGGACCTAGGATGACAGGACTGGCTGTCTAGAAGACAACTTGTGTGCACATAATACTATTGTCCCCTGGTTTTGTTTGTCCCCTCAAAGGAGGGACAATGCTCAAGTGTCATCCTCAAAGCAGACAAACCTTCACATGGCAACAGAGAAGAGCAAAAAGCAGCCATCTCCTTTCAGGATATCTAAACTGTGTTTGTTCAAGAACATGCCCTGACTTTAAGGTCTTCTAATGAAGAGCTTACAAAAGCTTATGAAAATGTGTGCCTCATTCTCCACAAGATGCAAGGGCCAAGCTTTGGGAGCCAAAACTTCCAACCCTTACCTGAGGCCAGGGACACATCAGGATGATGTGGTGCCATACAGAGGACTCGCCTAGGTGCAGGGCCTCTGCATCTCAGTTCTGTGCTGGCTTTGGGCCAGAGCAGCTTCCACCAGGGAAGAGGCTGTGACTCATTCTCCATCTGTGTGCAGCCATCTCTGTACAGAAGAAGCAGATGGCCTAGAGAGATCAGAGAGAATATCATGACACTAAAATTATGCTCACTGAAGCTGGGGATGCAGGGGAAGTAAAAAGCAGGATAGATCCATCACCTCCTGGGGTACAGCAGCAAAAGCCAGGCAAACACATATTGTCATGGATTTAAAAAGTCTAAATATATAAGGTGTGCTTAAGTGTGTGGGTAAAGGCCATTTAATTCAGAGCTCTCACTGCTACGCTATACTGACCATGCCACAGGAGCTAGCCAGCCACCCTTAGAGTGCGTTTAATGTAGAAAAATGATTTGTGGCACAGCCCTGTCAATAGTGTAAACAGCTATGACCTGAGGCAGCACCAGGGGTGTGGGCAGTGCTTTGCCTCTGAAAAGCAGCAGAGATGCTTATCACGGTGCCCCACTGAGATGGGCCACTGCTGTCTGTAACTGGGCTGGGCATGACTGCCTGGGGAAGCCCCCTGCCTCCGCAAAGGGGTAGGGGGCTTTTGGGGTGCCCTGTATACGAGCAAGGCCCCAGCCTTGAGTATGGAGAGGTGTTTTCTCAACATCGTCTGGGACAAAATGGTCCCATACAGCAATTACCTGGAAGGTGAGCAGCCAGGCTGCATCAAAATCTGCAGCGCTTTAGGAGTCGCTCGGGTCAGCTCTGGGAAAAGGTCAGGCCAGTGGGGAGAGCCGTGGTCTGAGAAAAACCATCCCCACGCAGGGACATGTGCCTGCTCTGCCACACAGATGGGAGCTCATGAGCACAACATCTCCAGCACATCACCTGCCTGGCAGGGCTCAGCTCCTCCATCTCCCCAGCACAGGGGCATCCAGGCAGGGAAGATGGGGAGCCCTGCTCCTCTGCCCAGCATCACCTTCCCCTTCCAGCACCGCCTGCTCCAGCCCTGCTGCTGGGGACGTTTCACTGTCTCTGCTTGCCATCGTGTGGTAGAGGCATGCACTGGCCTTGTCTGGGGAGAGCAGTCCTGCGGGAAGTGCGTCAGCCAGGGACAGGCAGGACAGTGACAGCACCCAGGGAGGGAAGTGCTCCTGTGGCAGGGAGCAGAGCTGCTCCCCTCCTGCATGGTGGGCACAGAGTTGCAGCAGTGCTGCTGAGAGAACAGAGCTGACCGGAGGGTGCATGTGGGGGAACGGGGTTGGTCGGTGTTCAAGTACAGGTGGAGGTCTGCACTACGGCTGTGTAGATGGGAACTGAACTGATGTAAGGACACACAGAGAGAAAATGAACTGTCTGGGGAGGGAACAGATGAGGATGGAGCTGCTGGATGGCTACAGAAAGGAACTGAGCTCCTGCAAGTGTGCAGGAGGAGAGCAGCAGATCTGAGGGCACACAGTTCAGTTTCACATGTGGCTGATAAGCAGAAGGGTCTGTCTTAGCTCCCAGCTTTTCCCTCCCTGTGGGGCAGCCCCCTTCTTGCTGCATCTTGCTATTGGACTCCATCTGTCTGTGCTAACCGCACCAGTCTCTGGAAGTGTGCCCAGATATTTTTCTGCCACCTCCATCTCCTTCTGCAGAGCTGAAGCGAGCTAGGCACTCTCCTTCATTCCCCTAGTCGTGGTTTCACCTAGGATAGAGTTAATTTTCTTCACAGTTGCTGGTATGGTGCTGTGTTTTGGATTGAGGATGAGAATAATGCTGATAACACACCGATGTTTTAGTTGTTGCAGAGTAGTGCTTACTCTGAGTCAAGGACTTTTCAGCTCCTCAGACCACCTGCCAGCCTGGGGGTGCACTAAAAGCTGGGAAGGGACAGAACCGGGACAGCTGACCCCAACTGGGCAAAGGCGTACTATATGGCTCCATGATGAACAATTAATATGGGGTGGCTGGGCAGAGTCGGGGGAGACCACTGCTTGGTTACGGGTTGAGCATCAGTCAGTGAGTGGTAAGCAATTGCACTGTGCGTCACAGAATCATAGAAAAGAATCACAGATTCATTTCAGTTGGAAAAGACCGTTAGGATTAGCTAGATTGCCCATAGTGCATGCATTACTGTAGATGCACTTCAGCTGGGCTAGCAATCCCATCACCTTTTTGGGGGAGAGAACCCTAATTCCTGCATGACCATTCCCAGGCACTTTTGTGACTTCTAATCTGCCAATGCCCCTTGTGCCTCTGCTGCCACGTGGCTCTCCATCCCCTACCTGAACTGGGATGGCAGACCAGTGGACCTCGCCAGCATACCATCCCATAACCATAATCATACCAATCCGATCTCTGTCAAGCCTGGGTTTATCCTTTCACCCCTCCTCCCTCCCCCCTTCAAATCTATTTTAAAGCCCCACCAAAGAGCCCTGCTCCTCAATATGGCTCAGATCCACCTGCAAACCTTCCTACCTCCTGCCCACCCACACCTGGGAGGGCAGGGACGTCCCTAAGGGGACACACCTGCTAGCCCAGGCAGGCACTTGTTGTCGCTGCCCCTCACCCTAGCGCACTCAGCCGGCTGAAAAGAGCACAGGGCATCCTCCATATCGTGTGTCCCTCACCAGCTGCCCTCAACAGGGCAGCAGGAGGCTCCCTCGAGGTGCCTGGAGGCAGGAAGCCCGCTGGAGGCCATGTTCCCCCCAGCTGGGCTGCAGAAGATGGCTGCTCCCGCGAGAGAGACGGTTAAATGGTGTAACCGCCATGTTCAACGGCTTGCCACTGCTCCTGGCCCTCCCTGAGCCTCGTCAGCTGCCCCCTAGGCATTGCTTTGTACATTTTATTATTATCACCGTTATAATTTCTCTCCCTTTTCGGGCCAATTAAATTGTCTTTGTCTTAACCCACGAGCTTTTACTTTTTTATTTTTTTCCCCCTCCTGATTCTCTCCCCGGTCCCACAGGGGATCAGGGAGGTAAGCAAAGCAAGCAGCTGTGTGGTGCTGGGTTAAACCACCGAAGTCCTTTTAGCACCCAACGTGAGGCAAAAAGGGTTGAGATAACAACAGAAGTGACCAAAAAACTTTGAAACAATATTGTTATAGGCACTAGATCAGTTTAATAGTTGCTGATCACGATGTTTTTGATCTCTGGTTTGTGGTGTTTGTTTTTGGAATTGTGCTGTATGGCACATTACTTACCATATGTGTTCCCTGTTGTGATGTTTATCATTTCAGGGGGTTGGTTTAAGATTATTATTTTGCTGGACTGTATAACACTGGTTTATGATATGAAAAATTATTGGTCATAAGACTAATCTGGTATTTGAACTCAGCAGTGCCATCACCTTCTGTACTTTGTGAATCATCTCTTGGAAACTGTTAAGAACTACACACTTTACCTTTTCTCCTCAGGAGACCAATCTATGGGGCAGACAAGGGGAAACACTTCACTTCTTCCCTACTTCTTACTCTCTCATTCACCTCCCCCTTCTCCTCCAGGCTAGTTACAATAGCTCTTTAAAACTCTGAATGAATATCTTTGGGGTGTTCTAACCTTCGTGTTCCTATTGTTATGCCTTCTGAATGTATTTCAGGTTTTGTTTAAGGTTAAACAACTACTTAATGCCACCCAGAGATCTGGCCTGAGGCAGGATAGTTATGAGCAGCAGGTAGTGTGGGAGGATATGGGCAGGCACCTAGATCAGCGGGCACCTCCAGTGCTTTGGAACTTCACCCCTGAACAAGTGCAGAATCCTAAATGAAAAATAGTAAAATTCTTGGAAAAGGTGTGTCATTACTCTGGCAAGTCCAAAGAGACACAAATCACTGTAATGTGGGGCTTGGCCACAGTCGATGCCACTCCAACTTCTGTGACAGGCCCTGCAGCCACTCCGATCCCTGCGATGGGCCCTGCAACAATTCCAACCCCTGTGACGGGCCCCATGGCTGGGCCAGAGAACCATTCAGAGTATCAGTCGCCTTTATACGCAAGGTGAAACAATGGATGAGAAAGGTCGTTTAGAAAGGAAAGGAAGTCTACTCAGACAACAAAGGAGGAAGATTAGGAGGAGGAGGTCCACATCTTTCTCGTGCTTTATTGATGCAGTACTCCAGGTGGGGGCCTCACAAAGGAAAAGCAGAGGGGGACAATCACCTTCCTAAATCTGCTGGGCACGCCTTCTTTGATGCAGCCCAGGATGCAGTTGGCCTTCTGGGCTGCAAATGAGCACTCATGTTGAGCCTTTCATCCACCAGAAACCTCAATTCTCTCTACACAGGACTGCTCTCAATGAGTTCTTCTTCCAGTCTGTACTCCTGTTTGGGATTGCCCCAACCACGGTGCAGCACCTTGCACTTGGACTTGTTGAACCTCATATGGTTCACATGGACCCACTTCTCCAGCCTGTCCAGGCCCCTTTGAATGGCATCTCTTCCTTCATTCGTATCAGCTGCACCACTCAGTTTTGGTGCACTCAATCCCATCATCCATGTCATTGATGAAGATATCCGAAGACAGACCCCGTGAGGAACGGCTGCACACTGCATCAAGCCAGTGCAGCCAACCATATTCCAGAGGGTCTCAGTCACCTCAGGACCACAGTCACCCACGGTTTCATTGACACAAAAAAAAATAAAAAAAAAAGACAGACAAGGTTAAGAAGCAGACCTGTTTCTTTGGGGAAGGCCAAGCAGAGGGGTGATCTGGGAGTCAGTGAAGGGTTGGGCAGAACCAAGAGCTGGAGGTGCTGTACAAGCTGGCAGCCATGCAGCCTTCCATGAATATTCTGGTGGAAGGTGAAGATCACACCCCATGGGATCACAGCACCTCTGCAGGCCCACAATGCTCAATCAGAGGGATCTCAGCCACTGTACCGTAGCCTGGGAAATCCCAGCAGGGCCCAAGCCAGCCACCAGTCCTGCCTCTGCCCCCTGCCCCTAACAGGCAGCCCCCCGTGGGCCCGGCCCTACAGGCAGCTGAGCTACAGTCCTGTGTGGGGCAGGGAGGGATTGTGGCGGCAGGCTCTGGGGCTGATGGGCCAGGGCTGGGAAATGAGGCGATGCAGGGCTCGGCCCCTGCAGAGCACCCTGAAAACTGCCATCTGCCTGGCAGCTGGCACTGGATGGGCTCGAAAGGCTGGCGGGCCCCGAGCCATCAGGGCAGGTGGGCCCCATACCTGTCGCACGCTGGGGAGCAGCGCAGCAGCGTCACCACCACGTCATGGGGGTGCTCCTCGGCCAGTTCCAGAAGGCTTTTGTCCAGATGGTGCTGGGCAGACTGTTCTGTGTTGGACACGAGCCACTGGTAGATGCTCTTCACCATCTTTGGCACGTGGTAGAGAAATGGCTGAGAGTGGGGCTGCTGCCAGCGTGACCCATTTCCCCTGATCCTACCAAGCAGTTCTTAGCCTCCCACCACTGTGGACTGGCCTAAATGCATGTGCGGTTGCCCGGGCAGCTTCAGGGCAGACATGAGCTCCAGAGGGCTCAAGCCCCACCACAGGTTACTTATGTGCTCTGAAAGGGAGATGTGGAGTTTCATGAGGCCATGCAACATCATAGCGACCTCTTCTGTGTTGAGGTGGCCTGAGGCTGCTGCCTCCTCAGTGGCATTTAGGATGATATGAACCTTCAAGTTTGGCTTCAAGTTATCCCCATATGCCTAAGGAAGGCATAGTTTTTCTTGTCCAAAAAGTCATGGACATATTCCAGGGACAAATCCTGCCCCAGGTTGTTCTCCCGGCACCACCACCAGGTCCGTGCCTTGCCACCGTGACAGCATGAACCTCGCGCTTTCATGCTCCACCTCCTCCCATGCCTTCCTGGGCTTGCTGGGGGATCTCCCCTCCATCCCAACAAGGCCCTGCCTCAAAGGCTCTTGGCCACAGGGATGGCAAACGCCTTAGCGAAGTGCCACGAACAGGGGCAGCAGAGAATGAGGGCACTGTGCAGGGGCTCCTCACAGTCCCACTCCCTCCTGTCCTGTCCCGACACGTCCTCCAGGCAAAGTGAGCTTGCTGCTTGCTGTTACCATCCCTAAATAGAGACCCCTTGAGAGGGTCACAAAGGGCTCTGTGACCTGCTGCCTCACACCCCTTCTCTGCAGCCCTCTCGCCACCCTGTCGCCTCACAGCTTCCCGTCCCCACAGCTCTCCGAGCCACAGGGCCACCAAGCGGGCAGTGGGAAGGGACCCCTGGGGCTGCCTCCTCACCCCCTTCCCACACAGGGCCCAGCCCAGCGTTACCAAACTTGAGGTGACAATGTCTGGGCCCTCGGCTCCGGGCACGCACAGGTGTGTTTAAGAGGGTATGTACAGGCACTGGTGTGCTCCAGCGTGGTGGGTGCTGGGAAGCACGCCCAGGAGGAGAAACCAGAATAACATGAGACACAGGCATAGTTAGCAACGTTTTTGAAATAACTTTGAATAGTAGTCTATTGATTTAATTTATATTACTCTTTTATTGGCTGGTTCAGCACCAGCACCACATGCTCAGCCAAGGGGGCATCCTCTTCCAGACCCTCCGGACCTGAGCATACACTGTGTGCTTTCCAATTGTGCCATTACGCCTTTTTTCCACAGTCTCTAGAATAAGAGCGTTCTGGCTGGCCAGGTTGGCAACGGATGGATTGGGGTCGTCTGCCATGCCTTTCAGGGCTAGGAAAGAGGAACAGAGACGACTTATGAGCCTATGTCTGTTGTGACTCCAGGAACCACTGCTGCTGGGGCCAGTCCCGCCCAGCTCTTCCCATGGCCAGGCAGGAGCAGGGGGCAATGAGATCAGCAGGAAGGGGCTGGCCCTGAGTGCTCCACAAGCCCCTGAAATCTCGCTCTCTTCTGCCCACACCACCCCTCTCCTGCCCAGGCAGCAGAGCCCTTCCTTGACAGGACAGGGGTTGCAGCTCCCAACCCAGGCTCTTTCCCCCTCCCCACCCGCACCCCACTGCCCTCACTCACCCTCACAGATGATCGGGAGCTTCTCCTCACGCCAGTCCATAATGTGCCGCCCGAGGAGCCCTAGGCACACAAAACCCGTCACAAACCCTACCCCAGCCTTCTCCAGGCCCTGCTGGCCTGGCCACGCACCCACCTCCCCCTGGGCAGAGAGGGACCCCGAGGCTCTGGCTTACCAAGGAACCTGACTGCTGCCAATCGCGCAAACTCGTGTTCGCTCTTCAGATAGAGCATGCCCTGCTGCATGTAGACGTTTGTTACCCGGCCGCCTTCCCTGGCCTGCAGAGAGCAGAAAGCACAATATGGGCATGGGGCTGGTGCAGTAGACACGGGACTGGCTGTAGTGGGTTAACGTGGCAAGGTTTTGTTAGCAGGGTGGCCATAGGGATGGCTTCTGCAAGAAGAACCCAGAAGTTGCCCCATGTTAGATAAGGGCCCCACTGCTGGTTGGAGTTGAGCCAGTAAGTGATGCTGTTTGCACCTTTGTGAGAGCGTCCTTAAGAAAGGGATGGACCCCGTGGTACGGACCCGTATTTGGAGCAGTTCTTGAAGAGCTGCTGCCTGTGGGAAGCCCACGCGGGATCAGTTTGGGAGGGATGGCATCCCAGGGGAGGGACCCCACGTGGAGCAGGGGCAGGGAGTGACTGTGAAGGAGCCGTAGAGACAACGTGCCATAGACTGAGCGCAGCCCCTGTTCCTCTGCACCACTTGGGGAGAGGAGGTGGAAGAGGGTGGGTGGCGGAAAGGTGTTTTTGGTTTCTTTCCTTTGTTTCTCACTTCTCTAGCTTGTTAGCAATAGGCAATAAATCTTACTATCTCCCTACTCTGAATCTGTTTTGCCCATCACGATAATTGTTGAGCGATCTCCCCGTCCTTATGCCAACCCCCGAGCCCTGTGCATTGTGTTTTCTCCCCTTTCCCCTTTGGGGAGGAGGAACTCATGAGAGGGTGGCTGTGGTGGAGCTTGGCTGCTTTTACCCGAGTAAAACCACCACGCAGGCCCCCCTGCTGGGACACCCCCAACCGGCAGCTGGCTGGTGCTGGGGCCGGGCTCTGGAGGGAGCAGGGGACAGGGTGCTCCCCAGAGGGCTGAGGTGCCGCTCTGATGCCCAGGCCCTGCTGGGCCAGGGCCCCGTCGGCATTCCCAGGCTCCAGAAGTGAGAGGAGCCTGAAGAGACTTTGGAGCTGCATGCCTGAGGAAAGGCAGTGTGTGCGCAGCGCAGGCTGGCAGCTCCAGGCTGCAGCCATGGGCAGGGACACAGCTGCCTGCTCTGCACACTGGGCGCAGGGGAGCTGGGGGCCTGTCCAGGCAAGGGCTGGGGCTTCGGGGCTGTCCTTACCAGGTACTCAGCAGCACCATACTTGTCTCTTGCCCTCAGCAATCTCTTGAGCTGGCTCTCCTTCAGGAACTTGGCAGCAAAAGTCAAGGTTTTCAGAGCGGCCTGCAGAGCAACAGAGATAGAGAAATGCCACCACTGCCCAGGAGACAGGACCTGTGTCCACCGCCCCGTCCCTCTGGGCAGACGGAGACATGGCAGGCAGAGGAAGGTGGGGGATGGCCTGGGCACGCAGGGAGGGGGCCCTGCGCCCTCCTGCAGCCCTTGCTCTGGGTGCTCAGTCCCACCCAGGGGTTTTCTCCTCCAGGGCATCGCCCTCCCAAAACAGCGGGTCAGGCTAGAAATCCTCACCTCAGCCACCTTCTCCACATCGTCATCCAGGTGGCAGAGCAGTGGGACCAGGCACTTCCGCACTTCTGGCCACACGTGCCGTTTTTCAATCGGCTCCGTGAAGTCCATCACGTCCATGTAGAACTGGATGGCCAGAAACCGCACATTGGAGTCTCGCTGGTGGGAAGGAAGAGGGAAAGCCATCAGTGCTGCCTGCTCCAGCCCCACCTGGGCAAGGGGCTGAAAATCCGTCTGCGGGGCACAAAGCTTCCCGGCAGCGCCCAGCACTCACAGGACATCAGACACACAAAGTCCCCTGCCCATGGGGAGCACACCACAGCCTCAACCCCACGCCCCCACCCACAAAGATGCCGGTCAGGCCCCATCCCATGCCTTACATGTTGGAAGAGCGGCCGCAGACTCGCAGCCATGTTCTTAGCGGTACGCCTGTCGAGCAACCTGTCGATGCGCTGGAGAATCCTCACGAGCAAAACCAGGACTAAGTACACCAAATCAGTGTCCTCGTGCTTCAGGAGAGCCAAGATGTCTGGCAGCACGTACGCAATTTTCCTTGCCTGTGTGGAACACAGCACCATGTTGTGAAGCTGGCAAAAACACTCAGGCTGTTAAAGCCCATGCTGCTTCCTCGGGGCACAGAAGCCACAGGACTGCCCCCGAGGACTCAGGCAAAGACCTGGGGAGGCAGGAGAGCTGTGAGCAGCTCCCAACAGCTCCCACTGCTCAGTAAAGCCCAAGCTGTTTATGTTATCCAGCACCCCCTTGCCCAGCCCCGTGCCATTTTGCCGAGGCGATTGGCTCCGGGGCAGACGCGTTCTGCAGCGGAGCGGGGGATCGGGCCAGGCAGGGCTAATTTTCCGGCATCGAGCCTACTTCAGGGAGCCGCCAGGACCCGGCAGCCCTCGTGAGGGAGGCTGACGAGGCGAAGGCGGAGCCAGTAGCGCCTCCTCCCCGGCCGTTCAAAAGCAGCCCCTAGGGACTAGGCAAGCAGGAAGGGCGGAGAGCAACCCCCGCCCACACGAACACCTCTTAACGACAGTCGTTAGCTAGGCAATAATGGTCTCCACCAGGCACGGTGGGCTCTCCAGGAGGTCGGTACACACCCAGACCAACTACCCGTTAAAGAATGCAGCGGTTCAGGTCACTGGATGCAAGGAGTGTCTGAGCTTGCTGCTGCCATCAGCGGGAGGCAGAGTCACTGCGTGCGTGAGGTGCGAGCAGGTGGATGACCTGATCCGCATGGTGGCGGAGCTCAAGGAGGAGGTGGAGAGGTTGAGGGCCATCAGGGAGTGTGAGCGGGAGATAGACTTGTGGAGTAACTCCCTGCACGGCCTCAAGGAGAGGTATCGAGGTGAGACACCCCAAATGGGGGTGGACCCCCTGCCCTGTTACCGTCGGGCAGAGGGAGGGGATCTGGGAGTTGAGGAGGAATGGAAACAGGTCCCTGCTCGACATGGCAGGCGATGCCCTCCCCTTCCGGCCCCACCTTCCCAGGTGCCCTTACGAAACAGGTTTGAGGCCCTGGAGCTTGATAGACCAGCAACTGAGAAAGAGGTAGAAAGTGTTCCCAGGAGGATGCCTAGGGCGAGGAGGTCGACTCCACGCATCAGGACTGCCTCCATCAAGAAAGAAAGAAGGGTGATTGTTGTGGGAGACTCTATCCTTAGGGGAACAGAGGGCCCTATTTGTCGGCCTGACCCTACCCTTGGGAAGTCTGCTGCCTCCCTGGGGCCAGGGTCAGGGACGTTGCCAGGAAGCTTCCCAACCTGGTACGCCCCTCTGATTATTATCCTCTTCTGATAGTCCAGGCGGGCAGTGACGACATTGAAGACAGAAGCCTGAAGGCAATCAAAAGAGACTTTAGGGGGCTGGGACGGTTAGTGGATGGAGCGGGAGTGCAGGTAGTGTTTTCGTCCATCCCTACATTGACAGGGAGGAGTACGGAGAGGACAAGAAAAGCCCACCTGTTAAACGCGTGGCTCCGGGGCTGGTGCCAACGCAGAAATCTTGAGTTTTTCGACCATGGGGCAGTTTACTCAGCACCTGGTCTGATGGCCGTAGACGGGTCCCTATCCTTTAGGAGAAAAAGGATCCTTGGCCAGGAGCTGGCGGGGCTCATTGATAGGGCTTTAAACTAGGTAAGAAGGGGGATGGGGCTGAAGCAAGGATTGTTGGGGCTGTGCCAGGGGGAACAATGGCAAGGCCGGAGGATAAGATAAAGGCCCAGCTGAAGTGCATCTACACCAATGCACTCAGCATGGGTAACAAACAGGAGGAGCTGGAAGCCATCGTGCAGCGGGCAGGCTACGACTTGGTTGCCATCACGGAAACGTGGTGGGACCAGTCTCATGACTGGAGTGCTGCGATGCCTGGCTATAAGCTCTTCAGAAGGGACAGGCAGCACAGAAGGGGTGGCGGTGTGGCTCTCTATATTAGAGAGTCTTTCGATGTTGTAGAACTGGAGGCTAGGAATGACAAGATTGAGTCCCTTTGGGTTAGGATCAGCAGGGACAACAAGGCTAGTGTCCTGGTCGGGGTCTGCTATAGACCGCCGAACCAGGATGAGGAGACGGATGAGGAGTTCTACAGGCAGCTGACAGAAGTTGCGAAATCGTCGGCGCTTGTACTCGTGGGGGACTTCAGCTTCCCTGACATATCCTGGAAGCACAACACAGCCCAGAGAAAGCAGTCTAGGAGGTTTCTGGAGAGCGTGGAAGATAGCTTCCTGACACAGCTGATTAGTGAACCTACCAGGGGTGGTGCCCCGCTAGACCTTCTCTTCACAAACAGAGAAGGACTGGTGGAGGATGTGATTGTTGGGAGCTGTCTTGGGCAGAGTGACCACGAAATGGTGGAGTTCACTATTCTTGGCGAGGCCAGGAAGGGGACCAGTAAAACCACTGTATTGGACTTTCGGAGGGCTGACTTTGGGCTGCTCAGGACACTAGTTGGTGGAGTTCCTTGGGAGGCGGTTCTGAAGGGCAGAGGGGTCCAGGAAGGCTGGGCGCTCTTCAAGAGGCAAATCCTAATGGCGCAGGAGCGGTCTGTCCCCATGTGCCCAAAGATGAGCCAGCGGGGAAGAAGACCAGCCTGGCTCAACAGAGAACTGTGGCTTGAGCTTAGGAGAAAAAAGAGGGTTTATAATCTTTGGAAAAGTGGGCAGGCCACTAGGGAGGACTATAAGGATGTAGCGAGGCTGTGCAGGGACAAAATTAGGAAGGCCAAAGCTCATCTGGAGCTCAATCTGGCTACTGCCGTTAATGATAACAAAAAACGCTTTTATAAATACATCAACACAAAAAGGAGGACTAAGGAGAATCTCCATCCTTTACTGGATGCGGGGGGAAACTTAGTTACAAGAGATGAGGAAAAGGCGGAGGTGTTCAATGCCTTCTTTGCCTCAGTCTTTAGTGGCAATACCGGTTGTTCTCTGGATACCCAGTACCCTGAGCTGGTGGAAGGGGATGGGGAGCAGGATGTGGCCCTCACCATCCACGAAGAACTGGTTGGTGACCTGCTACGGCACTTGGATGTGCACAAGTCGATGGGGCCGGATGGGATCCACCCAAGGGTACTGAGAGAACTGGCAGAGGAGCTGGCCAAGCCCCTATCCATCATTTATCAGCAGTCCTGGCTATCGGGGGAGGTCCCAGCTGACTGGCGGCTATCAAATGTGACGCCCATCTACAAGAAGGGCCGGAGGGCTGACGCGGGAAACTACAGGCCTGTCAGTCTGACCTCAGTACCAGGGAAGCTCATGGAGCAGATCCTCTTGGGAATCATCATGCGGCACTTGCAGGGCAAGCAGGCGATCAGGCCCAGTCAGCATGGGTTTATGGAAGGCAGGTCCTGCTTGACGAACCTGATCTCCTTCTATGACAAAGTGACGTGCTAGGTGGACGAGGGAAAGGCTGTGGATGTGGTCTACCTTGACTTCAGCGAGGCTTTTGACACCGTCTCCCACAGCATTCTCCTCAAGAAACTGGCTGCTCTTGGCTTGGACTGGCGCACGCTTCATTGGGTTAGAAACTGGCTGGATAGCCAGGCCCAAAGAGTTGTGGTAAATGGAGTCAAGTCCAGTTGGAGGCCAGTCACTAGTGGCGTCCCCCAGGGCTCGGTGCTGGGGCCGGTCCTCTTTAATATCTTCATCAATGATCTGGATGAGGGCATTGAGTGCACCCTCAGTAAGTTCGCAGATGACACCAAGTTAGGTGCGTGTGTTGATCTGCTCGAGGGTAGGAAGGCTCTGTAGGAGGATCTGGATAGGCTGCACCGATGGGCTGAGGTCAACTGCATGAAGTTTAACAAGGCCAAGTCCCGGGTCCTGCACCTGTGGCACAAGAACCCCAAGCAGAGCTACAGGCTGGGAGATGAGTGGTTGGAGAGCTGCCAGGCAGAGAAGGACCTGGGAGTGATGGTAGACAGTCGGCTGAATATGAGCCAGCAGTGTGCTCAGGTGGCCAAGAAGGCCAACGGCATCCTGGCTTGTATCAGAAACAGTGTGACCAGCAGGGCTAGGGAGGTGATCGTCCCCCTGTACTCGGCTCTGGTGAGGCCGCACCTCGAGTACTGTGTTCAGTTTTGGGCCCCTCGTTACAAGAAGGACATTGAGGTGCTTGAGCGGGTCCAGAGAAGGGCGACGAAACTGGTGAGGGGCCTGGAGAACAAGTCCTACGAGGAGCGGCTGAAGGAGCTGGGCTTGTTCAGCCTGGAGAAGAGGAGGCTCAGGGGCGACCTTATCGCTCTCTACAGATACCTTAAAGGAGGCTGTAGTGAGGTGGGGGTTGGCCTGTTCTCCCATGTGCCTGGTGACAGGACGAGGGAGAATGGGCTAAAGTTGCGCCAGGGGAGTTTTAGGTTAGATGTTAGGAAGAACTTCTTTACTGAAAGGGTTGTTAGGCACTGGAACAGGCTGCCCAGGGAGGTGGTGGAGTCACCATCCCTGGAAGTCTTTAAAAGACGTTTAGATGTAGAGCTTAGGGATATGGTTTAGTGGGGACTGTTAGTGTTAGGTTAGAGGTTGGACTCGATGATCTTGAGGTCTCTTCCAACCTAGAAATTCTGTGATTCTGTGTTGCCAGCATGGCCTAAAACATCTGCCCTCTGCTCACCCTCCTGCGTCCATCGCACAGCTTCAGGAGGCCCCTGATCAGCAGGTCCACCATCTTGTCGTCCTCACTGCCCAGGTACCTCGGGAGGAGCCTCACAATGAAGTCATCCTGTTCTCTTAGGTCTTCGCAGGTCAGGAACTGAAACACACACAGCAGTTACAGGTGGGCACGGCCGACAGGACCCCTGCACTGTGCAGGGCTGGGCCCAGCCGCTAGTGCAGGGCACGAGTGGCAGCCCAGGCAGGCTGGGGTTCCCCAGACTTGAACAGTGAGAGCTGGCGCAAGGGAGGCACAGAAGACCGCTGGGGACGGGTGTCCTCCTGGCAGCAACGGGATGAACCGGAGCCTGCTCCTGCCCCAGCTCCACTGCCTGGTGTCTGCCCGCAGCTGTGGCTACGAGAGGGTGCAGCGGCCAGCGGCAGCTCAGAGAGGCACCTCTTGCCATCAGGCTCACCTCAAGGATGAACGCCATGGCAGCGATCTTCCAGTGAGGCTCTTTCCTGCTGAGACGCCTTTTCATAGCGTGCAGGACCCAGAGACGAAACTCGAATGTGGTACTTTTCAGTTCTCTGCAAGAAGGAAGAAGCCATCATCAGTGCAAAACAGGACGGGCAAACCGCTCCCCAGACTGACCGCCCCCCTCATCCCTCTGCTACGCCACAGGCCAGGCCAGGGCCACCTTCACACTCTGCTCCTGCAACCACCAGTAGTTAAGCTCACGGAGACCTGGTCTTTCCCCAGCACCCCTCACCAGGAGAAAGCCAGTGCTCAGCACCAGCAGGATCCTCTTGGGGTGGAGAGTACTCAACTGGCCTTCATGCCACAAAGCCTGCCTTTCTGAGGAGACTCCTGACCCACCCATGGCAGATTCGTGTCCCTTGGACGCTGCCCTCTTCAGGGGAACCCTGCTCCTCGCTCTGTGCCATTCAGCTCAAGCCCCACGGGAGGGGATGCCGATGCCGCGGGAGGTGACTCACAAGCACCGACGCTTTGGCCCCTTCCAGCCCCAAGAAATGAGCCCCCCACTCCCTACCCAACCCGCAGATGAGGGCGTTGCGTGGGGCGCTGCACTGCATGGGAAAGAGCCCGGGGGAAGCAGGAAGACGGTGGCGCTCACCCAGCCAGTAGAGTCAGCCCCAAGTGGTGGACGTGAGGGCTGAGAAGTATATCCCAGCCTTTCCCCCTCTCGAAGGCCGACAGCTGCTCTAAGCAGTCCACATGGATGAGCAGTTTGGCCAGTATGTACGCTGCAAATCTGCGTGCAAGAACAAAGCTCGGGTCATAATGGGAGCCCTTGCCCTGGCTCCGGGGCTGTGGGAGGGATGGAAAGACTGCAATGGAGCACCTGTTGTACTCGTGGCGCTGCTTGTCCTCACGCGTGCATTGCTCCCAGAAGTCTTGGACGTCGTCTGGCATGTCCTGTGTGCTGAAGGAAATTTGGAAGAGCACAGCCAGGAAGAGATGTGGGAAACGCTTCTTCACTGCCACTTTGCACGTATCCATGTTGAGGATCTCCTGCAGCGCCCTGGTTGCCTGAAAGAAACAGCCAAAGACAGTGCTCGTTGCTGAGAGGTCCCCATGGCATGGCCCCACTGCGCAAGGCTGAGGTTCAAGCACAGCCCTGGGCCACAGAAGACACTGGTGGAGAGAGCACCCAGCCAGGCTGCCCAGACAGAGCTGAGCCACCAGAGCTCTTTGGGCTCAGCTCTCGTTTGTGATGGCCACAAGCAGCTTCCCCGGGCGTGGAGGGAAGGTACCCCGGGGAACCTCCTGTGTCCTGCAGCTGCGCCAGCCTCCCCGTCTCAGCCCCTGCAGCCTCCTGGGCTGTGCCTTGACCCCTAAACTTGGCCCGTCCCAAAACCTGCCCCAAAGCCAGGTTTGCAGCCCACCACGAGACAGAGAGATGTAGCAGTGGGGGAGGACATCCACAGAGGCAACACAGGGGGCAAGCAAGGCTTCATCCAGAAACTCACCGCCAGGGAACAGACAACCACGTTGTTTCCATCGGCGGTGGACGTCTCGTGCTGGGGCCAGTTGTCCAGCACACGGATCAGCTCGTTCATCACCAGCTTTGAAGTCTCGACATCGGAGAACATCACACCCCACAGGACCACAGCAGTTCTGCAAACCCACAACACTCAGTCAGAGGGATCTCAGCCACTGTACTGTAGCCTGGGCAGCCCTGGTGGAGCCCAAGCCAGCCACCAGTCCTGCCTCACAGACAACACCCGGCGGGCTCAGCCCTGCAGGCAGCCGAGCTACAGGGCGATACAGGGCTCGGCCCCTGCAGAGCACCCTGAAAACTGCCTGGCAGCTGGCGCTGGATGGGCTCGAAAGGCTGGCGGGCCCCGAGCCATCAGGGCAGGCGGGCCCCATACCTGTCGCACTCTGGGGAGCAGTGCAGCAGCGTCACCACCACGTCGTGGGGGTGCTCCCTGGCCAGAGGCCCAATGCTCTTGGCCAGCCTGTGCTTGGGACTCCTGACGGATGCGAGCCAATGGTAGATGCTCCTCACCATCTTCGGCACCTGGTAGAGACATGGTTGAGTGGGGCTGCTGCCAGTGTGAACCATTTCCCCTGATCCCACCAAGTAGTTCTTAGCCTCCCACCACTGTGGACTGGCCTAAATGCATGTGCAGTTGCCAGCAGACTCAGCTTCAGGGCAGACACGATCCCCGAAGGGCTCAAGCCCCACCACAGGTTACTTACGTGCTCAGAAAGGGAGATGTGGAGTTCCACGAGGCCATGCAACATCATAGCGACCTCTTCTGTGTTGAACTGGCCTGAAGCTGCTGCCTCCTCGATGGCATTCAGGATGATCTGACACTTTGTGGCAGGCTTCAGGTTATCCCCATACTCCTAAGAGAGAAGGGAGAACAGGGATGAGAGATGCCACACACCGAGAGTCCTAAGGGCAGTGCTCGGCTGAGCAGGCCCTGCCCAAGGTGGTAACGGCACAGGTACCTTTTCTTTCTTCTGCAGGACGTCACGGATGCGCTCCAGGGCCAGCTCCTGCCACAGCTCCTCCTCCACTGCCTCTTTTGACAGGGCTGCATCTGGATTTGGTGAAGACCACGCACACACACAGATGAGGGTCTGCCAGAGAGGCTGGGGGACCTAACTGAGTCCCCCACTCCCCGGGGAGGGCGACCCCTCAGCTAGGAACTAGGGGGGGCACCGAGCCCCATCCCTCTGTCCACGCATCGGGGCTGGGGATGTCCAGTAGGTGAGGCACGGTGGGAGCATGGCCATGAGGGAGAGCCCTACGCCCCACAAGGAGCTTGCTGCCCAAGAGCAGAAGTCCCTTACACAAGATGGCTGCCTGCCACCTTGCCTGTCCAATGAAGCAGGAACAGTCCCCCCGCCCCTCTCCCCCTAGGGACACCCAGCGGGGCAGGCCCTGGACAGTGCAGGATACCTCATAGACAATGGGAAGTGGCAGAGCTGGTTGCCAGCTCCTGCCCCACTGGCCAGCATAGCCACTCACCTGCCCATGTTGGTGCCACCGCCCCGCCTCCCCGCTGTGACAGCTTGAACCTGGTGCTTTCATGCTCCACCTCCTCCCAGGCCGTCCTGGGCTCGCTGGGGAATCTCCCCTCCATCCCAACAAGGCCCTACCTCAAAGGCTCTTGGCCACAGGGATGGCAAACGCCTTAGCGAAGTGCCACGAACAGGGGCAGCAGAGAATGAGGGCACTGTGCAGGGGCTCCTCACAGTCCCACTCCCTCCTGTCCTGTCCCGACACGTCCTCCAGGCAAAGTGAGCTTGCTGCTTGCTGTTACCATCCCTAAATAGAGACCCCTTGAGAGGGTCACAAAGGGCTCTATGACACGCTGCCACCTCACCTGCCACATCACGCCAGGTCACAAAGAGCCCTGTGACCTCACACCCCTTCTCCACAGCCCTCTCGCCACCCTGTCCCCTCACAGCTTCCCGTCCCCACAGCTCTCCGAGCCACAGGGCCACCAAGTGGGCAGTGGGAAGGGACCCCTGGGGCTGCCTCCTCGCCCCCTTCCCACACAGGGCCCAGCCCAGCGTTACCAAACTTGAGGTGACAACGTCTGGGCCCTCGGCTCCGGGCACGCACAGGTGTGTTTAGAGGGTATGTACAGGCACTGGTGTGCTCCAGCATGGTGGGTGCAGGGAAGCACGCCCAGGAGGAGAAACCAGAATAACATGAGACAAAGGGGAAAGAAACAATATTTATGAAATAATTTTGTATACTAGTTTATTGATTGGGGACAGTAAAACCTGTTTTGCTCTCACTACAGTTGATAACTACTGTCAAGCAGCGAGTATTATGGCTAGCATGTTCTCCATAGTGATGTTTCAGGGACTTATTACCTTTGAGCATCTTGGCTTCACACCCTGCCAGAGAGCGATTTGCAGGCTCCGTTTGAGCTTCAGGCAGGTTCACTGTAAACCAGCGTACCTGGCTTTATGGCTGCTGTCGCAGAGAACGAGACCTACCATACGCACGAAGCTGCAAGGGAGGCACACCGCTCGGTAGTTCTGGCAAGCTAACTGGCAAGTGGTGAAGCCTTTTTATATTTTTAACAAAAAGCTTCCACTTCCACTCCTCTGTCTCAGAGATCGCTGAGCAGGTTACAGAAGTCTAGCTCCAGGCTTTGGAAGCCTACAGACACGATGGTTTTACAGGCCATTTGCTTATGTCATTCTCAGCAGCCAAATCGTTGAACGATGGAAACGTCTCAAAAATCCTTTGCAAAATGGTCTGTCCGCAGCACACTTCCTTCCCCGAAGCAGCCACTTTCTCACTCCATGTTCACACATCACCATCACCTTGATGAGACAGATCTTCCAGGCATTTCTTTCTTCCAAAACAGCTGCCAGGTTTCCTACTCCTGACAGACCCTCGTGCTCACAGAAATGACAGCAAAGCTGGCGCACGTGCCTTTTAGTACAGGAAGATGCCCAACTCACCATTACTGTTCCCCAGATCTTTCAAAAGCGTTGCCACGAGATAATCATAGAGCAAACATCTGTGTGGTAAGATAGATGTCCATGGTCACTCCTCATCTCATTACCAAACATTGTAGAGACTCCCTTGCTTAAAGGTTTCAGTTGTGTATGATGAGCTATGTCAAGGCAGCACTTTGTGGACGCCTGGTTCCAAAACTTCTGTGTGAGGGACCCAGCCAGGCTCCCCCAGACATGGGCAGGGCTGCCACAGGGTGCCAGGGAGCCCCCTGGGCACCTCAGGCCCATGTTGGGCACTCAGGGCTCTGTAGCCATGGGGCCGATTCCTGCTGCTGGTGCAGCAGCTGGGGCTGGGACAAGCTGCTGCAGGGTTTTGATTTTTCATGCCATGTCTCAAAGCTACTTTCATCGTTTTACATAGGAGCACATCACTATCTTCTGGCAAGTACACTACAGGTTTTATACGTGAAAGAAATGCACTGAAAGCACAACTTTCACTTTGAGGCATACAAGTGACATTGAAGAAAGTTTCCAGAAAGGAGGCTTATCTTAAGGCTTAACTTACGATGTGAGCTATGTGCCACAGAAATAAGCAAAGGTCTTACTGAGGACTTTGCAATCTTTTTTACAGGAAAAGACTGAAATACTTCATATATAAGTTACTAACACTGCTATTGGCAATGCTCTAGACCCCAGCTTTGGGTAAAACACACACATGTACTGGCCTCTTTGGTCAGTCAGTTGCACCTCAATTGGTTGCATCTCAGAAGCAGAAACATTTCCCCAAATGTCCGTGCTTTGTAGCCCTGTCCTGTCCTGGTTGTCTTCATCTTATGGGTCAACATGCTTTCACAGCACACAGGGACTACATAATACTACTGTGTACAGAAACACGCTTCGTACATAGGCTTTGGTTTCTAGCCAGGCAGTAAATGGCTCTACTGGCACAAGTCAAGTTGACTCGCCTGAGGAGTGTTCTGCTACCACAGACGTTCCCTTTCCACCACCACCAACTAGTCACTTGGAGATCTCACATATCATCTGCATAAGCACTCATATATTTTGCCTGACAGCCCTCAGACTAGCTGTAAGTCATGATAAAGCGTATGGACCAAGATAGCCATTGCCAGCAAAAGGAAAATATCTAAGTCTCCAGAATCAAACATGTTGAGAGATTGTTCCTAGTCATTGGGGATGAAGATGGATACAGTATTTTCCAAGGCATATGCATGCCATTCAGAGTAGTCTTCCTTCAGCTGGTAATGCACCATTTATACCACACAAACCACCACAAGATTGCACTGCTATTTCAAGAAAGACAACAGCAACCTCACCACAGCAAGTATAAGAAGATGTAAAGCTTGCCAATCTTTGCAATTTTATATCCATTATACAAACATCTGCAAACAGATGTTTGAAAAAATTAAAACAAATTACAATGCTCCAAGTATAAAAATTACCCCCACAGAAAAAAAGCAAAGATTACACTCAAAGCCTTTCAAAACTATTTCAATAAGAATTGTATCCCTTCCATGCAAGAGTGCAACAGTTGAGCTTCTGCATTGCTGCACAGTTCCAGGTAGAGCAGGAGTAAGTTTACACTGTTCTAGTGAAGTCCAAGATGTTGGTGCTGGACCAAAGATTATCTTTCCCCAGGGGGATGATGCCACAATACGCTTCATTCTGGCATACCAGCATTACAAGCTTCAGCAGGTCTTACAGACAGACTGTATAATTAACAAGCTAGATCTGGTTACTGCATGAAGAGGGAAGGGAGATTTATTAAGACAAGCAATTAATGTGTAAAGGAGTCCCATGAACAAACCCTTTTGAGTGAAATTCAAAAGCAGAATGATTTTGGCAGCAGCAGCACAGCACTTGGAATTAACAGTACATTTTAACAGAAGCTGATAAGGACTACCTTCTGACATTGAACATCTGGGCAGATGAGGAAACAGGAAAGCTTGGGTAACCTGGGAGTTCTGACAGAAGAGAAACAGTCTTTATGTTTTAATATCATCATCCAACAAGCAGAACATGTTGTCTTATCAAAACCAAATAATAAAAAAAATCCAATTGTCTCCATTTATTTGGTGGTTACTGCCAGCTCCAAAATTCTAGGTGAATTGGCACCTGGGTGAGTAAAAGAAAAAAAATTAGAGTTTGCAACCCAGCACGACATTTTGTTGTCATCCTGAAGACATCCACTTGGAACCTTGGATGTCTTGCACAACACTTGTTTTTGAAGTGACCATCCCCATCAAGTAGTGGGCCTGTTTTCTCTGGTCTTCCTTTTACTGTTCACCTATTTTAAAAAGCCCTTTTTATTGTCTCCCACAGACCTGGCCAGCTTCAACTCTAATTGGGCTTTGGCAGCACAAATTTTCTCCCTACAAAGGCGAACAGAGTCTCTGTAGTCCTTCCATAATGCCTGGCCCTACTGCCAGCAGCCATACACTTTTTTTTTTCTGCCTAAGCTCCACAAGAAGATCCCTGGTCAGCCAAGCCAACCTTCTGCCCTGCCTTCATGACTTCGGATATTTTGGATTTGACTGATCTTGTGATTTTAGGAGGCAGTGCTTAAAGAATGACCAGCGCTGATGGACACCGATGCCTTCAAAACCAGTGGAAACCTGGAGACCTTGCTAACTAGTTCCCTGAGCAGCCCGAGGTCTGCTCTCCCCATATCCAGGGCTGAAGTTTTGGTGGCAGTTTTCCTTCTGCCACCAAAAATTTTAAACTCAACCGCTTCATGGTCACTGTGACCAAGATGGCTGCCAACTGCCACATTACCACAAGATCCTCTCAGTTCTCCAGCAACAGATCTAGGAGGCTCCGCCTGTGCTTCATCAACCTCCATTGGGAGGGCTGCCAGGTCTTGGTGGCTCCCTCAGCTGCCTCAAATGGCCTCAAGGCAGAAGAAAAGCCCTGTCTGCCTCGATCCCCTGCTCCGCTGCAGCACGTGTCTGCCCCGGAGGATTGCCTTGGTGAGTGACTGCAAAATGGCAGCTGTGCCCGATTTCAGTGCCCCGCCTGTAGTCCTTCATGATACACCTTGGACTGCTCTTGCGAATGTCATTGGTATCCGTATGAAATAACAGCAGTGGGCAGTAGTCTCCTGGAAACGTCCCAAGTCCCTGGTAGGCACGTACCTCTCTTGAAAGTAGTTCAGGGTGGCAAATGGGCACCTCTGTTCCCCACAGAAGAGAGACCCCCTACTACTATCACTGTCACTGCTTCTTGGTTGGACTGGTCATTCTACAGGGAACAGACTGAGCTGGCTTTGTCAACACCTGTATCTCCCCAGTGCGACAGGTCTTCTGCAGTCCCTGTTATCTACAAAGAGGTTCTACAAGGGCACCTCAAGCAACAGGGGAAGTCTCTTCCTCCAGTAGTCCTTGCCAAAGCAAGCTGCCATTCCCTCTGGTTTTAGTATCACTCCCTTCTGCGTTGTCTTGAGGCTGTGGGTTGTGGGTCTTTTCTGGCTGTGTGTCCACAGCACACTGTGCATAGAACCAACTGTCTAACTCCTCAGCCTTCCGAATACTGCAGCCAGAAGGACCAACAGCACTCTGAGGTGCATCAAGCACAGCATTGCTAGCCAGTCAAGGGAAGGAACTGACCCACTCTGCTCTGCTTTGGCGCGGCCTTACCTCTAGTACTTTGTGCAGTTTTGGGCACCATAAGACATAAGGACATAAAACTATTGGAAGTGTCCACAGGAGGGCTTACAAAGATGGGGAAGGGTCTAGAGGGGAAGGCATATAAGAAGTGACTGAGTCCCCTTGGTCTGTTTAGCCCAGAGCAGAGCAGGCTGAGGGGAGGCCTCATGGCAACCTGCAGCTCCCTCACGAGGGGAGCGGAGGGGCAGGTGCTGAGCTCTGCTCTCTAGTGACGTGTGGCCGCAACACAATTCTTCCACAGACCACAATGGAAAAGGACACATGGCCTATGACCAGACATTGGACGGTAGCTTGGGTGACAGGACGAGGGGGAATGGGCGTAAGTTGCACCAGGGGAGTTTTAGGTTGGATCTTAGGGAGAACTTCTTTACCGAAAGGGTTGTTAGACATTGGAACAGGCTGCCCAGGGAAGTGGTGGAGTCACAATCCCTGGAAGTCTTTAAAAGACGTTTAGATGTAGAGCTTAGGGATATGGTTTAGTGGGGACTGTTAGTGTTAGGTCAGAGGTTGGACTCGATGATCTTGAGGTCTCTTCCAACCTAGAAATTCTGTGATTCTGTGATTCTTCACTCTAAAGTTTATTGTATAGGACTCAGAAAGCCTATAGTGATCTGCCATTAACGCCCAACTTTGATAGTGAGAAAATAAGTCTTACTCCTACCCACAGATCTGTCTCTATTTGGCTTTTATGTTATTCAGAGTTAAAATGAGTCAACTATAAAGGATTCAGCATAGCAGCTCCTAATTTTCCAGAGGGCCTCCAGCACAAAGACAACTAAAGTAACTTTGGTCCATTTGCAGTTTTTCAAAGACAAGGGAGCAGAATAAGCCTTGCCAAAAAATGTTAGAAACACCACATGGAAAATTATATTTTTCAGGAAAATAAAAGCAACAACAACAACAAAAAAACACGAGGAAGAGAATTTAGTTCTTGTGTCTCTTCCAATATTAGACAACACCTATAAAAGCATCAATAATTAATACCAATCATTCTTCCAGAAACATATGATTTAACATCACAGATGATAATTAATCGTTCAAGCCAGAGAATGGATTTCAAGAGGACTTACCCTGCTCACGTAGTTACTTTAGGATTTCAGCTGCAATCATTTGATTTTGCTTGAAATCTCTTTTAGGAGGCCTTTCAAATCAGAAAGCTTAAGAATAAAAAAAAAATAAATAATGTTTGTTTGTATACAAAGTCAATCTAACTCACTCATTCCAACAGATGATCACAGCTCAGGATAAAGCAAAGAGAGCAAAATAAGCAAACAGTTGTAAATACCTTAAAATACTCTAGAACATACGTACTCTAGAAAATACCACGCATTAGCTGATCAGCAGCAACAGGCATAAAACCCCTTTTCTGGACTCCTGCTTACCTGTCTACCCTGCGGACTCTAGCAAGTTGAGAAAGCAATAACTGACTTCTCTTTGTATTCAGTAGTCACACCATGGTGGCAAATGAAGTAATGTTAATATTACTTCCACAGGAAAGCAATACTAACAAGTAATATGATTGACAAATAATTGCCTCTCCAAACATTATCGTAAACACAATAGTACTTGAAAAGATACAACCCATTACCATTTTCAGCAACACAATTAATGCAGTGAGACCTAATAAATATGTAATCCAGACAGTTAACAAGCAGGCATCATGACAGCTACAGGTGCCAATCTCTATTCTATCTCCTTTTGCTCCTTCAAAGCAAAGATTGCAGATCAGTGTAGTTTTGTGGAGCCAATCTACCATAAAAGTACATTTTTGTGTAGTTGTTTTTTAAACACTTGTTTCATTTATTACCTGTTACACATATGTCCAGAGATGCCAAACCAAGCAACAGTTTCTAGCACTGTGATTCACATAGAACAAGACCTTACTCTTTTGAGAAGCCACTACAATTTTTCAGAAAAAAATGCTTCAGAGAAATCATTCTTGTAGATGGAGCAGCCTCCAAAATCTAGGTAGAGCGGTATGGATGCTCTGTCACAAAAACAACGGCATAAAGGGCTGAAGTGAACTTCAAAAGGCCATCTGGAGCAGCCCCCAGAGGCAATATTCACTAGACAATCGTGATCAAGGCCTATAGCAGAGATCCCTGTTGCTCTAATCTCACAACTGCTCCAAGTTCTTCTACAATTCTAACCTTACCTTCCCATGCTGTAACCAATGCCCATTATACCTTGAGACATTCACAACAGCTTTAAAGAGAAGTTTATCCCATGATCAGGGCTTATGCCTAGGACTCGGTTATGTCCTCAGACTTGTTTTTTTAGATCATCATCTCAAATGAGAATCAGTGAGATATCCCTGGAGTTCTTGCTCTCAAGGACTCTACTCTTAAGCACTGGCCTCAGTACATTTGCCATCATTAAAGCTGAAGGTATGAAGAGAAAAAACAGCTTGCTGCAATGCAGCTCTAAAGTATTCCATCACAGGAGAGGTACTGTTTGGGTATTGCTTTTCAGCAGAAAATTAAGGTTACCATATTTCCTCTGTTTTAAGAGCATCATTACACACATACTCAGCCACTCACCATTTCCATTTCAGTCTTGAGAGAAAGCTATGATTTTGCAATCTAAACTATCAAAAGATGTATTTTGAACGGTATGTGGGCCTTTTCACCCTTGGACTTCTTCACACGGGCGCAACTGCTAGCCACTTCAGAGGCAAAAGTCACAAAACAGTCACTCTCTCAAATATAATACCCATTGTAAAGGTCTTTTCAGTTTCAGTCATAAAAAGTATACTTGTATGACAATTTTGATAATGATAGGGGTCTCTATTAGATTGGCAGCTTTATGTAGCTTCAACACAGTATGTCTCTGTGAACCAGATGAGAACTGGTCATTTTAACCATAATTACAGATCTTCCCACCCTGAAATACATACAGAACCTTCTCTATTTACCTAGGTGTTGCCTGTGCTGTCTGAAGTATCACCAGGTTTGCCACAATATCTGAACTGCCATTCCATTTTAAAAGCAGAGCTTAATTTTAAAAAACGTAGAATTACCATGTGCCTTCAGCACCAGAGGCTAAAGTTGACAGAACATGCGTTTGAGAAGGGTATAATCTGTGTAATGCCTCTTCTTCCTTTCAGTGTTTCAAAGGCCATATACACAGAGAAATACTACAGTTTTATAGATAGAAGTTCTTTTTAATGCTTTCCATCCAATAAAGAGTACTGAAAAACACTTCTCGAATACTAAGTAAGCATCTTTCTACTTCATTTTCCAGCACAATATGAAACTACAAATGGAATCAAAGGTACAAAGGAGCCCATAAAAAAGCACAATGAAGATGGGGTCCTAACGACAGCAACAAAGACCGCAAAGGGCTCTTGGTGCTTGCTTTCCAGGTGGATTGCTACCTGCTTTACCAGACAGAGGCACATCCCCCAATATGAGCAGTATGAAACAAGTACCTTTGCATCCAGCTGCCTGAATCGATGCACCATCCTGAAAACAGAAAGAAGACACAGAAAAGAGGGGCTGAGTCCAGGAATTAAAGTCTTGGCTAACCACCCTCCCATTGCAAAACTGCAGAACTGCCTTACAGAAGTCTCTGTAGCTCAGACATCTAGTCCTCAATGGCCAAAGAGTTTATGTAAGGCAACTACTGAATTGGAAGGTTTCAGAAGACTTTCCTCTTTGCACGTTGACAGAGGTCAGTTAAAAATAGAATGCCTGCAGATGCCCCTGTTCAGGAACAGTTTGGTTATTTACATTTTTTTTTATGTATTTATTTATTTTCTTACATGTGCATTAACATATGAATTACTGTTAGTGCTAACACTTTTCCATTTTTCTTGTCAAGACTTTTCTGCTTCAAATTTTAAACACGTATTCTGGGGGTATTTAACTTATTATCCAATGCTGAGTGCCTCTGTGTGGTCTTAACATAAATAAATATTTGTGAATGGCAATGTCCACTGCATGGGCAAAGGAGCATAGAAGCCTCTGGCTTTTTCCACCCATTCTCATCAGCTCTTCCCTTACATCTAATTTAGGGAAATTCTGAAGTTCTTGGAAGCTAGCTACAAAATTAAGCCATCATACACAGCAGGCAACTGTTGCTGTTTTCTAGCTTTCTTTACTTTCTCTTTCCACTTATACTATTATTCTGAAAGTGCTGGAACAGATCCCAGAGATAATCAAAGCATCATGATGTGGTAGTCTTCGCATTTTACCAGCTCAATCAACTATTTCTGAAGCCAGTCTACAGCAACAGATTAAAAGAACCAGAAATCATTTTTCGTAAAAAATAAAAAGGCAAGTTAATGCTGAGTTTACTTATATATGCTTATATATACTTATATATACTTATATTTGTAAATGTGGAGAGCTGCTGAAAACTTGGTTTCACTAAAAACATTCAAGAGAAAGTTAAGAGATTGAAGACAAAGAAGTGCAGACATACTCTTCCGATGAATCGCTTGCTTTGGTATTGATTTTGACAAGGTAGTTTTCCTTCATGACAGCTTCCCATGACAGAGTTTCATTGTCTTCATTTTTTGAGCCTGGGGAATGTATATGAAAAAAAAAAAAACAAACACAACCACACTAGATTCAGCTCATCTGTGTCTCCGGTGTCAAGATGACTAAAAGGTGGGTTAACACTTGCATCCAGAGGCTAATGATTACCTCCTCTGCATACAGAACATTCAGCCCCACTTCCCACCTGTGATACAGCTCTGATAAATATGACATGGATGCATGCTACTGTATGCTTCTGGCAATCGGAGTTGGTTTAAAAAACACATATGTACACACACAAAAAACAACAAATTGCAAATTTTTGTTTTTGAATCTTGGTTAGCACAAGTGTTTTGTGAAATGGAAGCCATTTCACCAAGGCATAGGACATTACAGAAGGTTGCTTTGTGGTTTTCAGCTTTGGTTGCACTTGCTGTTTCTACATTATCCCGTATTAGAGTGTTAAGAGTAACATCTGTTGAGAATGTGTATGACTTTTCATTGAATATAAACATTTCAAAATGCTGAAATATGGTCTTCTCTAAAAAGCATCTCCTGTTGATGCTGTAAATTAAAGAATAACACAGAGCAAGACATCAAAGTCCTCTAGGATAATATTTCTGCATTTTGTCCCGTTCCAACCAGACTAGCACAAACCACATGGGTATTAATAAAAAAGTTAGCTACGTTTTTCCCATCAATCATCAGCAAAAGGCCTGTATATCAATTTTAGATTCTTATCTGTTGGCAACTCCAAACCAACTGCTGCCCTCTAGAGAGGCACTGGTGTATGTGTACCTTCAGGAGCAGTTAATTCAAGGAAAAGCTTTGGCTCAAAAACTGTAGGAGTGGGCATGAAACTGAGGCAGTCTCATGAGGACTAACACTGAAATGGTATTAAACTCTCCAGTGCTTTCTTTGGGTTCAATAAATCTACGCTGCACATGGCTTGTTGCTGTAGGACAAACATCCCTCTTCAGCATCACATAGTACAGAGTGTGACAATAATGCCTCTTTGGGAATGGGAGCTCTGAGCTGCATTTCTCCTATGCATATACACATTTCACACTGGGAAACCCACAACAAAAGCATTTTGTGCTAGAGGCAAGGGAGCTATGGAAGCTCCAAAGCCTGGATTTTGTGTCAGTCATTGCTCTGCAACCCCCAAATACCCTTTCCTGAAACAAAAGAAGCCAACAGCTTTTGACAGCCACGATGATTTAGTCAATGGTAAGGAATTTTATAGCCCAAAGCAGGCGTCTTTCTCCTAAACGAGTCACAAATCCTGTCTGTGCTGCAGGGCAACAATCAGGATGCTGATGGAGAGGAATAAGTCTGTCAATTAACTCAACTTATTGTCTTTCATCTGCTTCTGAATAGCAGTTAAAAATTGAAAATATTCAATTTCTTGGGGGTAAAAAAGCTTATTAATGCAATTCATATCTGTGCCCTCTGACAGAGGAATTAAGGAGGGAATAACTAAAGGGCTGAGCCATTCCTGTACTTCTGAGTTGGTTTGCCATCCACCAAGGCCCAGAAAAGTCTCTGCATTCTCTTTCACTCACTCACAGGCAGAATAGCCTCTGAAGAAAACTGCTCTACCAGGCTGCCCTTGCAGCTCCCAGATGTATTAGCTGGTAGATTGCAATGGAACGAAAAAAAGAAATGCAGTTCCAGAAGGTAGAGTAGCAATCAGAGACTAAGGTCACCACCTCTTTTACAAGTTACCTCAACATTTAGAGCATGCAAGATGAGGGCTCAGTGCGCTTGGGAATAGCACAAGAGGAATACGCTACCACGTGCTGATGAGAAATTGGAGATTTTAAATTTTTTGTGCAGAACACGCAGATGACTTGCAGCTGCTGCTGAAATGGCTCTGAATTAATTTATTCAGTGCTCTTATTCTAAAAACTTTGAAAGCTCTGAGCACCAAAGGCAGCCCTAATACAATTAAATCGAAGACTTAATAGATATACGTATTTGAGGTAAATCTGCCTCAAAACAGCTTGGACAGGAAAGCACTGGATAACTCTGCACAGTATTCAGGTGGAGCAGATCTCGTGGTAGAACACTAAAGCTCTCTGACCAGACCAAAGCCAAAGCTGTTGGGGGGTGGGAGACGGGAATCTCAACACCAGCAACATTTTTTCCAATACAGAATAATCCTACTCACAACAAATAGATGGCTCTTTACTTTCATTCTTACAGCAGCATTTAAAACATTTCCTCATCACCATGAATATGTAGGCAAAGATGACAAAGGGGAAGGGGATAGTCAAGCGACTGCAGTATTCTTGGACCAAGAAATAACGCTGGAACTTCCACACCTGGTCATTGTTCTCTTGCACTGATCCCACGGTGTAACTAACAGGCAAAGAAAGAGAAAATGCATACAGCATTAGTTATTTGCCGAAGAACTGCATCAGAGGCAAGTTACACTGTGTTTTTCTTTATTATACTAGGCTAAGTTTTTGAAAAGTCGTCCTGGAGCTGTTCATTTCTACTGGTTGGAAGGTTATTGAGTTTGTACGCCTTTTTAGAGAGCAATCTGAAAAGGGAAGGAACTAAAACAGTGGGGAAAAAAAAGTTAGAAATAAACTGGAAAAAATAGGAACAGGAAGAAAAAATTCCACACACTTGCACTACCTTAGCTGTAGGCAATTTTCTTCCAGCGTAAACATGAGAACAGAACGCTTCCTTGCAAGATACTGTCTCATTAATTCACCAGCTGACTTATTTCTTTCTAAGCAAAAAAATAAAAATAGGCTATTTCCAGAAAAAAAAAAAAAGCTCCTGAGATTTTTTAGTAGCAGTATTAATGAGAGCTTCAGGCATGGATCAAACGTACTGTACGTAAGCACTGTACAAACCCAGCAAAGCAACAGCCACAAGAGGAAGCAACTCACAGACTGGCTGACCTTTTATTGCTGTTACTAAATGGCAGGTGGATGTTTTCAAAATGTCTGTGCTGAGATCCTAATGGACCCTTACACAAGATAACCAAAGACCTTCACCTGCAAGTCTTCTGGTGGAAATTATCTATTGTTTTGGATGATAAATATAATCCTGAATTTCAGAAGTATCTAAAACATGTGAAATGTAATATGCATCCTTTTCAGTTAATGCATACTAGACATAAATAAGTTGGATTCTCTGTCATAATTACTACCAGTGATATATTAATTTTAACAACAGATAGAGACTGATTGGACTGGTGTCTCACAGACATCAGCATTATTAGAGATTGACAAATATGATGTACACACCGGTCTTTGGAGGAACCATTTCAGATTCAGACATTTCTAACTGCATCAAGAAGACATGCTGGGTTCCTGTTTGCCCAGAAGCCTTCCTGAATTGAGTACGAGGAAGCACTCCTGCTTGATTAAATTGTTCAGTCTACTGTTAATGTGAACTAAGGAACTCCTATAAGGTCCATCCACAAAATTAGCTGAACTGGAAAAAGTAAGTTTTTATTGGCATAACTGTATAACCCAGAACTTTTACCGTTACATGCTGTTAAATTAAGTGTTCTAACAAATACCAGAGGCTTCTAAGGTACAGCTGGCTTACCGCTATGCTTTTCTTTATTAATGTGAATCACTTTCACCCTTTCTAGGGAGAATAAACATTATCTTATGTTCCCAGGTCCTGCGCAGGTTAGGAAAACACAGGTATAATAGGCAGATAGGCTTCAACACTTTCCTGGCAGTCATCCTTGATGCCTTGCCAAAAATCACATTTCTGACCTTCTTAGGAGTCCAGGTCAGCATGGGAATAATGTTCAGAGCAGAGGGAGGAGCAGATCCTGAAGCTGAGGGGTTCTCAACTCACGGTATGGACCACGGCCGAGCTCCGCCCTACCCTACTAACTCCTCTAAGCTGATTAAAAAAACAAAAACAAAACAAAACAAAAAAAAAGCCCTTGAGCGTCTCTGCCAAAGAGAACAGCTGTGTTAGGTTCATGAGGGCAAACAGATGAAGCAGCTCTATGTACTTCCTACCTAATCTTAGGGTAGGATTCTACGGAGTAGTACTTACAGTCAGGAAACCCTCCCACCACAGGAGCAAGCAGGGGCACAAGGAAGACGGCTTTCCGAAACACAGGAGTCACACACCCTAAATTTTTCCACAGCATGAACTGTGGCAACACATGAGACTACAGGCCTGTTAGAAACTCCAAATATAACACCAACTCTGTCTCATAGGATCCAGCTGACAGCTCTTCCCTCCAGGTGGTGATGGCTAAGAGCTGTTTAATTGTTTCCAGTTTTAAAAACATTAAAGCTGTACAATACCTAAGCAGATAACATGGCATGCACTCCAAAAACTCGTGGGAAACTCAAATATTCCTGTCATAACACCGAAATCTAAGAAATCTGCTTTTCTTCCATGATACAAAGACAGTAGGTTTAATATAAAAGGATGAACAAACCTTTTGAGGCAAACCTCATTTATTTCACTGTCCTCTTTGATAACTGCATGCCAAGAATACTTACAGAAGTAGCAAAAGGACAGACAGCAACCCATTCCCAGAACATTGTACCAGCTTTGGGCAGACTGCTGTGAGAAATGCTGAATAACCTCGCCTTTGGTCACCTTCCCACACCACCCTTAACTTGTGAGGTCTCTTTTGAGTTGGGAACCCTGTCCCAGACTACTACCAGCAGTTCGTCTGCAAAAGCGACAGGCAGACTCCAAGGTATGGCTTCCTGCCATTTTCCAGGGCTTTATTCCTTTTCTCAAAGGGATATCGATGCAGTGATCACAAGCAAATGGTCACTCCTTTATTACATACCCAAACATGGCCACAAGCAGGTTCACGAGGAGGATGTTAGTTGAGAGCATGTATATGCACACCAGGGGAATGGTAATCCACTCTGGGAAGCGGGGCTGGTTGTTGGCATCCAGTTCCACACACAAGGGCTTGGACTCATTTCCAGAAAAGGTGCAGCGGTCAAAGTTGTAGGTGGTACCTCAGGGGGCAAGAGTGGAGAGCAAACAGTGAGCCCTCTCCCCTTCTTTCTGCTGGGCCTAGCCCCAGATACTGCGACTGAACACAACACACATGGCCTCTTTCCCCCCTCCCGGACAGACACAAAACCTTGCTTTGATGCTCTTTGAAGAAAAGGGAACAAAAGGGCAGATGCTGTGCATCAGAAATATGGACAGTGAGGGAACTGATTTCACATGGCAGGCCTTGCTCCAAAGGCATTAGCCAGGGCCACCAGTCAGCTGCTGACCCCCCTGAAGACCACAGACGAAGGAATTCCTCTCCCACTTGAGCACAGGACTGGACACCCACTGAAAGGGCAGAGCACTCCACCACCCACAGAAGATAGCTACCATCAACATCATCAGGGTACTGGCCGAACATAGCCAGGTACGGCTCGTAGATGACAGATCGAAATATCCACTCCCAGCGATGCTCATTCTTCCTCAGGATGCCTTGCCTGGCCACACCAAAGGCCACCATCCACACAGCAAAGAGGAAGAGAAAGAAGAAGACATCTATCATCTGAAAAAGGACAAGCAAATACATCAGTATGCCTGTTGCAAGCCATACATGGCTTTTTTCTGCCTGATTTGATATGAGGGTGGAGAACAAGCATCAGAAAAGCCTACATGGCTTGCATTTGAGACATGCAAGACAAAAGCCACCAGGAAGAAAAATTTCTCATCTTCTCTTCAGCCCGATCTTTTTTCAGACTGAAATTCAACCTTGTACAGAGGAAGAGGAAAAGGTCCTGACCTTAATTAGCTCCTATTTAAATCTTAATTAATTCTGTTTAGCAGATATAAGAGAAGGAGTGAACTTGCTGCCATCAGCAGAACAGTGGTGATGTGGCACCTTGTCACATCATTTATTTGAACTCTTGAATAGCTGCCAGAACCTTACCATCCTCTGCAGCATAATAATTTTGGGTCCTAGATTCCTGCTAACGGTGAAAATATGGATCAGTCTCAGAGTAAAAACTATGTAGTCCAAACAGAAAATGACTCTCCCAGAATACCAAGAGCTTTCATCAGATGAGTGCAGCCTGATGGAGACAGCAAAAGAAAATGAAGAGAAGCATTGGGTAAAGCATGCGGAAGTCACATAAAATTACACTGAAACATTGAAAATGGGGAGTGAAAAGTGAATAACAGGAAAACAGAGCACAGATACCCAGGGTCCCATGCCCATGCCCAATCCTGCCTAATGACATATTTTCTTTACACACATCCTAGCTTAGCTACATCATTGCTACGTTTCCTCTTTCTTTCTAGAACTATTAACAGCAAGGAAATCTTGTATGTTTAGCTACTTGCCCCCTGCCTCCCAAAACACCACAGTGCAACGGCCACTCTGCTGGACGCAGGCAATGAGAACCAAGTTACAGTTGACGAAACAACTACACTTGAAAATGTATTTCCACAATTTCCTTGCCATGGTTGTTAATTCATCCATTCCTGTTAAACAGCTTATGTGAGCTAACGACATTCTCTTAGTCTATTGTACGAAAAATTAAATGCAACCCACTAGAGGTCAGAGTCCACATTACTACACTAGTCGATAGTAGGAGCCAGGGAAAATCCCAAAGAACTTAAAACTGAGATATTACCCGTCTTATCCTACAACTCTGATATGTTTTGTATAACCAGTCATTGTCATGAAATCTACGCCCATTTCAACCATTTTCTTGTAAACATGCTCACACAAATCTAGAGATTAAGAAGGGCTGTCTGATGGCCCAGAAGGATCTGCGTTTAGGGAAGCCATCTTTGATTCCAGGGATAGACTCACCTTCCATTAAACCAAAGAGAAAATATTGCATGCAGGTGGTTTATCCGATCAACTTATTTTATTTCCTTAATTGCCATTAAAAATTTAGAGTCAAGATTTGGCAGTATGCCTGGCCCTCATAAAGAACAGGGTGTTTCAGGAACATGTTTTTTTTCAAAATCTAGTTAGAGGTTGCAGTCAAAACCTGGAAAGAAAGGAAGGCCATAGTACGGCCACAAGAAAAGGCGGTACTCACCTGAACACAATTCCTGCTATGAAGTAGAAGATGGCTAGAGTATCCATAACATTCCACAGATCTAAGAAATACTTACTGCCATTCATGTACCACTGGAAAGGAAAAAAGATCAGAAAGTAGCCACCGCAGTTACTTGGAGAGCTCATACATCACTATATCCTCCCCTGGTCTCTCCCAGGGGATGTCCTCACAGGCAAATATTCCACCGATTGCAACATTAAGGGTTGTTCCCTTGCCCAAGTCATCTTTTGTCACACACAACGGGCACAACAAAGGTCAAATTGTTTTTTATTTCCCCCAGGAGATTTGTTTTTAGTATACACAGCAATACCAGACATTACTGACATCATTTTTTTTGTTAACTTTATTAGGACGATAGATTGGGATTTTCTATGTTTAGGGATCACTAACACATTTGTTCCTGCAGCCCAGATAGCCTAGGCTAATGCTCTTGCACTGGGACCAGTTAGGCACGTCGGTGACACAAGCACTGTGTCACAGTGAGGGTTTCTGTGCTCACAGGACACAACCAGCTCACACGGATGCTTGTGCATGGGGAGAGGAAGGAGTGCTCCTGACATGGGCTGAGACTGATGTGCTGAGCAATCACATACGTACACACATGCTGCTAGGGGAGCTTCAGAGTAGGTCACGGTATGCTCCAGCAAAACTGCTGCCAAATGGGTCAAAGGAGTCTTGCTTTTGCCCCCTGGGAGCAGATAAAACACTGGGGGGAGGCAGGAGGGTTGCTGTTTCAGGGCTTCCTTTTCTTCACATAGCTCATTCAGGGACCTGTCTCTGGCTACACACATGTTTTTGATCAAAGATACACATTTAATTTATTTTTCTAACTACCTAACTCTAATTCTGAATTGCAAGGCTAACGAGAATCTCTACCCTGTTCCAGATCAAATAACTGGCAGTGCATCCTGGATCCAAAGCATGTGCAACCAACTTCCGGGTCTAAGTCAGAAATAGTTTAATCAGGAGAAACCTCCACTGGGCCTGAAGAAACAGACCAAGCCCTGATTATAAAAAAGAAATCCACTGCAAAGCCTCTGCTGAAAGTCAGCCGCCCACATTAGCTCCCTAATTTCTTTCATATCTGTGATGATCTGACTTGTGTGATCAACAAAATCAACTCCAACCCCTTAATTCATGTGCAGTTGTTGAAAGCAATTTCATGCACTAGCAGATAATTGGAGGTTCAACAAGCCATTACAGTGCTGCAGCCTGTGTTGGGTGCAGTCTCCTGGGAGAGCACCAGCACCTCAGGAGGCAAAATGCTGGCTCATTATATCAATTTCCAGATTTTTTCCTGCATATCCCAGAGCTATAAATTGCTACAAATCAGAATTTTATTTTCTTCTTAAATTACATTGAAATAACCAAGGCTTAAATAATTCTCAATCAGCGGAGTACTGATCACTGAATCTCTTTATAACTAACATACCCACGGCAATTTTCTTCTCGGTACTTTAGAAGGATACGCACAGATCAAAGGGAATTTTCTTCCAAATGCAGAAGTTATGAGAGCAACACTTTGCTATTCAAGCAAGTCTGTGTTTCAATCAAGTCTGTGTTTTAGGTGCCTCCACTCCCAGAATCGAATTGGTACAGTCTGGCCACTAGCTATTAATGCAATGACTGGGATCTGAAACTGTTCTACCTGCTCAGATTAGTGGGAAAAAGTGGCATAGAAAAAAAGGTTTCTATCCCTAAGGCTTCCCCCTGGATCTCTGCTGGGTACACACAGGAAGTGCAATGACAGGTCCAGAGACACCAGAACCTAAATCAGCAGAAATAAACACTCCATTAGTGTTTTAATTGCAACAGTCTTTTACTTTTCCATTTTCCTTAGCAATTAAATTTGGCTTAAACAGGGTGCTGCCTTGACTATTAAAAAAAGGAAAAAGACTGCACAGAAATCTAAGCATAGCAACATCAACACTCAGTAATGTCATTGAAGCTCACATAAGAAATGTGATTGCAGGGTAGCCTGATCCAGCAGGTCACCCAGAAACAGTCATTTGGAGACTAACGCCTCACAGGACAAGCAGAAGGCAGCACTGCACTGAAACCACACATCCATTTCTCTTCTGATGGCCCCAGCGCTTTTTGACTCAAGTCTCCACTATCCTGAGCACAGACTGGCTTGCCTGAAAAGCCTGATCCTGAAATCTTCAGAAACAGACCAAATCCACCATACTTAGGAGAAGGAGAAAAAACAAAACAACAAAACAAAATCCCCCAAACTCATCTGGAATACTCATCTAGCCTGGAAAGTATTTATTTTTTAGTAGATGCTAAGCCTTCTTCATTAAGGTGGTACTTACGAAGTGAGAAGAGTATCAGCTATGGCATTGACTATAAAGGCAGTCCTGCACACTGTTCCCACACCACATCAGTACAAAAATGTCCCAGGCTGGTACTTGGGATTATGTAAAACTAGCACAAACTGTATTTATGACTAAGAGATAAACATAAATACATAAAGATACGTTGCTCATGAAAAGAAAGGGAGATGTGGAGAAGCAAGGGCAAGAATCACTTGACCTACAGGCATGTATCTAAGCATATCTTGTTAAACCTAACCTCTATAATCTCAACTGCTTTAGCAACCTCAGCCAAGCAGTCCTAAGAAGCATCTCCAGCAGCATCAGCATATCCATACAGCCTCAATAGCTGTGTGGATCACAGCTCAACAGCCTGCAGATATTGGGACATATCTAGGAATTAAACATTGGGAAGTCCCAGGAGGTGGTTCCCCCGTGACTTAGAAGCGGCCTGCACTGCCTTAAGCTACAGGCAGCTGCCAACATAAAGCTTCTATTCTAACATTAAACATTTTTGGTTTGCAAGCGCTGCCTACTTGTCTCACTTCATCACAAAGCAGGATGAAGACCAGCACGTAAAGGATCATCTCCAGGACAGTAGGTTCCTTCTGGAAATCCATAAGCAGCACGTAGGCGAAGAGCAACAGGAAAGCAATGTAGAAGATAACATTCCAGGAGAAGACCACAAAGGGTGAGGTGAAGAAAGACACATAATACAGGAAGAGTTTCTTACTCTTCTCCACAGGTTTTTTCCTGAGAAATTAGAAGAGGGAAAAGGTATCAAAGCATAGCCGTATGCCTGGAAATATCTGTGTTTTGTCAAAGTGAAAACTAGAAAGGTACAAGGACTAGTATAGGACTAGCACTTTAAAGGCAATGCCATTCTGTATCTGGCATCAGGCATACAAGTAAATTGGCATATATTAACTCCAGATCAGAGTGAGAAAACAATCTGTTAAAAGACCTTTGAGCCATTAAATATTTTTATCTGAAAGTGACTGAACACTGGAACAGGTTCAGAGAGGTTGTGGAGTCCCCATCCATGGAGATACTCAAAACCCAACTGGACAGAGTCCTGGTCAATCTGCTCGAGCAGGGGGATGATCTTGAGAAGTCCATTTCAGCCTGAATTGCTGTATGATTCTATGATTAATTGATTTGTTTTACTTCTGTTAATGAGAAGCCAGCTGATTACCTGAATGAGATGAAACCACAGCCTATTAAAGGGAAAAAGAAGAGACACAGTATAATCTTCCAATTCTTAGTATCTCTTGAAATCTCTCCATACCACTGCTTGGAAAGGAAATTCTGCAGGGAAGAAGAAAATACCCTTGTTTGTTGTAACAGCAACAAAATAACTTTGGAATGCTATTAGAGGACATTCGATTTAGGAGGAAAAAAAAAAAAAAGCTTTGAGATTTAAAATAAAATAACTGGGATTCCTATTTCAGTAATAGAGAATGTTTTCTGCATCAGTAACAGTGTGCTGGTTCCTTAGTCCAGCCATCCCCTAGCCTATCTGAGGAGTTGAATGGGAGGCTAAACAGGAGCTGACCTGATTTATAAGGCACTTCACACTGGGCAGTAAATTCACACTGAGTACACACATGACTTGTGCCAAGGGGGAAGTCACTTCAGGCAATCTTCATCATCTAGATTTTTATGATTTACAGCTCTAAATCATCTTCCCCTCTTGACTTAGTATTTGTGGGCAAATCAGCCATCAGCTGTTAGCCACACGTTGTCCCCCATCGGGCACAATCCGTGCTCTCTGGGATGCATTTCACAGCACTGCAGAAGTTGGTTCTGTGAGTACCTGTGGGAAAGGGCTTTGCTACAGCCACACAAAGCTCTGCATTCACACAGCTGGGAAAAATCACCCCTAGGTTCTGACCTCCGTGAGGGCAGTGTCTGAGCTGTGGCCTCGCACGGGTTAGTCCCGTGGATGCAGCATTTTGGCAGGAAGAATATTTGCTTTTCTTATTTTAGAAGTCACCCAGATCACATGAGTTACAGCAATCCATGCACCTTCTTGTCACTGATATTACCTGCACCCCTGGCTGTGCAATGAATTGCTGGTCTTTTGCTTCCACTGCTAGTTCCAGGCAATTGCTGCCTCCCCAGGCTTCACAGGAATAGGTCAGCAGCTGCTCAGCCAGATCTTCATCATTGCTGTAGCACTCGGTGAACAGCTCTGGAGGAAAGAGGCCACCCAATAAGGAGAGAAAGCAACTCTATCAAATCTGTCCCCCTGACTCTGTCCCTGTTTGACAATAGCTGCACAGCCCAAAGGGCAGGAATTACCCAGCCCAGCCTAGCAGCATTAGTGCTCATTCATATGGTACCTGCTGCATGTTTATACATACACTTCCCAACACAATCACTCACACACCGAGCTCCAAATTCCCTGCCACTGAAGGCAACTGCTTTCAGTGACTTAAAAAACATAATATTAAAGCATACAGATTCAGGAACTCTTCATCATGCTGAACATTTGGAAAAAAACAAGTATTCTTAATTCTCTATTCTTAACACACTTGCATGTATTAAGCTTTCATACAGAATTCATGTCTGGATGAAAAATTGTAATATCAGATCAGCTTGCACAGAGATAATATTGAGTTCTGCACTGAAAAATGAGGAAAAACATGAACTTCTACTCAAATGATTCAGTACTTTTGCTCATATCATTTTCTTTTCATTCATTTAGCACTGATGTGGAGTTATAGTCAGTGTCAGCAGTCCCGCTAATGGAGTTAAACAACACGGGCAGAATTTGGTAGTTTTTCACTGAGAAATGCGTTGCAAACATGGTTGTTGAAGAAGAGCTGTAAGCATCTTATTCTGCCTGTAGAGTTTTGCCACCAACCATCTGCATGGTGTGAAAAACAAAGTTTGACTTGCAGGACAATTCTGCTTGGAAAGAAGCTAGACCAATGACCCAGGTAACACGTCAAGGACAAACACGGTCTGCTTTTAGGAGCAATATCTACAATAAAACACTATCAGTCTGTGGAGATTTTCAAGATTTGGCTAAGCAAAACCATGACAGAAGAGATTTAGTCTTGGTAAGAGCTCTACCTCAATGCGAAGGTGGGACTTAAGGCCTCCAGAGGCCCTTTCCAGCAACATTTCCATGGTTTCCCTACTCAACCTGCAGGGCTATTACACCTTAACCATCACCTAATGTGACTCACGATTATGACAGCAAATTGCTTGAGAGAAATTGAGTTACAGATTGACCATTTTCCATATCCAGATCAGTCAAGAGGACAAGGCCATAACCCATAATAAAGCCCCCAGAGGCAACACTATTGTATTTCCCTCCAAGTTAAGGAACCACAGTCCTGCACTACGGGGTCGATCACAGACAATTAATTTGTAAACTGTGGGCGCTACAAATTAATCTGCCATCTGCCACCTGCATTGGCTTTCATTTGTGTATTTCTCTGAATGTTTTGCAGGATAACTAGGCATTAAGAAAATATGATCATTATTGTTCCAGAAAATGGTAGTCTTAAAAAAATAAATAAAAAGCATCCACCGCATCCTGTCACCAATTAGTCTTTAAATAAGAAATATTTGTTATTCTGGCCCATGAGATGCAGGGCTCAGTTCTGGACCACTGACAACACTTTGTAACAGGAGAAACTGAAGGCCATACAAAGAAAGAAAAAGGAGTGAGATAGATCTGCATTCTCAGTAAGCGACTGTATCGCTTGTCTTTGGGGAACAAGGAAAGGCATGTGATTTTGTAGTTTAGAATTTAGGGATTCAATACACTTTTCAACTGTAATTTATTCTCACTCCTACTTTGCAGTACTACTTCAAATTTGAAGGCGGACACTTCTCAACTTGAACGTTACTGGTACTCATGAAGAATGCTTCTCTTATTCTGTGTTCTCTTTGCTATTTCTGGGCACCCTTCTTCAGCCTTGCCATTACAAGAGGCAACTCTTCCTCCCAATGAAAGATCTCTACAAAAAAAATGCCCAAACTCTTGCTTTTGGAGGCAAGCTGTTCAGACAGGACGCATGGATTTTAATGGGAATGGACAGTGTGGAAGCATTAAAAACATTTTGATATTACTGGCACAGGCTGCCCAGAGAAGCTGTGGATGCCCCATCCCTGGAAGTGTTCAAGGCTAGGTTGGAGGGGGCTTTGGGCAACGTCGTCTAGTGAAAGCTGTCCCTGCCCATGGCAGGGGGTTGGAAACAGATGGTCGTTAAGGTCCCTTCCAACCCAAACCATTCTATCTTTCTATGATTTGATGATGGATATCTAGTTTTCTAAATGAAAGTTTATTTCTACTCCCTTTTGAGATGTCATTCTCTTCTTTCCAAATCAGGCTGAATTTCTGGGCAGCATTTCAGGCAAATTTAATGAATTCTCTTGCCTTGCATTCTGCTAAACAAAACCAGCATGGCTTTCAGTTTGCATTATCTGCACAAAATAAAAACATCACTGTGCAATCATCACTATACATCAGATCTGGAGATCATTAAAACAAGTAACGTTCCAAGAAATTAAACAACATCCTGATCTCTGACTCCTCTGTTAAATTTCTAAAGGACTTAACGAAGGCACTTACCTACTGCTCTTGTCTCATACTCGTTAGCGAGTTCCTCAGACTCACCAGCAGCATTTATGTCATTCTTCACCTTTGCCATGCTTTTCAGAAGCTTACTGGCCCCAAGGGCTGCCAAAGTGCAACCTCTGGTCTATGGAGAGAGTAAAGTCATGTAAACCCTTCCGGAAAGGGAATGTGATATGTTCTTTAAAAGTTATCCTGCTCTTTTTCCAGCTGCTCAGTTCCTAGTCAAGACTGGCCAATGAAGAACCAGTTCTACAAAACGAATAATTATCACTACTGGTTTGGTAACATCTTTGTGATCAGTCTTAAAAGTTCTCCTGGTTAACAGTTAGATATCAGCTTTGTATCTCTGACAGAAGGTTCACAGAAGAGGGTCTGCTCTGCCATGAGCTACACTACCATATTTATTGTCCACCAGCCTGGACCAAATGTATTATTGTTAGTATATACCAGGGAAGACGTACTCAATTTTGGAGACACAGACCAATATGAGCAGGAGCATCCATCAGCTTTGCTTTCATTTAGCCTCACATTTGCAGCCTATGAATTATGTATTTGATTAAATCATAACTAAAGGTATTGTCTAATGAAAATTAGAAATGGATTTAAATCAAATATCCGAAATCACAACACATCCATGTTACAGAACGGTGGAGGGAACTCTGTGGAATAGAGGGGTTAGCAGAACTGCCACCATGGACTTCCAGAGGGCAGACTTCAGGTCTGCTAGGTTAGACTAGAAGATCCTAGAGGTCTTTTCCATCCTGAGTGATTCTATGAGCTCAGCCTTCAAGCTTAAAAACAGATAAGAACAAGTAACTATATGTAAATGCTAGTTTGGACTGCTGACGCATACCTAACATTATAAAAGGAAGGTATGAAACCCATAGCCAAGCACAAAATGGGTAATATTCAGAGCCACAAAACAATTATCTGTTGTGGTTTTGTGTTCAACGATGGATCGGGAGCCTTCAAAGGCCTACAGCCCAAAGACAAGGAACACCACTGTGATGTGTGTGGAGGAACAAAGAGGAACTCAACTTACTTGCTCCCAAATGACTTTGGACAACTCTTTCTTGTTCTGAAGAACTGACCAAATAAACAGAGCTTGCAATGGATGCCTTGTGATAGGGCACTCATTCTGAAAGAAAGAGCAATGACTCCTCAGACCTAAGCTCCTGGAACAAGTCCTTAGCCTGTCATTCTCCATTCTCTGTTTTCTTCCTTTTAAAGCCATCCCACTTATTCCCTTTCCACATATTCCCTTTCTTGGCCATCTGGCACTTCTCACACTACTCTAAGTTACAGCAGCCTTATATTTTCCTGTTTAATTTGGAAGACTTAGCCCCACTGCTTTTCCTAAATGTGCATTAAAGGACATTTGGGTCAAAATCACTTTCTGCTTTAACCCATGCAGTTCAGATAGTCTCATTCAGAGCCTGACTTTGTGTTTAAATAACACAGATTAGGATCCTCTAAAAGGAATGTTAATTTTACACCAGTAGGCCTTTTGTGTTCAAGCAAGGCCCTGAACTTGACAAAATCTGAAACAGACACGAAGTTCTATGCTGCTACCAACTGCTTTGTATTAGGGCAGTTTGCACCAGCAGATTGCAAAGCAGTTGTGAAATAACTCCTGAGCAACAAAACTTTTAAGAAGCAAAAAGCTTCAGTGGAAACTCTCAAAGCTAACTAGCAGTTTTAAACCAAATTTCCCCTAATTGTCACACATGTTGCGTTATGTCTCTGAAGTCCACAACTGATTTCAGACACTTAATATCTGATCCCTAGGCTCTGGTTTTGCAATTTAGATCTGGATCTTAGTGATAACTAAGAAACGCGGTTCTATCTGACAATGAAATAAGGTCCAGAAGGTGCTTGACACTCTTGCAATAAGCAAGGTTTAGAGCACAAAACACAATACTCTGTACCCAGGTGTGAGTCCAAATTATTCATGCCCAGCTGGTACTTCAGTACTGGGCTCTGAATTTATATTGGTGTAAAATACAATCATCACAGCACTGATTGCTCTAATAGAAAATCTTACAACTCAACATCCAAATAAACCAGCCACTTTTCTCATAGCTAAACAATCCTTACAAGTATTTGTAATATGAGGAAACATGTTAAGTATAAAATAAGGCCGACTGTTAAAAGCAAATCCTGCTATACCAGAAACAAAACATATTTTTTGCTTTTTTCCCTTTTCAGGGATGCATAGTGGAATGCAACTGTTCATCACTTACTGAAATATGTATCTCCATCTCATCCTTGCTATTTTTATCATCTTTTTTAAGACCTCTTCGGAAGTCCTCAACCATCTTCCACACAAATGTGAGAAGTGCATCATTATAGGAGTTCTTTGCAATCTGCAGGTTCTTGAACACCAAGCTACTGAAGTTGTTGGTGTACAGTTCCTTAAGGACCTCTGTGGTAAGGAATTTCCTCAGGTTCAGGCCATTTTCCAAGAAGAGGCGAACAAATTTGGGCCTGTCTTTCACTAAGGCTGTGAACATGACATCCTGCAGGTCAGCAGACTAGGAAGAAATGGAAGAACAAATATTAGGAGGCATTTGAGATGTGAAAAGATGAATTAAAGGCCAGACACAAGTAACTAACTGCCACATTTTCCTTCATGCTGGCACACTTTCATCAGAATCAGCTTTTTCCATATGCAATTGCATTTGTTAGGTGGTGTGGACTATTTCCAGCATGGGCAGATCACCTTTGCAAGCAGTGCAAGGAGGAAAAGGTGGTCTTACTTAACACAGAGGATAGGATATTTAGACAGTGGCTGCTGTTACATCTCTCTGCTCTGTTACATCACTGCTCCCCTGGCTCATGCCACTGCACTCAGACAGAAGCCATCTGTACCTCCCAGTTTCGGTCATTGGTGAAGATCTCATCACTGGCCAGGTCCAGTTGGTTCCACTCCAGCAGCAGCTTCAGCTGCCCATTCCAGTTATCTCTGTCATGTTCATTTGTGCTGAAAGCTGCAGAAGAAGAGCAATCCTCTAGGTAAAACACCAGACACAGAAGAGCTTCCTGGCATACTTACTCAACTCTGCTTTTCACGCGCTACTCAACAAGACCCCTACCAAGCATCTTTCCCCAGATTCATGCACATCTTCCTGATTGGGTTTTAGGGGCCTCTGGAAACTTAGAAACACATCTAGTGCCCAACGCATGTGTATATCTTCCCTTTCATGCAGCATGCAGGAAATGGGAATGTCACCATCCCAGAATGCTTCAAGTAACATGCCCATGTGCATGTGCCACAGAGCAGGGTATAGGAATCATCTGAGAAAAAAAAACAAACAAGCACGTCTCAAAGCACAACAGAGGATATACATGCCTAGGGCTGAACCTTGCTATTCAAAATCCCAGAGTAACTCATCTTTGTCCATCTATTTAACATACACAAAGAAAACAAACAAACAAACAAACAAAAAAACAAACAGAACAGAACAACAACTTGCCTTTGTAGAGAGCAAAAGAAATGGCATTGCTCACAATTTCATCTCCAGCTTCTTCTATTTTGATAACTGTCAGTAAATGAGGGTTCTCGAGGACTTCTTTGATCTACAAAAAGGAGAACCATTCCAAAGCACTCTAGACAGTTTAGCAGTTGATCTCCTAGAGCATCTTGAACAAAAATTTCCCATTCACATTGTAGCAATCATCAGTCCTATTTCCAAATACAGTTAAAACTTATACAAGTCCGGATAGAAGCAGATGAGACTTAAAGTCACCAAGATTAATTATCCTCTGAATATATAGCAAGTGACTGTGATTCCTCCCTATGCAGATCATTACTACCAAAAAGATATAATCTCAGTAATTAGAAACCACTCATAAAGAAAAACAGATTGTGACAGGCCACATTTCAACAAATGTCTGGCAGTTTGTTATAAACCACTGCTTCTACCTCCTTGTGTTTTGTCAAAACCAGATAATTTCTCACATAACTGAGCTTTCATTCTAGTGTACAGAAAACAAAAAATCTTAGTCATTCATAACTGAAGGACAAGACATCCCAGCGGAAACTAAAGGTGGCTTATCTGTGAAAGCTGCCTTCAGCAGCTCCACACTCTCCAGTGCAGGTCTTTGTGGAAACCAGAGGCTTGTGATCTGCTCAGAGTGCAGCTCTTTCTCCTCAGCATGAGATAGCACAGCCCCCAGGCTCAAAGTACAAGTTCAGATTTATTTTCTGCAGGCCTGTCTTTGCAAAAGACCACACCTACTTTTTCCTGTAAGTTTGTTAATACAGAATCAGGAAAAGGTACCTCTGGAGATCTAGTCCAACCCTGCTGCTCAAAACTGGGGAAAGCACAGCAAGTTGCCCAGCAGAACTTGTAGGATGCCCCACAGACTATCTGCCAAGTTCTCACTGAGTTTTGACTCAGGATTTATCAGAAAAAAAAAAAGCTCCTTAAACTTCAATACCAGAAGCTTTGTTTGGTTCATATCCAAGGAAATACATGTGGAAATATGAGCATCTGAATTCCCCTCCAGGGTTTGTGAACAACTTGCAATGCTACATTAATTAAAAATAAATAATAATAAGTTAAAGGGGGGAAGAAAAGCTGAAAAAGACTTAAACGTACAGGATGGAACATGCCATTTTCCATCCCCCATTACAAACATGCAATCACTCTCCACTGCCAGCTCCCTGCTGTGAACACGGGTAGGAGATAATTAAGCAAGAGAGGGAAACAGAATCAGACCCCAGGATAAAGCACTGGGCTTTTAATTGAGAAAGTCAATTAGCTTAAGTTAATGTATTGTTCAGTGGGCTGAAGTGTTGTTGGAACCAAGATTTCTGAAAAATAACAGAATAAGACTTTTTGGAGATCCGTTTTTTCTGTCCCTGTCATGGAGGGCAGAAATATGTCTAAAAACAGGTGACTCTGGTGAGCAAGTAACTGGAGAGTTAAAAAAGTTTCCTAAGTCAGGCCCAACCAACCCAAGAGAACAAATGCTCTCCTCAGTCCTCCAGTTTCCCCAGTCTCCAGAAAATACTTAGGATCACAATGGTAACTAAATTCTGAGGGCTCTGTGGTCAAAGATAGAGAGGCAAAAGAAGATTTTGCTGGTGTATGTACAATGTTCTACCTTCAACTGCATCCCATGTACACACTACTGGTAAGTCCACAGTCTATTTAGCAAGTGTCCTACTCAGGATGGTATAGGGATGCTACTGTGGTGAAATCCTGACCAACTAAGCCTCTAGAACTAAAGATCTTGTCCCTGGTCTGTAAGGGAAATCTGTCCACCCTGGTATCTTAAAGGATGCAGGAAGAAAGGCAAAATCTTGTTGAACTTGTTGAAATGTGAGGATCCTGGAGTAGAATTGCTACAATTTGAACACCTGCAGGGCAGCAGCAATACCTCTCTGCCTCTGAGCAATCCAGCAGGATCTAGCAGTGTGAGGCCTGATTCAAGATATCCAATTTCACACCTTCACAAAGCACACAAGGGAGTCAGGACACCAACCAGCACATCTGCCAAGAGACACATCCAGCAACCAGTGCTCCAGAGGAATCACACGCACCCAGAAACCAGACAACAACCTGGCTTTAGCAATCCTGTACCCAGAACTAAACCCAAACTCAACCTGTCTTTCCCCAGACTAGCTGCTCCTGACCTCCCGTTTATTTTCTACCCTTCTGCCACGTTCAGCCTCTCTACAACAGCAAGCACTTACCCATTTGATCCAGCTTTCAGTCTCCTCTTCTGAGAGCCTTGAAATAGTGCGAGGCAGATACCTGAGCAAGCTCTCCTTGACACATGAAGAAGCCAGAGTGCCTTCTGCCTCCATCAAGCTAGCTATAACATCAGCGATCCGTCCAGAGCCTTCCACGACAACGCAGGGAATTTTACTCTTGATGGCCACATGGATAGACTAGGGAGCCACAGAGGGAGAAATGATGCGCTGAAATGCGCTGAAAAATGTGCTGAAGTAATGACAGAAGAACCCCTAGCCCCCCTGTTATAAAGACCACAATAAGAGATACCTATTTCATTTGCATCATTGCCACTGAGAACACCACCAGAATATAAGCTGCCTGACAGAAAACTGTACAAACAGAGCAAAGAGAATTTATGATCAACCACAGAGCACCTATTAGCTATCAGAACAGACTCACAGACAGCTTCACAAAGCAAAAAATCATTCTGGAACTGTCAAAACTATGAGCAGGTTACTTACTCTTTTCAATTGGACAATGGGTTCATGACAAAAGCAAATCATTTTTTCTTGCCAGCTAGATCAAAGTGGTTTTCTTAAGAAGGGTCCAACTAAAGTGCATGTTTTATATCACAGGGAGTTTAAAACAGAAGCTTGAAACAGTTTTACCACTCCTCTGCTAAAGCAGATTCCTGTCATGATACAGGCACAGAAGATGAGTAATAGGGAGCTTTCCTGGCCAACACCACCAGGAGTAAGGCATGGCAAGGACAGACACCCACAGCATGGAACCTACTGTGTCACCTTGGGCTGATCAGTCTATTCCTTGTGAATACAGGCTTAATAAATGATCAAGATCATTTACCAAAGAGAAATGATCAAGAAGGCAGACACAGATGTCTCAGTGTACTTGTAACCTTGATAAATAACCCTTAATTGAACAATCATCCAGTAACTTTTCAGAGGAAGCTCTTTTCAGGAATTATGCATTTGATTTAACAAGGCTTTTATTCATACTGATTAGATAGCTGGTAAGTCTGTTATGCATCATTTCTCAACAGTGGGCTTGTTGTCTCTCCATGCATGTAATCATAAGGCGTCTCATGTTGCTATACTGCATGCTGTGTAGAAACAACTCCTTCAGCGATGACAAAATCCTCTCTTAAAAGCTGGCAATGTGGAACTAAAAGAAGATAACACTTTCAGCAAAGCTTCACTCTAAAACCTAAATGGATGCTTTTACCTCATCTTAGGACTTCATATTAGTTCATTGAACTGTGCATCTGTATTCATCTACAGTCTACTTGTGGGCAAAGCTAGAATTAATCACGTGCATGAAACCAAAACACCAGAAAACACACAAAGGCTGGGGTAATGACCTGAAATTTCACAGAGTGATTTAATGTTATTAAAGAAGAGATAACAGAGAGTGTGCTTAGAATTGTTAGAAACACATTCTTTGTCATCCTGACAGCAAATTAGTTTGATTAGCCTCAACATTAAAACTACAATTCTAGTCAGAACGGGTAGTATCAGGATCAGCTCTTCAAATTAGGCAATTATAAATATCACCTCTGTTTCAATTTTACTGCCACAAATACTAACATACTCTTTCCATTGTACCCTACCTTCTTGCAAAACCCAGGCCTTTTCTCAGATCTTTCTCAAGGTTCTTCAACCCAGGCAATGTCAGCTCTTCTATTTGCATGCTAGTCAAAACCATCTCGTCCTCACTCGCTGTTTCTGATTCCTTTCTACACATCCTGATTTCACATCTTTTTACTCTTACCCTAGCCCCAGGTCCCTTTGCTCTTTCAGTCTCATATTCCTCACTTAGGTCACTCATGTTCATTCCTGCAAGGGTGCATTCTGTTCATCCTCTTCCTACCTGCCTTCTATTTGAAGATGATGCCTAATCCCTCCCCTTCTACAGGATCAGAATCAGCAGAGCCTTCCTGCCTTGTTCAGCTGTCTATATTTAAACTATGTGTGGCCCACAGTTCTCAGGAGCAGATATCAAGTCAGCTCAAGCAAGCTCTGAACTGGAGAATCTCCAACACAAACTCACTTTCCTTGCATATTGGATGAAAACACTAATCTCCACAAAACAAGTGCAAGCTGAATTTTGGCCAACCAAAAAATAAGACAACCTCATACAAAGAGGATCAAGAGCCACATGGCTGACAATGATTACTCTGATTGCTGCTCAAATTAACTTGTTATAGAAGAACAAAGAACTGAACTGTTCCACCTAAAAGTTTTTCAGAATGCCAGCCTAAGGTAGAAACTTTGCACAGAAAATGTCAACTGAAACAAACTTCATACACTTAAAAACAGTCGCATGCCAGCATTCTTGCAAGTAAGCATTCTTCAGTGAATAATTGGACGGGATACTTTATCATGTTGCTCATGGAGTAGTATCTAATCTCTCTTAAAGATTAGATCAGTGCCCCTACTGTCAAAAAGTGAAAGAAAGAAATGAAAGAAATAAACTTACTTTTAAAGTCTCTTTCCCTCCACCTTGGGCAAAACATACAATTGGAATCTTCCCACCGTAATTCGATTCTGTGGAACATGCCAAAAGAAAAACGGGAAAAGTTTCAACTCATTACTGAAATTTGATCAAACCTTTTCTTCTCAGTATAATGATAGTTTCCAAGCTGCTCATTTTGATACTAGTTTACTGTTGGTTTTGCTAAATTTATCAACAACTTTATTTTTTTTTTTTAATTAAAGCTCTGTTTCGACTAGCAGTCTGACTAGGCTGGCATCAGACAGCCTTCTCCAATAGATACTTTCTTCATCCTAGCAATCAGAATTTTTATTAGCTCCAATGTCCCCCAAACATTTGATTTTATTCTATTTACCTACTGCTTTGACCATTTTGAGCGTATATACAAGGTCCTTATCAAAAGCTGAAGGTTCAGAACCACTGACTCTTCAATTTCAATTGTAAAGGATAGCTAAGACTCCCATGACTCTAGCAGCTAGTGTTTAAGAGATATACCAAGTTTTATTATAATCCTGGATGCTTCATCATGACTAATAGCACGTATGCTTCTGGCTGAGGTACGCAGTTAAATATATATATGTGTGTGTGTACAAAAAAAAATATTTAATTAAGAACTTCCTGTCAAGGCCTTTGTTTTTCTCCTTTCTTGGCAAAGGAGCCAAAAGATAAATTAGCAGGTTACAGATGAATCAATCACCTTCAGAAATGAATATTTTTGGAAAAGCCTAATTTCAGTTCCTGTGTACCTGTGCTTCAGCTACCTGGAATTCAGTGCCAGGTGGAATATATGCAGAAGCCAAGGGTCAGCCTCCCACAGATAGCTCAGCAGGAAGAGAAGGAAGGGCTGCCTTGCTGAAACATTATTTGCTGTGTCCTACAAAGAACTATTGTCACATGCAGAAAGGAAGATGAGAGGAGATTGCACTGAGGAAGTCTGGCTGTTCCTGAAAGAGCATTCATGTAATGCAGACAACACATCCCTTCTAGCATTCACAGGACGCTACTACTACTCTTTTGTTCCCAGAAAAACTTTGTCAATGAGCCCCAAAGCATGCAAGGTATAAGGAGAAGGAGGTTTGCAACCTGACGTCCACACCTACCTGGGATAACCCGCTCCGAAATGTATTTTTCTAACTGAGTTCGTACTTTTGCCTCTATCGTTGGGTGCCCGTGGGTGCCGTTGTCAACCAGTAAGAGATGGGTGTGATTATTATCCAGGCAATAGAGGGGGTCTCTCTTGAGATCATCCATTATGTAATGGGCCAAGTAGTACCCCTGGAATCACAAATACAGTGTTTAACAGAGATGCATGCACAAGCCTTCAAGGACAAGACAGTGACAGCCAAACCCTGAGCCACCAACAATTCCTCGTTATTTAGGAGTCTGAATTTCCTGATTCAAGATGCTGCTCACTGACAGCCCCAACACACACAAAAGACAGTGGGATAAACCCCATGAAAGAGCACAATATAAATATTTGTGGAGAAAGTTTTTCTTTACAAGAGCAGCCTGATTTGAGACAATTCTCTCAGAACTGTACCTCAGGTAATGGAATAAAATGAAATTGTGACAGTTTAGTCCTTTCAGAAATCCTATTAAACAATGCAAAAGGAAAGTAAGCTTCCTTCAGCCACCAGAAACATTAAAACTGTGGAAAACTTACTTTCAACACCTCAAAACTTACTTTCAGCACCTCAGAGAACTGTAGAAATACTGAGGTTGGAAGGGACCTCTTGAGATCATCTAGTCCAAGCCTCAAATCTCCTGAGCCCTCAGTAAATTAAAACTGTTTTTCCTTACCTAGCCAGATAGATTTCAGACAAGCTTTATAACAGCTGGCAGACACAAGATAAGAGGAGCTATGCCAGTGTATCTGAGTGATGGGATGACAGTACCCTAACAGCAACAGCTGGCACAATGTGTCTTAGTACATGGGAATCCCCACTGTGGACTACTGCCGTGTAAGGATTTCACAGCAGCTAGAGTAACTGTGGAAGAGGTTATTCCCTAACCCTCTGCCATATGTGAAATTAGAGCAGCTGAACATCCACACAGGTGTGCTATGCATACAGCTGAGATCCCTTGCTGGTCCCCCCATCAGGCCTGATGTGTGACCACCTTAGACACTTGAGTTCCCTCCTGCTCTGGGAAGAGCATCTGGTAGTTCATCTCACTGCTACGTATGCTGAGGAAAAGCTGGCCCCAGACTGAATTGTTTAGGACACGCAAAGTCAGGCTAAGCAGACAGATGTGTTTCTACACAAAAACTACACTGGAAAAAGGTTTGGCAAACTCTGTGTTACCAGAAAATATGAGCAGAAGAGCTCTTGACTGACTCAAGTCAGTCACTACATGACCGATAGCATCAGCCTAGACATCGTTCTTCCTGAGAGCACCACTTGGTTAGAGACAATCTATACAATTTACAGCAGAGCCTTGTCTCTCTTTCCCCACTGACTGAACAAGTTTCTTACGTCATTATCACCACTCCGAATCAGGCTTTCTCGGTTGGAAATCATGCCCCAGGCTGCTATGCCGATAGCCACCACATTCTCCTCCGAGCTCCGACTGATGGTGTTGTCTCTGACCACTTCCCCGATGTACTTCATCAGCCCGTAATGTGTGCCTCCTGTGAAAATCCAGGCCCCTGGGGACAACACGGGGGATAACCTGGGAGAATGCAGTGGAATACCCACTCTCATAACACCCACCCTTTAAAACATCACAACCCAACACCCTCTCAAGACCTTACCTTAAAGGAGACATTTATTCTTCAGTTAAACACAAAAGATAGAGTACACAACTTACATTATCACAGGCAGCCTGATGGCTAGTTCTCAGCCCTGTTACTTACAAACTGTTAGGCAACATTTGCCCCAAGTGCATCAGCCAAGCAGAAACAAACTGAAGGCACTGCTTCCCTTCTGACCCTTTGAGATGCTTCCTCTCCAAAACCCCAATAAAATAACAAAGAGACATTTGCAGGTCTTTACCTTTGGACTGGGCAATGTAGATCAGCCTGCTGAATATCTTGCGCATTCGGGGCTTGAGTGCAAAGTTCTTTGCACCTCCAGTGACAGAGATGACAAGGTTAGGGGTTTTCAGGTGCCAGTGCTGTGTCATGAGATCATAGAGCGTTTCAGAGTCTGTGTCACACGACAAACGGATGTACTTTGGAGAGAAAAAATAAGAGAAACAAATAACAAGAGATAAATAGTGTTAGCTGGGGACAGACCAGGAATTGTGTTTTCTTCTCTAGTCTACACTCTCATTCCAATAGCTGGCAGACAGCGTGTGAAGTGATGAAGAATTGGAGCTTAAGTATTCATTTCTTCCTCTAAAGTATCTTAATACTCCCACTATGAGCAGGCACCATTGCCAGGACATTGCTAGGACTTCCAAGGTACTTTTGTCTCTTGACAGCTCAGTGACCAGGTCTAGAGATAAGGCACAGTCTTAAAGCGGAACATTAAATGGTAATTTCAGACCCGCAGCACAGTAAGGAATGTGACTGCAGGCCTTACAATCTCCAGCTCCACCTTTTCTGGGTTCAGTCCCAAAACTTCAACCTGTCAGGAGTTTGCAACTCAAATAGTTGCAGTGCTGAAACTGCACTACCAGCTTCTGCCACATACAACTTTAACAGGGCAGAAGATAAACTGTGTAGTCCACAAAATACGATTTTTGACACTACTACTAAATGTCCACAGTCTTTTCACAGAACCAAGAGTAGATTCTCAGAATCTACTTGCCCTCAGCTGCTTATAGATGTGAAGGCAAGAACACTGACCATGGGATTCACAGGATGAACCAAGGAAGTTCGCAATATAACAATTTTAAATTTAACAAAGCTATGTATAGCTTTGTTTATGGATTAATGGTAGTATTCTTGTAAGTGAACAAAAATAATTAGAATTGTATTTTGAGTACACTGTGAAAGTCTTAATTTGACAAACTAGAAATTATAGATTCCATATATATGGCGTTCCTATCATGACATATATATATATAAATAAATAAATAAATATATATATATATAAAACACATCATGAAAACTTTATCAATTTTGAAGTAAATCTGGAATACTCAATGAGGGTGCCATAAAGAACATAAGATAGATAAACTGTCCTCAGATAGACCTACTGTCTCTCCATTTATTTAAAAGCTCTGGGCTTTTTTTGATTGTTTTCTCTGCTAAAATAATAATAATAAAATAAAAATTTAAGAGGCAGTTAACTTAAACTGAAGAACATACTCATCTGTTCTAGGAAGGGTTCCCAGGGCTAGTTATTGCATCTGGCTCAGAACAGCACATCACAGAGAAAGCCTAAAAGGTTCAAGGTGCTACACGAGAGCTAATGGCATCTCACAGCATCTACTCCAAGGATGATCAAATGCATGGAGAACTGGGTGTTCTGCAGGAGAGGGGAAGCTGCCAGAAACAACTGCTCCACAGAGCTGCTAAACAATCCCCAATGCAAACCTTGTTAGCTCTATAGTTAGAAGGAATTTCTCCTGTACAAGGCTCTGTACTGATAACACAAAGTCCTTTATATCTTTATGAATACAGCTTTGTTTCATCTGCAGATAAAGGTTTCCAGCTGAATAACTTGTTTTCATCTATATAAAGCTATAATAATAAAAAAACACAGCAGGTACTGAAGCTGACCTGCCCACGCAGTTCAACTTGTTCTCTCGTATATCATCAGGATGTGTAATCGTAAACACACCTCAGCTGTATTCCATGCACCACCAACTATTCATCTGGCACTTCCCACCTCTACAGTCCTTGCTGAGTCTGTACTCAGTCAGGTGAATACCTCGGGTTAGCCACTTGCTTTCTCCAAGATACAACAGTGCCACCTGCCTGGTACACCCAACTAGTGCACTCCAACTATTCCCGCTCACACTCATCCGCTCCTCAAACACCGGCAATGAGGCGTCTCAGGAGCTGAATTCAGAAAGGTATTCAAGCGCAGCACAGAATAAAACATCTTTTCCCTCACTGAAAACAGTTTTTGATTACCTTGGATTTGAAGGGAGGGGGCTTCAAGGTGAGGGGGAAAAGAGAAAGAAGGAGGAAAAATAAAGGCTCTGAAGTTCCACTGATATCTTATGTTTTCTATGAATTTACCCTCATTGTAGGTTCTCCACCCCAGGGAATACTCAGACTTCAACTGGGCAGGGGCCTGAGCCCTGTCACACAAACTGGGTGTGCTTTGAGCAGGAGTTTTTACCAGAAAAATTCAGAAAGATTTCTAAACAAAGTTACTCTATTATTCTACGTGCAGCACAAAAGGCCTCATTCCAACATCCCAAAGCACCTTTCAGAGTGTCCAGTACAGGGCATAAGATAGGAACGTATGTAAAGAAAAGCTGTATGTCCACAGACTGTGCACACAGAACAATTAGGGAGGAAGGCAATACACATGAGTGACCAGCAAGCTCTGTTGGCAGGTGCTGAATGACATTGCACACAATTTTAAAGCCATTATAAAGCATCAATAACGATTTTGTGTCAAGCAGGCATGACAACTTGTGTACTGAAGAGCACCAGTCCTCAGAAGATAGGTCTTACATCCTTACAGATTAAAGCCCTATGGTTATCTCATGGATCCTGTTGCACTTTCCAAGGTAAAACATGCTACACATGCTCCTGTCCCAAGAGTTACACTGGTGTACATCCTCACACCTTTTTCTTTCTAAAGCATAGGTTAGTCCACACTGGAAAGGATGAGGAAAACAATCAAGAAAACAATCTTGCCTTGGTGTTAAAATCAGACAGTCAGGAACAAAGTATCTGTATTAGCAACCTGATTGTTCAGGCATTGGAACTCAGCATGTTGGGTCCACTACTAAAGGTAGGTAAAAAGGTGCTGAGTTGTTCTTCAACACCACCACATTTCAGTATAGATGAGGACCACAAAATGCTACTGCAAATGGACATTGGTACACGTGGGGTACGAGAGTCCCAGTGACAGACATCACACGTCTAGTTGAAGTTATTTCCTCCAAACTCCAGGCCTTCAGAATTGTATTAACATGCAAATTACAATAAAACTAGGTACATGAAGAGAAGAAAAAAATAAAGAAGTAAATGAGCATCACCTTCATTCTTTTGCCACACTTGGAAAAAGATAACCTCTTTTCACCCCTCCAACATCACCTGCCTATAAAAACTATTAAAACAGAAGAAATTATTCTTTATTATAGCTATCATGGCTTGATATCTTGTCTCCTTTGTAGCCTCTTTCTATTTCCTTAAAAATAAAATATACTCCAGCTGCACCCTCTCTGCTTTTAGAAGCTTTTGCTGCCATTGGATTCAGGACTCCTAATGTGGGGCACCCAATAGGGGCCTAACACATACCTTTAATATTATCACTTACCTTGCCTCTTTTTCCCATGTTTTCAAAGTGAATGTCCCCAAAGGCATCAGTGGGAAGTTCCTTAGTGTGCTTCTTATAATTCCATTTTTCATTGTTATTAATCTGAGTGCCCTCTATATGTTGATTTTCAGGGTATCCACACTTACACAAGTTGCCCCTAAAAGAAGAGTGAAGAGGCACCAAACTCCAGTTATTGTTCTGAGTACAGAAAAGTAAGCCCTCAATTCTTTCGGTAACTATTTTTATTAACAAGAGACAGGAATTTTTCACAATTGACACCACCTTCAAAACTTCTCCTCTACCAGGACATTTCCAAGAAGTATTGTTCTGCAACAAATCTGGAGCTTGTGAAACACAGCATAACTACAGTAGCAGTCCCAAATGAAAAGTCTGGGAGCAGGGTTGTACAAATAAAACAAACCAAGCAGCAGGAGGAGTTGTGGCACCAGTCATGCATGGGACTCAGGTCTGCTCCTTGACTGGCCTCTGCCACATGGCCTAGCAGGAAGAAAATACCCTCAGCTCCCAGCCTCCCTGATGTCTGCAAAACAAGAGAAAAATCTCTACTTACTCTGACTTGGTGTCCTTTGTAAAAAAGACACATTCTCTCTTCTTGAAGTTTTCTTGAATGAAGTTGACCAAATCCTTGGGGGGAAAAAAGAAATATTACTTCCAATAGCTCATGAAACAGTACAGACCTCAGTAACAGCATAGTCAGCTCAAGCACAAAGTGAAACTGGTGCAACTTTTCAGGTCTGCTTTCTCAACATGGATGGCTGGGGGAACATAGAAAGCACTGAGGGAAATTGACATGACACAAAAGACTACAAAAAATCACAAATGGGCATTTCCCCCCCCCCCCTCCCCCCCCCCAAAAAATACACTAAAGAGGTAAAAAGCGGGGCTTCCTCTCATAAAAAATCCTGAACAGCAAAGCAGATTTCATACCATTGCTAGAGTGCCTACCTGAATTTCAGCAGTTTTAATCCAAAAGACCCCAAAGAAAACTTCTTGCTTGCATCCAATATCACAATAGAGTCAGCTATAGGCTAGAGAGATTTCTATTTGCGTGCATTGCCACTTTTCCAAACAACTTTCAGCACTTAAAACTGAAAATACTTCCCAAACAGTGATTAACTCTGGTCCATAAAGTGCTTAAATCACTGTAACCAACACTGTTTTTCTGAAAAGCAGACATGAATATCCTCTTGGGTAGAGACTACTTCAATTCAACACAGAGACTCCAGTAGGAGACCTGAACTTAAGTCATGCTTTATGTGAGCTCAGTGGAACACAAAGTTTCTCCGACTTGTTTAACCACACGAAACTGTCACATTAACCTTTAAACTCCAGAAATTCAGGGGAAGCTTTCAAACTTTTGAGCTACAAATTCTTTCCTAATCTGTCTTTGCAGGCCAGGAGAACAAAAGGAAAAAAAAAGTTTCTCACTTACAGACAACGGCTTGAGGTTGTTTTTTTTTTGTTTGTTTTTAAAGCCCAGCTTGGATTTGCAATCCAAGATTTTGCTTGGGATCAAAAGCACAGGAATACAGTTACAGCTTAGTTTACCAGTTTGAGAGACTGTTTGAGAGACCAGTTTGTTCATAGTTAAACAGAAGTTAAAGAAAGTTCTTCCAAGTGGAAAAGCATTCAAAATGAGTGTAATATCCAAAACATGAGTATAATATCCAAAGGAAATGAAATGGAAAAGAACATAATTAGCAAGCGGTTCCTTCAACTTTTTTTTTTTTTTTCATTTTTGTGGTTTTTACAGGCTAAAGACATAAGAGCTAATCATTACAGCACTTTCAAGCCTAGCAGAAGCAAGAACACTGCCAGACTGTGATCAGCAAATGACTGAGGCTTGAAAGGGATTTTAATGTAATTATCTGTTGTCAGCTTTTGCCATCAAATGAAGAGGTGGAAGTTCCTCTCTATAGAGGCAGAGGATTTGTCTCTAACCAAAATGTGAAAAAGGATTTTAAACCAGAAATGACTAACAATGAACAAAAAATTTATACAGATCAAAAGGAATACATACACCTTTAGACTTCCAGCAAGTCAGCAAAGTACCATTATTGCCTGAAGGTTCACTCGCCTGGGAAAACTCCATGAAAGGAAAACTGACAAATCAGTCAAACTTCTCCTGACATGACCTATTTTGTAACCACTGCGGCCCACTCCCAAGGCAGTACCCAAGCTTATCAAGGATGTACCTGATACTCACACTGTCATTGTATGACACGTCCATGCTGCGAGACATGCTGGAACAGAGAAGTCTGGAACTCTCGAAATTGCCATTTCTTCGGTGTCTCATGGTGCCTGTGTGGCAGAGGTGGAAAGGCTCACTGTAATGGTCACTGCTTCCAACAGGTAAAATCAACAAGGACACTCAGCACCCTGGGAAGGCAAAAGAGGACTTATTTAAATCCAGCAGAGAGATTTTAAAAGTAAATTGACTCCTCAGATGTGAAACTACCATTCAGAGATCTTTTCTCCTATTTCATTCCACAAAAAGACTTTCCCCCTTCTTTCCTCACTTCAGAAATAACTCCAAGTCAACACGCTCTGAGGAAGGAGTGTATGTGCCACCTTGCACCACTCAATTCACTGCAGTATCTTAGCTCTCTTTGCCTTCCCATCTCTGATGGGCGTGCTGAGGATTTGGGCTATTGTTTCAATACAATGAGCAGTTCCTAGTTCAGTGTGTTTACAAATTAAATGGAATATTAATAAGACACATTTCAACCACAGAAAATGGACTGCAGTGTAAAAAGAAGCACACCAGAAGAGCAGACGCAGCACTGCAGCACCTGAACTCAGGTCCCTCATGTCTCCATTCGCTGCTTTAGCAACGATGCAACCTGAGGAGTAGGTGGATTTAAAGTTTATTGCATCTGAAAGTTAATGAGCCAGCCCTGGAGCCGAACACACATCAGTCACCCTCTAGAGCAGACACCTGCACTAACTTCACTGCCTTTGAAGGAGGATCACTTCATTTGCATGACGTCCCAAAGCACAGAACAAATTTATTTTTATGCCAACAGCAAGTGCTTCAATTCCCTTTACATTACATTTACAAGGAACAAGGGAGGAATGGGCAGAAAAGGGTATAAAAGGAGCTGGTTGCATACAAACCAGTGCTGGTTACCAGGCTTGCTTGGCTGACCACTGCAGCCTGTGCTGTTTTCCTAATTTACTCTTTCCGAAATACCTCTGTTCTGAACCACATGCCTGCTGCTGAGTGAGACTGGAGGGCCGCAGCCCCTGCACCCGGTGCCAGCTGCTGGGGGTGCTAGTCTCTAAATCCTCCCCACAGTGGGTTTGTGTGGGCCACTGCAAATGTGCACCCCCTTGCAAACTCCCAGCGGGACCAGCCCCTTCTTAGGGTGAACCTCGGGTCTGGGCTACAGAGCTGTGCTACAGAGCACTAGAAGATTGCAAAAAGCATTCTAAATAATTCTGGTATCAACCAAGAAGGTGATGACTGGGAGGGTGTTGTCCCTAAAATTCACTAGATTGCTTAAAACAAAAGCAAGCATTCTCCATCACATCGCTTATGCACAGGGAGACAGTTCCAGCTAACCCAGTATGCAGTTCTCATCATTTCACATCATTGACTTCTGATGTAGAAAAATGTTTGTAAAAGGTATAATTTGAGATAAAAGTTGTGCAGGAAGAAATATGTGTTGGTCTGATTTTATGCAACGTTTTTTGGCTGAGTTTTACTTTACCTGTTGATTTCTTTAGTAAGTTAACACCAGAAAAGTGGCCATGGACATAACTGTATAGAGATAAGATTAAATGGAAAAAAGGGCATTACGTTATTCATTCAAAATACTAAAGAAATTCAAAGGTTGTCTCCCTGCATTTTAAAATAATTGCTAAGAATGAATAGGCTGCAAACAAATTGAAAAAAGTTAGCAGGAGTGCAAAGGAACTCTGAAAACCTTAGACTTAAATTTCAATTCAAGTTTTGATAGCACAATTTCAATTTCAAGTTTTTGATACCACAGTGCTTAGCAGATATTTAGGAGAGAAACTCATTAACACCACAAGTGTTAGAAATAATAGCAGTTGTACACACTTTAATAGACGTCACAGCTTCAGTCTATGTAACAGGCAGAAGCAATTCATTTTTGATCAGATTTCAAACCCATTAAATATATAGGAAGGCACTGTTTAAAGCACAGACCATTGCATTAAAATGTAAGCTTTTCAAACTGACAAGTTTTTGAGAATACTAAACAGTAGATAAAAGCAGGAATAATCCTCTAAACTGTAAGACTAAGTATATGGTTTCCATAGCACTTAGAGGAGCATATTCCAAGGAAATCTTCATCCTGGAAGAGTCTAATGGGGAAAAAAAATAGAAGTCATAAACAATAACTTTTAATAAAGGAAACTTTAATAAATAGGCTTTTAAAAATCTTGTCTGCATCTGAAAATCAAAACCAGCTTCCACTTCCAGAAAGGTTTCAGATAAATCCAACCACTATTTACATCGACATAATTCTAGCAACTGGCTTTAAGTGTCAGCTTCTAAAAAGGAAAGGACAGTGCCCAACTTCAGAGGTACAGCTACCTCAGCCTCAGCATATGAACAGTATTTACTCCTGAGCACAGATAAAAACAAAGGCTAATCATGTACCAGTGTGGAGCACTTACCAAAGTCTCCAGAATATGCCCCAGCAATCCTACTGAAATCATTACTCAAAGAGGAAGGTTTTGATATAGTTCGGCTTGCAAAGCCCCACCTTTTTCAATCCGTGTCATGCTTTCCTTTTAAGGGAGGGCACGGGGGAAGAGAAAATGCACGGGAGCAAGCATCGGCAGGATTGTTCACCAATTAATGATGGAGGAAGACGTAACGGCAGCAGGACCTGGGAAATAAATGACTGTTGCAGGTTATTTGCAGGAGGTGGAGAACGGCAAAGTTTCTGCTCCACCTGCTGCCAGCGTGCTGTAGAATCTGATAACAATACTGCAGATCATTTATCTCATCAGCAGCTCTGTTAAAAAGCTAGAAATATAACAAAATGCTTATGGGAATAAAGAAATAGATTTTAATGTTTACAGTTCCAAAATGAACAGCCATGTATCTCTACGCTTTGATAAAAGTAACTTCTATTGCCATGAAATTTACAGCACCTCCTTGGAGAGCCACGTTGTTCCCAGCCCACTCCTCCTATGGGAAGCAAAGTTATCCTGTGTGCTGCTGAACTACCTCCTACATCCCTCTAGTCAGCCACTTGGGACAGATGTCACCCCGTGTCCAGCTCAACCATTCCCCACAACCCTATTTGACTTTGCACTGCCACAGATGAGCACGCAAAGGACAAACTGCATCCAGCTGTGGAGGACAGAAGTGGTAACCCGACAGGAACCCCAGAACCACAGGAGGAAAAGAACAAAAGCCATATTGCCCAAAAGGCCCGAGGCAAAACCAGTCTGTGGTGCAATTAAAGACCTGCTGTTGAAAACAACTATAAAAACTATAAAAAACAAGTAGAGGCTCACAGTGCTAGCTCCTTCTGATCAGGGGTGTCACTAAGCCGTGCAAAGGCAGTCTGGATTACGATCCCAAATTATTCAAGTTCAAAAGCCCCCTGGTGTGTGCTGGGCTCCCTCCACACACCCCATCCCAGGCTTTTCTCCTCTCAGAAACTGAGGGAATGATGCTCCTAGGAATCTGTTCCCAGCATGCAGTCCAAGTGGACCCAGACACGTATGTGGATAACCACCAGAAAGTCTCAGCAAATGTACCTCTATTGCTTTTGCAACAGAAGTAAAGAGGCTCAGAAGCATTTTTGCCTCCTGTCACACCAAGGACTGGCACCATGAAGATGCTGATGCCAAGCAGCACCAGCAAGAAAGAGAATGGATCCAGATTTCCCCATCCTCAGAGCGATCTTTCCTTCTGTGACAGAGACAGCTTTACTTACCCTAAATCTCACATTAGCTTGTCGTACACACATCTGCATTTGCAGAAGATTTCATTTAACTCACTCTGCAGTTTTTAACGGTGATGTGCCTGCCCCTGCTAGACATACTGCACATTAGTAATTGATAGCTTACAAAAAGGCAGCTACCATGCACTTCATTCCTTCATTTTCTTTCCCTCTTAGCTTTGTTATCCAGTTGGTTCAACTACAAAATAAGGAACAAAAGGGCAGAAGGAACTTAGACTCTAAATGTTGCTCATTTTAATCACAGAATGATTGCAGAACTTTAAGTCCTCGCTAAAGCCAGTGCCTGTAAGCATTACACACACATCCCACTTCACCTGCTTTGTAAGAGCTATCCCATGAAACCTACCTTAAGCTGCAGTAAAAACTGGTTGAGTCCAAAACCACTTGAAGCTATTAATGGTTTGTATTTTATTTCTTGTGCTCTGCCAAACTGAAGGAAAAGTTTTCCTTTATTTAGTTTCCTCGCTCAACCTGTACCCAGCAACGTGGGATGCCATTTCACCATCCAGGAGACAAACCTGCACTAGAACAGCACATGCCAGTGAGCTTTTTCTCCATCATGAGGGATTTCAGCCTGCTTCTGCCACGTGTGTTCAGCCCAAAGACATAATTCACCTGTAATCCACTACTTTCCAGGAACATAAGGAAACATATCAAAGGCGTGCAGCTAATGCTCAGAGTTAGCTAAAACACTTCTGTTCACAGGAACAGAGTTTTCAGAGGCAGACGTTAGCAACGTGGTCATGCACCAAAACCACTGAGGCACTGAAAAATGAATCTTTACCCGGGGTTTATATCTGCAATAAGTGCCCTAGCCACATAAAAGGGGGCCTCAAACATTTTTTTAAAAAAGCAACTGCAGAATTCTGCCTGGTCCTGGGCATAGTAAAAATGGTCTTTGGGAGCACTTTGTGTCTCTCAAATGTAGCAAATCCACCTGTACCTCTGGTGAGGGAGTTTGCACCCCACGCTAAGTCAGAAATGATCTGTGAACACACTAGCAGTTCTTTAATCTCCCTGGGAAAAGATGATCAACAGTTTCCAAAAAAAAGAACTCCCCCATTGGCACTAATTCACACTTACCAGCACATCTGCATTCTTGATTTAAGAATACATATTTAAGACGTAATTGCTATCACTTGTATTCCAAACATACATCAAATACATGAATGTCTCCTGTAGTCCAGCAAAATCAGGTCTCTACTTCCACTGGAGAAATTTCAGTGAGAATTAGCCAAACACCACAGAACTTGCTGTCTTTCTTAATTCACAGAGAATACCAAGGAGTATTTTGACTTGACCTCAGCTGAGGCCAACTGCATGAAGTTTAACAAGGCCAAGTCCCGGGTCCTGCACCTGGGGCACAATAACACCAAGCAGAGCTACAGGCTGGGAGATGAGTGGTTGGAGAGCTGCCAGGCAGAGAAG